GTTCACCAAGGAGATGGCGAGTTTTAAGATATTTAAATTAACATTTTCTTGAAATGCAACTCTTTCATTACACCCCTGAACAAACGACACCAGTTGGCATACTGTTGAGCAGATGCAACCACTGTTGTCCTATTGTTATCTGCTGGCAGTGACCCTTGGATAAGAGTTTGTGTAGATCAGCGGGGCTTTGCTCGGGAAATAAACTTCTGAGCTGCTCAACTCAACTTCTGATATCGTAAAGAACATGTGCGTCCTCGTGGTGTGCCTGCTTGCACTCAACCGTTTGCTGCGTTTGTGTTTGTTCGCAGACTGCCCCGTGCAAGGAAAAGGTGGGAAAAAGAAGAAAAAGCAGATGAAATTACTCTTCAGCAGCTCTGTGTTCCATGGAAAAATTAATTGAAAGTGAATTTAACAAATGCTTGTTTGTCAACGTGTGCTGCTGCTGCATATTACTTAAACATGGCGACCGGCCTCATGTGATTACTTGGTATGCCCCAGACTACAGACTGGTTGTAGAGGTCTGGCATTGGTGTGTTTAGAGCATTACGACTTGTATTGCAAAGCTTGTAGAGTTTGTAATGATGGCAATTGAAACCTTAATAAAAAGTAATAAAGGTGTCATTTCAACTTTACGCTTTTTTCCTGTTTTGTTTTGACCTGTAAAATGTTGGTTGGTTGGAATGTCGTGGCCTAACCCAAGAAACAAATACGGATCGTGGTACTGGCTACATAAACGCTCGCTTCTTTGTGAAATTCTCCAGGATGAGAGAGAAACGCATGTTGCACACAAATTTTTGTTAATCAGTTGCTGGTGAGGACCCCTCCCCCATGGCATGCACTTCCATGATTCCATCATACTGGTCAGTGTGGGTTTACTAAGATAGGGAGCACAAGATAGGGGGTGGTATATATAGTACAATCGATTTGTATTGCACTGCCCCGTTGCTACGACATGGCCCTGCTTAATCTTCTCGTGACGAAATTTGCCTGTTTGTATCCACAAATTCTTTAACTCTGCCCTATCAGACAGGGTGTCAACCATAGAGCATTCGACTCGCGTTTATGTCACACGTGTAGTCATGGGTCAACTTGAAAAATCCTCCCGGTGGTGCCCATATTAAAACACATTCCTGCGGAGGGAGCTGGTAGGAACGTTGGGTTGCTCAGTCAATGGCCAGGGTCAACGGCGGCGTGGTGTATTCCACAAATATGCCCGACTGAGGGCGGGCACAAGCCGGCGTGAGTAGGTTAAACTTTGAGTTTTTATAAGGGCACCACGAGTTGACTAGCCCAGCCCAACCCTTCCCACCCAGCCCCTCCCCACCCTCTCCTCTCCACCCAGCCCCACCCCTCCCATTTTTGGATGTACGATGGACGGACACAATAATCTCCTGTGGGCTGGTGTAACCAGGAGGTTCCTACCAGGATGACTCAGGCTTGGGCAAGACACGTCACTAGAAAGGATGATGGCCGGCGGTCAATAATAAAGTCACGTGGCAGCCAGAAGAGGTAACGTGGCTGAGAATATCCACTGTGGACATGGAGCAGTGGAAATCGGCTCGTGTGCAGCAGGCGCGAGGTGGTTTGCTGCATCGCAGGACCGTGAGACGTGGCATACTCTTGCGAATCACGCCAGAGGATCTATTGTTTACGTCCACTGTGAAGCAAACAGCACCTCGTATAATGGTTATTACACCTGCAATATTAATTAGGGCGGCCGCCGGATGTAAACTGCGAACCTCTGCAACAAGTTGTGACCGTGCTACCGCTCACAATTACATTCACCTATTACTGGTAGGAACCTCCAGGTTACACCAGCCCACAGGGGATTATTGTGTCCGTCGTGCAGGGAGGGGCTGGGTGGGGAGGGTGGGGCTGGGTGGGGAGGGGCTGGTCACCCCGTGGTGCCCTTATAAAACTCAACGTTTAACCTACTCACGTCGGCTTGTGCCCGCCCTCACAGTCGGGCATATTTGCGGAATACACCACGCCGCCGTTGACCCTGGCCATTGACCGAGCAACCCAACGTTCCTACCAGCTCCCTCCGCAGGAATGTGTTAATTGTCTCCCATTAAAAAGGGCCATTGCCCAAAACGTTGCCTATTATATTTTTCCGCACCTCCGATTAGCACGTACGGCGCGGAAGAAGTTCAACACCCATGCGTTTTAAGGCAGTGTTAATTGTGCTTGTGCCCGACTGCCAACGCAACCGGCATCGCCAAATACCCATTTGTTTCGTCGCTATCGGACGGTGGAATAAACGCCAAACTCTCTGGCTGGGCGCACCGCCAGTAGTGATGTCAACCGCCGCACCCACGAAAGTTTTGAACGGCGACTTTTTAAACTTCTTCCCTCGAGGTCCACTTTTACCTCCCCCCATTGTCCCCATTATGCCCCGCGGTCGTTGACACGTGGCTGGTGGCGGGGCACCGCACCCACCGCTCGCGCCTCGCCCACGACCCGCGTGGTGGCTCCGTCTCGTGACCTCGTCCGAGTGCACCGCTTGATGCACCGTGGCGGTGGTGGTGGTGGTGAGATGTTAACTACCTCGCCTGGTATATAGGAGGTCGTGGGTTTTATCCTGACCCTGACGCCTGCTGCTGTATATTTGGAGTTTGCGTGTCTCTCTCTCATCACCATCATCATCATTACGGTGGCTATGAGATGTTGACTACCTCGCCTGGTGTGCAGGAGGTCGTGGGTTTGATCCCTAACCCTGACGCCTGCTGCTGTATATTTGGAGTTTGCGTGTCTCTCTCTCATCACCATCATCATCATTACGGTGGCTATGAAATGTTGACTACCTCGCCTGGTGTGCAGGAGGTCGTGGGTTTAATCCAGACCCTGACGCCTGCTGTCTGGAGTTTGCGTCTCTCTCATCATCATCACGGTGGATAGGAGATGTTGACTACCTCATCTGGTGTGCAGGAGGTCGTGGGTTTGATCCCTAACCCTGACGCCTGCTGCTGTATATTTGGAGTTTGCGTGTCTCTCTCATCATCATCACGGTGGCTAGGAGATGTTGACTACCTCGCCTGGTGTGCAGGAGGTCGTGGGTTTGATCCAGACCCTGACGCCTGCTGCTGCTGTATATTTGGAGTTTGCGTGTCTCTTTCTCTCATCATCATCACGGTGGCTAGATGTTGACTACCTCTCCTGGTGTGCAGGAGGTCGCGGGTTTGATCCAGACCCTGACGCCTGCTGTTTGGAGTTTGCGTCTCTCTCATCATCATCATCACGGTGGCTAGGAGATGTTGACTACCTCTCCTGGTGTGCAGGAGGTCGTGGGTTTGATCCCTAACCCTGACGCCTGCTGCTGTATATTTGGAGTTTGCGTGTCTCTCTCTCTCATCATCATCACGGTGGCTAGGAGATGTTGACTACCTCTCCTGGTGTGCAGGAGGTCGCGGGTTTGATCCCGACCCTGACGCCTGCTGCTGTATATTTGGAGTTTGCGTGTCTCTCTCTTCAAGTTCAAGTTCATTTATTAGGTCTAGCCCTGTGAGCCATTCAGCTCTTGAATCGGGTGCAACCGCAACAAACAAAAAACAAAAACATGAACAAAAAACATCTTAAAGTGAATATGTGACTAAGTGCAAACAGAAAATCCTCTCATCACCATCATCATCACGGTGGCTATGAGATGTTGACTACCTCGCCTGGTATACAGGAGGTCGTGGGTTTTATTCCGACCCTGACTGCTGCTGTGTATTTGGAGTTTGCATGCCTCTCTCATCATCATCACGGTGGCTAGGAGATGTTGACTACCTCGCTTGGTATACAGGAGGTCGTGGGTTTTATTCCGACCCTGACGCCTGCTGCTGTATATTTGGAGTTTGCGTGTCTCTCTCATCATCATCACGGTGGCTAGGAGATGTTGATTACCTCGCCTGGTATACAGGAGGTCGTGGGTTTGATCACGACCCTGACGCTTGCTGCTGCTGCTGCTGTATATTTGGAGTTTGTGTGTCTTTCTCTCCCCGTGGTCGCGTGGATTTCTTTCTCCGGGTCCTTCGGTTTTTCCCACCGCATTTAGAATCGACATCACGCGTTTAGAGTATTTCGATTATTTTTCTGCTATAAATGTCCAAATGTTAAGCCATTTTGTTCAGCTATGATTTGTGGGCAGATCGCTTTTTAAAAATAAGTTAATACCTCAGTTGGCCATTGTCTAGTAGGATGGGGATGGTTTAGTTTTATTTGTTTGTGTTTGGGTGATTTTTCGATTTCAAGATTTCGTGACTGCAGGGATTCATCTTCTTGGTTCTTTCGGTAAAGGCACGTAGAAGGGAAATAATTAAATAATAAAAATATTACATAATAAAATACAATTCTCACGACGTTTCGGCCACAACGCAAACAGCCGTCCTCAGGTGAAGAACAGGGCTGTCGGAAAGACAGACTCTGAATCAAATAAAAATCACGACGTTTCGGAGGCAACACAAGCTTCCGTCTTCAGGTGGAACCGTCACAGCCCGACAGCTGTATTAAGTAAATACTACGTATGCCCCGCCCCCTGTTACTCATAACCACGCCCCTAACTACGTATGCCCCGCCCCCTGTTACTCATAACCACGCCCCTAACTACGTATGCCCCGCCCCCTGTTACTCATAACCACGCCCCTAACTACTTATGCCCCGCCCCTGTTACTCATAGCCACGCCCCTAACTATTTATGCCCCGCCCCTGTTCCTCATGGCCACGCCCCCAACTACTTATGGCCCCGCCCACTGTAACTCATAGCCACGCCCCTAACTACTTATGGCCCCGCCCCCTGTTACTCATAGCCACGCCCCTAACTACTTATGGCCCGCCCCCTGTTACTCATAGCCACGCCCCCTACAACTCATGGCCACGCCCCTAACTACTTATGGCCACGCCCCCTACAACTCATGGCCCGCCCCCTGTTACTCATAGCCACGCCCCTAACTACTCATGGTCCCGCCCCTACTACTTATGGCCCCGCCCCTTGTTACTCATATTCCCGCCCCCGCCCCACCCGTGCCACAGAAGTCGGACGGAGCGACCAACAATGGAGCGAGAGCAAAAGAAGGTGCGTTGCGATGGTTGCCTTGTGGCGATGTGTTCTGGTGTAGCGTGATGTGATAGCGATGGGTGTTGTGGTGGTGGTGGTGATGGTGGTGTGGGTTGTGTGGGGGGAGCTGTAGTGTAGGGGTTAGCGCGCCGCCATACAAATCGTGCCACCCGAATTGCACTTTTTTAACCGTCCCGGGACAATGGCACTTCTCCATTGAGGCTCCAAACATCACCGCCGGGGAGACAAAGACGGCCGTGCGTGGTGATGTCCACCCTTCATAGGCGCTCGCTTAACAGCACTTGTCCCAACAGTCTGTGCAGGCTATACCGGGAGGGGTCCTTTGTCTTTGTGGCTTGCGTGAAGGTGATGTCGTGATGCATGGCAGTGATGATGATGATGGTTGTTGTGATGTGCGATGTGGTTGTTGCATGTATGTTGAACTTCTTTCGCACCGTACGTAGCCGACCGTGCTAATCGGAGGTGATGATGTGGATGGGTTATGGAGATGGGGTGATGATGGTGATGATGTGTCGTGATCGATGTGCGATGGTCATTTGTGGAGTTTGAAAATGATGTGGGTGATGAGTGAGAAGGATGGTGGGTCAGTGCCGTGAAGTTGTGTGATGATGGTAACAGATGATTTGTGATTATTTTAAACGTTGTAGTATGGTGACACGTGGTGAGTGATCGAGTTTTAAAACAATTTTATGTTTTGTCTAAGTTGTACCATTTGTTAGATTCACTGAAATGTGCATGAATAATAAGTCACTGATACATGAGAAATCGTCGTGTAGTCCAAGTTTGATTGTGGGGTGGTGGTTGTTGTGTGTGATAGTTGATGTATGATGGTGGTTGTGGGGTGATGGTGGTTGTGGGGTGATGGTGGTTGTGGGGTGGTTGATGTATGATGGTGGTTGTTGTGTGGTGATGGTGGTTGTGGGGTGGTTGATGTATGATGGTGGTTGTTGTGTGGTGATGGTGGTTGTGTGGTGATGGTTGTTGTGTGGTGGTTGTGTGGTGATGGTGGTTGTGTGGTGGTTGATGTGTGATGGTGGTTGATGTGTGATGGTGGTTGATGTGTGATGGTGGTTGTGTGGTGGTTGATGGGTGATGGTGGTTGTGTGGTGATGGTGGTTGTGTGGTGGTTGATGTGTGATGGTGGTTGTGTGGTGGTTGATGGGTGATGGTGGTTGATGTGTGATGGTGGTTGTGTGGTGGTGGTTGTGTGGTGGTGGTTGTGTGGTGGTTGATGTGTGATGGTGGTTGTGTGGTGGCTGATGTGTGATGGTGGTTGTGTGGTGGCTGATGTGTGATGGTGGTTGTGTGGTGGCTGATGTGTGATGGTGGCTGATGTGTGATGGTGGTTGTGTGGTGGCTGATGTGTGATGGTGGTTGATGTGTGGTGGTTGTGTGGTTGTTGTGTGGTGATGGTGGTTGTGTGGTGAATGATCTGTGATGGTGGTTGTGTGGTGATGATAGGTGAACACCATGTTGATATGTGATGGGTGCGATGTAATGCCTTAGTAGAGTGACCACAGTTGAGTTCGCTAACGTGGTACCAAATTTTATCGATCCCGAAGTGATGATAGGCGGAATCACTGTTGAGTAAACTCAGAACAATATTCATCGCTAACAGAAATTAGTGTTGATGCGTCTGCGTTGGCAGTGGTGCACAAGACAAAATAAAAAATAACTCCACACATTTGCCAATAGCACTGTGACCTTAAAAGGACAAATACATGATCGGCAACTTTTCAGGCAATGGCAATTCTCCAATTCAGGCTGTAAAGAAGGGCCTTGCCCGCAACTTAACCTATCATATGTTTTCCTTTCAAGGCAGTGTTATTAACAATCGTGTTGACTTATTTTTACATGCGTAATGCAATAACATTGACCGTTCCAACTCCCCATGGGTCATTTAAATTAGGACACATTTTGCATAAAGTCATCAGTGACCATCTATAGATATAATTGGTCCTGGCCACGGGAATGGGGAATTTCAACTACTGGCTTCAGGCCACCAACGGAGATGAGCACTGGTCCATCGCTCGATTAAACGGAGATCTGTTGACAGTTTTACCGAGATATTTTGTCCATCTGGCAGCGCAATTAAACTTTATCTTCTGTTATCTCTGAGCAGAGTATAGTGGTGGCGATTTGTGAGCGGTGGTGAGTAGCGATTGCAGGAGAGTGGTGATTGCTGGAGTGTTGGGGTGATGAGTGCTGGTGAGTGCTGGTGAGTGCTGGTGATTGCTGGTGATTGCTGATGAGTGGTGATGAGTGGTGGTGAGTGGTGGTGAGTGGTGGTGAGTGGTGGTGAGTGGTGGTGAGTGGTGGTGAGTGGTGGTGAGTGGTGGTGAGTGGTGGTGAGTGGTGGTGAGTGGTGGTGAGAGGTGGTGAGAGGTGGTGAGTGCTAGAGAGTGCTGGTGAGTGCTGGTGAGTTGTGGGTGGTCTGCCAGTTGTTTGTGGAAGCCTCAACGTGGGGGTGTGTAGTGGAGCCCGTGTATAAATTTCTCACTGATTATTCTCCACATTACTTACAGACTAGAGTAGGCACATAACTAGTAGCCACAGCCATAACGAGTGGACTATTGGGTGTGGTGTGCCGAGTACAGAAATGTTGTGCATCTCTATGATGTAGCTAGTGCAGCTGCGTAATATTACCCGTGTAGCCTGCACATCTGTTTTATCAGCAAGTATATGGATGTGAAGTTTGGCCTGGCGTGCGAGCTGATTCGGTACACATCCAATCGCCCACGCCCCATGACTCATGGTGCCATGTGCTGTCTGTCTCCTCTCTCCCCATCTCCCTGTCTTGTCTCCATTCCCTATCTCGCTGTCTCACCATTTACCCTGTCTCCTTGTCCCCCACTTCCCCTGTCTCCCCATCTCACGATGAACTCTCTTTTCCCCGCTTACCTCCCGATTCCTCGGGCTGTCTCTCTGGCCAGGGTACCATTTCCCACGAGCTGGGGGCGGGAGCGCCGTGCCTCAAGTGCCGGGAGAAGTGCGAGGGCTTCGAGCTGCACTTCTGGAGGTGCAGTGCTCACCGCACACGATCGTCAACGTCACGGGGGCCCCAATGAACTCCCTCCGTCTTTGTTCTTTTGGCCGCCTTCTTCAGTGCAGTGCGCTGAGGATGACCTAACATTTGAATTGGCTATGTGTGTTCTTGAAAATATTTACTGAGTTCACGGACGGGCTCACCTAACGATATAGACGACTTTTGAGGCAATAAGCCATTCTTTATAGCACCAATAAGAGAGGCCATCGAGCAAAGAGACGCCAATAATAATGCTTACCTTTTAAGGCCACGCAGCGTTATTGACGAATGTCTATATTTTGAGGTTATTTTTTCTTATGTGCATCACTGCCAACGCAGCAGCGGCATCACCAAATAATTTAATATAATTGGCAGGGGCGGGGGGTGGAGTTTCCCGCCCCTCACATCAACATTTAATAGCCCAGAGAGTTTGACTCATGTGTGACTGCTTTAGTCGACCAGACTACGAGAATGACTCAATGAAATCCACAGAAATAAGGCTTGCCTAAGACTCCACCGGTTGCCGTTGACTAGACCGAGACTGTGACTCGTATAACAACTAAATGCTGACTGAATTAGCTCTGTCCTGAATGCACAAGTACCCCTCAATGGACGTGGACCCCTATATGGCCCGGTCCATCAGCAGGCGTCGGAGACGTAACACAGACACGCGTAACTTTGGTGCGGAGCGGAACTGTGAGGCCATCTCTCAGCTCGCCACCGCCGGGGTCCGGCACCGACCGCCCCTCTCCCTCCTCCCCCTTCAGGGTGTGGGTAGCACTCAACCCAGCTATGTACACAACGAGTGGTTTCCCCACATTGGAACGCGGTAAATAATTGTAAAGATATCTATTCTTTAAACCTTGAAAACATGTAAGTGCCTTTATCCGGTGCCAAATAAGGCCTGCATGACACGAGGGGAGGTGGCTTGGGACAGCCCCCTGCCTGGCCGCCTTTGCCAACCCAGTGCTCGTGTTTACGTACGGCACCGGGTACTCACACGAGGCCGAGTTGGACTGTATGTGCGTGTGTACGTTGAACTTCATTCGCACCGAACGTAGCCAACCGTGCCAATCGGAGGTGCGACTAGGGGAGGCCTAGGACCGGTTTAGATATTGCTCACCGCTGATGTCAGCTGCGATGCGAATCGAAGGCCGGTCGCGTTGGGTTCATCGCGCTGTGTGGGAACTCCTGCATCGCTGCGACCCTTCCAGCCTGCGGGCGTTGTGGTACAAGTCGCTCGGCACATAGAGCGACAACAGCTCTGATTTAACCGCCAGTGGCGGTGATGTCACCATACTGCTCGTGCCAGACTAGGTGCGCGTTGAGGCTGTATGGAATTACATGCAGACACGCACACACGTCCGCTTGAACTCTATTGTAACATTTGTTGTCAATCGGAAACCAGCGTTCTGTAACTTCCTGCTACTGCGTGATTAGTGTGGTTGGTTATGGTTTTGGATAAGTTTCTCAAAAAGAAAGCATGGGGTGTCCACGATTAAGTGAAGTTGAAAAGTATATTTTATGTTTGTAAAGCACATCTAATGATCAAAGTTTAACGTACCTATTATCGCCAAAATAAAACCTTTAATTTTATTGACCAGCGGCCTTTTGCCCGCCAGTGTTTGTCCTGCAGCAATTGTCGAAACGCAGCAAGCAAACACTCCTCGGTGTATTTTATCAATGTGTCAAGACAGTGCGTTAAAGTTTTGACAAACTGAAAAGTTGCATGTGCCAGCAGCGATTGTTAAATATTAACCGGTCGAGTAGCTGAGAATCAAAAAGTGATACGATACTTAAAGGTGTTTGCCCAAAACAAAGGCTGCTGGATGACATTGGTCTGGAAAGCCAATAGGCGGCTGGACTCCAGCGGATTTTATTTATACTTGGAAACACGGACTGGAGAGTACTTAGCAAACCACCAAACCGTCGCTCGCACACCTCACCACCGCTGATATCGTCGCGTTTTACTCCCACTCACGCCGAGCGTCCTGTGCCCTTCGTCGTGCAGGAAGATCTGCCGCAACTGCAAGTGCGGCCTTGAGGAGCATGACATCCAGATGGAGGAGGAGGCGCAGCGCAAGGTGGGGCGGCTGTTTGAGGATTCTCGCTACGCCGGGGTGGCCGATAGAATCCGCTCCGACATGGAGACGCGGCTCGAACAGCAGCAGCCGCGGGGAGTGGGCGGCCACAACCACCGCATCGTCCTGGACGACCGCTCTCCCTCCGCCCAGCTCTCCTTCAGCTCCCTCTCCATCGGATCCTCCTCCAGCTCCTCCTCCAATTTCGACTCTGGCTTCGACTCCGCTTCGCTCGCAAGCGCCGGCTCCGGAATGCCCAGGTCTGCCGGCGCTGGTCCCGGAGATGGAAAGGTCTCCGGTTCTGCTGCCGGTGGAGAACCTGGATTGCCCCGAGCCCCTGGTTCCGCACCGGGGGCCGCGACGGGCCGGGATTCTAAAACTGGCGGCTCCGTGGGTGTGGGCGGCTCTCCTGGAGGTCCTGGCTCGGTGCAACTTTCTGGGTCGAGTACGGCTCCACCCGCTGGCGGTGTTCCGAGCCGCGTCCCCGGCGCGGCGGGCGTCACGGTGGCCGGGGGGGACGTTCGGACCGCGGTGGTGCTAGAGTGGGCGCCTCCCGGGCTCGAGAGGGCCGTGGTAAGAATCGTGGAGGCGGTGCTCGTGTCGTCTGCAATTCTTATTTGAATCTTTAGTCGACGGCAACCGGGTGGAGTCTTCGTCGCGGTTTCGTCTGATTGAAGATAAAAACGACAATTGCTTTGTGGTGAATATTTTTCCGTCGCTAATTCGTTTTTCAAAATTAAATCCACAACGAGGTGGCCAGGAGATGGCAGGGAGTGTGACCCACATGAAGCCACTCATTAATTAAATGATTTGGCGATTCTGCATTGGCAGTGGTGCACAAGCACAAATAGCAACAAGAAACTCAATAGGTTCATCAAGAGCACCGACATTAAAAGAAAAACTAGATAAGAGGAGGCAACGCCCCTGTTTCAAAGCACATCGATGGTACTGATCAAGAACGGTCTTGAAATATCATCTTGAGATTCGATAAGACTTTCCTTATTAAATAATTGGCATTATTATTATTAAGGATAGTCCCATTGCTTATACAGTTCATGTATTGAAGCGTGGGGGTAATATATCGTCAATGTAATGACACGAAATCCGGTTGTTCTGCAAGCTTTAACCGGATATGGGCACATGCCACTGCAAAACTGTAACAAAGGACCTCGAGTGATTCTGGTCTCGTGAGCTCATCCTTGCACATACAGTGCCCTCCGCTCGGAGGTGGCAGATTCACTGTGGCAACGCTACGCCCTCTGCTGAAGCGAGCGCTGCCAACCTTTGCTCCGGCTGCTCCCGCGTGCCATCGTTTACATTATCGAATCATTTCATCGTTCGCAAGAGCAGATTGGGCGGGACGCTCATCTAAGTCGGCAGGCTTGAGCCAGTGATGTAAATTACACATTCTCGTGGCCGAGGTCGGTCTAGCCGTACGATGACCATAGGCGGTTGATGGTGGTGATGATGGTGATGATGGTGGTGATGGTGGTGATGGTGGTGCTGTTTGCCGGGCTGGTGCGTGCGCAGCCGTTTCTCTGCGCCGCAGAGAGACGGCTGCCGTCTGTGGTTTTCCCCTTGTGACTGCAGCCGAGAATTGGAATGTTTGAGATGAGATGTGGTGTTGGGCGCTTTGAGATCCTGGGGTATTTAACAGCCCTGTAAATGCACAATTGTGATCCCCACGATATTCTGAATTGACCGTTGAACCGGGATTCTAACTCGCGACCTTCCGACTGCGGATTCCCGCCCGCTGATGGCAGGGGGGACGCCCAATGGGAGAACATTGCCGATGCCTCGCGGATCCAGCGGTGATGATGGCCCACCGGGTAATCCGGGCGTTGATTTGAGGGACATATGGCCCATGGGCTGGACCTTATTTCACATAGCCCGCTGGCCATATGAGGGCATACCACTTAAGCGATATGTGTGCGTCCACTGCAAGCTGCATCTTAGCCGAATAAATTGGGTAAAAGATGGCAAAGGCGCAGCCCTGCAATATATTGCTTATGCCACTGCTGGCAGAAGGGTCTCTTTCAAGCCCCCTCGAGTGGGTATTTGGTCTCCTCTTCCACGCCGATCAGACATCTTGAAATAGGAGTATTGTGCCCACATATATCCCCGCCACACCGCGACCTGCCGATTGACTTAACTGTGGCGTCGCCATTTGCCCTGCTGGGTGGACGGAGGCGGTGCGGGGGAAGGTTTTGAGCAACTTGCCCCACCGTTTCAACCGCTGAGCCACGAGATGGAAATCGAACTGGCGACCTCTGGATTGCAAGTCCGTTGTGTGAATCATTAGCACCACGGCAGTATTCGCACTAATTGGTTACTTGCGGAGAAAATGTTTCCACCGTAGCAACACAGTGTTTGTAAGATTTTAGTGCACCAAGTGAAGGTGAGCCCCCCCCCCCCCCCCCCCCCCCCCCCCGCTGTTTTCCTTGTTATGACTGGATAACGTCAAGGCCTGCGTTAATGTGTGGCCTGCCAAAGGTTATTTAAAAGTCCTTATTTGGGCCACGGTAATGAGAAGGTTTTTCTCACCTCCTGGCATAAACTGTTTTACAACGGCGCTGCATTCCGGACGTACGTGCTCACCGTGAGTGGATTAAAGCAGTCTCGACTGCGATGACTGACACGCATAGAGACAGATCTAAATTAACACAAAACCTCAATCATTACCGCTGCCATTATGACAGAAAACTACGATTGAGTCGGCTGAGGTTTTGAGCAGCGACTTTTGTTCATAGCAGAGAGAGCAGAGGATTTAAACTGATCAAATCACCCACGACCTCCGAAGATAAGCGTGGCTGAGCGTGGATATTATTCTTACAACTACGCTTGTTTACCCAGCATAGCCTGAGTCTCATGACTCTTTTTCAGAAGGTTCCTGTTAAGTTTTTGCAGTTGGGGGCGACGATTGCTACGAGTAGTTGCTTGGATGGGTTACTTGGTTGGCAGCAGAGGGCGGTGCAGCAACGTCCAATATTCTACTGTACTTCTAAGGTCTCACGTCCGCTCCCCACCGTTCACAGACCAGCGCGGTGAAGTATGGTCACATAAATCCCCCCCCCTTCCCCGCGACCTGCACAGTGTTGTGAACAGACCCTCATCCACCAGCAAATTGCCACGTACGGCAGTTGAAAATGTTTGCACGGCTGAAGATTTCTCCTGCAGTATTTATGGTCGCACTGACGCTTGTTAAGGGTGGCCTTGTACAGGCGTTGTAAGTTAACCTCGCAACAACAATAGCACGGAGATCGTAGTGATTGTTGGCCTGTGGTGTCCACCCGTCTTTGAAAATGACGACAAAACCCCCATCGTCACAACACTAGAATGCAACGTGCCGGTTGAGAACAAATACACGCTAAGGGTGTGTCTGCTCCCAACCAGCGGGAAGAATAATAATAATGTTCAGTTTTATATACAGCGTCGTAGTTCATGCAAATCTTTTACAATCGCTGAGGAACCACAGACAAGCTGGAAGGCAGCCGGCACCAGAAATTGCCCAAACTCTGCAGTCCTGTATATTAAAATGCTTTTCAGGCAATACACGAGCGTTTAAACGAGTGGGAGGAAACTGGAGCACCCGAAGTAAACCCACGCATGCGAAGGGACAGCCCTCTGTCCCATGCCGAAGGGACAGACGACATTCGTCTGCACTCCGCTGCTCCGCCTTCTCCAGGAAAGCCAGGGTATGGCTCCGCCAGGACGCCCACGGAGAGGAAGTTCCGCAACATTTGTGATATCCGCCAACCCTTGCTTCAGCAGTGCTGGATTACGGGCGTGTGCCACCATCCGCCCGGCTAAGGAGGGGCACACCTCCCCCTCTGTGTGCCCTGCATGCACGTTGTCATGCGGCCACCACATTGCATGAACCCCCCCCCCCCCCGTCAGCCTTGTCGAGACCACCAACTCAAAAGAGCCATCTGAAGGGAATGGCCGGAGTCAGTGATCTGAAAGATAAATACGGCCATGTCAGGTTGGACTCTGAGGCTTTAAAGCACACACGAGAGTCACCCGGAATGTGCCCAACCTCGTCAGGGGCAAAGCAGGGTTCAGCCCGCAAAGTGTTTGGATGGGCGACCGGCGCGCCTATAATCTTGAGATTCTTAGTAAGACTTTCCTGGGTGAACATCGCAAATAATAAAATAACAAATATGCCCCGTGACATCTCCGACGCCCTCTCCACTTCTGCCATCCTGCAGGCACGGCGCTACATCGAGCTGCTGCCCAGAGACAAGCAGCCCATCGAGGGCAGCCAGGGCGCCATGTATCGGCGCAGGCAGCTGGCCAGACAGCTGCCAGAGCACGACCAGGACCCCAGCAGGTGAGGATCACGCTACCGATGACGATGTATCACCGCCACAGATGTTGCTAAACACATTCGAATCCGGGTAAACTCCTGCGATTACACTGGCTTTTCAGGTCTATTGAGTTGATGGTTTCTAAATAAATAAATATAGGCAACACATCTCCTTCATAGATCTGTCCGGTCTCAGCTTGGCCACAGTTGACAGCGCAACAAACCATTAGGCTTAAGTTTTGTCTGGACTTAATTTGTCTACACTCCCGTCTGGGAGAATTAAATATATCGGTCATCTGACGGACGTTACGCTCAGAGGCAGGGCGGATGGGAAAATGCTGCCCCCTATTGTGTGTGAAATAGAGGTCACTTGCAGGGAAATTGCAGGCAACTCTGCCGGTATCCACCTCCATGGGCCGGCCGCTCTTCAATGTGTCGGGTTCGCACTGCGTCTCGTGCAGGTGCCACGACCTCTCTGCGGCCGAGGTGAAGCAGATGGAGGACTTTGTCAAGAAGTACAAGGCGGAGGCGCTGGGTGTCGGGGATGTTATGCTGCCCCACCAGGTGCTGCTCATCCAGGGTGGTGTCGGTGGCGGCTTTACCCATGGGATGGGCCCAGGGGCCACAGGCTCTGCAAGTTCAGCGCACGGCAGTGGCGCCGGCGGTGGTGGTCATCCCTCTGCACCGCCGGTCGGTGGCGAGCTCGCCGGAGGAGCGGCCGACAGCCCGTCCCGCAAGAGGGTCACGGCGTCTCTCTTCATCGCGGGGAGGAAGCCCGGAGCCGGCGCTGCTGACCAATCGCAAGCGGACAACGAGGGCTTGTCTGGCCAGTCGGGAGCCGCGGGGCAGAAGAGTGGCTCGTGGAACCAAGCAGCAGGTGGAGGGTCAAGCCAGAGGGGTGGTGCTGGTGGTGCTGGTGGTGCTGGTGTTGCTGGTAGTGCTGGCGGTGCTGGTGCCAGCGGTGGTTTTGGTAGTGCCGCTGGTGGTGGTATTGCTGGTGCCGCTGGTGGTGCTGGTGGTGGTGGTGCCGCTGGTGGCGGTGGTGCTGGCGGTGGTGCTGGCGGTGGTGCCGGCGGTGGTGCCGGTTGGGTTGGAGGTTCAGCTGCCTTTGCCCAAGCAGCTGGGGAAGCTTCCGTCGGCGAAAGAGGAGTCGGAGATGGAGCGGCACAGGCGCAGAGAGACTATGTAAGTCGTGGCACCTCTGGCGAATGTCATAATCCGTGAGAGGCATTTAATAATTATTCAACCACCCCATCCACAATCCTTGCATTCTTGTGATTCATGATTCAGGGTCCATTATTCAGTTAAAAACTATTTTTATTACGTTTGCCATTGTGGTGAATGTCGCACCTCTCATAGATGCGTGAAGAGAATGTCTCCGATAAAATCCACAGACTTGACTTCCCCCGACGTCGTCCCTGCGTGCGTGTTGACAAATGAACACTGCTGCCTCCCCTCCCCTCCAACCGCCATTCCCTAGCGCTGCAACCGCTGCAAGCAGCCGATGCAGCAGGGCGACCCCGCGGTGTTTGCGGAGCGCGCCGGCTCGCAGCACCTGTGGCACCCCGGCTGCTTCTGCTGCTCGGCGTGCGATGAGATCCTCGTCGACCTCGTCTACTTCTGGAAGCGCGGGAAGCTCTACTGCGGCCGCCACTACTGCGACACGGAGCGGCCCCGCTGCGGAGGCTGCGACGAGGTCTCTCCGCCGCGCCGTGGTTCCTCCCTGCGGCCGCGTTCCCACTGCGTGCGCGGGGTGGCCTAGCAGTTCCCATCCCGTGGTACTAAGGGGTGCAGTGTAAACATCGCCACGAGGGAGACAAAGGCGGCCGGGCGTGGTGCTGGCCACCCACCCCACCTTGTCTGCCGTGCCGGCCTTCATAGGTGCTACTCGCTAATAGCACTTACCCCAGCAGTCTCTTAAGGCTATACGGGGGACCTTTGTCTTTGTTGTTTGTGTGGACACAGTTGATATTCTCCAAGGAGTACACGCAGGCGGAGGAGCAGAACTGGCACCTCAAGCACTTCTGCTGCTTCGAGTGTGACTGCGTTCTGGCCGGAGAGATCTACGTGATGGAGCAGGACAAGCCCGTGTGCAAGCCCTGCTACATGAAGAAATACGCACGGGTACGGCACGCACGCACGCATGCACACACGCCGTAGCTGCTCGGCCACCGCAGCCGGTGGGGGGGGGGGGTGGGGGGCGCCTTTTTTGCCGCACGTTGTTTGATGTCCGACGTTTCGCCGCACGTGCGCTCGGAGTTGCCGAATAAAGCTCCCTTGCATGTGGGGCAAAGCGTCGGAACGTCGTGCCGAACAACACGCGGGTGCAGCTCGACAAATCCACATCGGAGGGTTCAAGTGATTGGCCGTTAGGACGTGGACCGAATATGCATTGCGCCCTGGCGCAAGGAATTAAATGGGCATTCCTGTCTCATTTCATCCTCATTTTGTGGCCCTGCGCTTGATCCATTCTGGCCCGTGCGCCCTGGTGCAGTTGTACCGCCTGCACACTCGATGTAGTGGTTAGTTCAGTGCGATTCCTGGCCACGGCTAACACGCTGTGGTGAGCGCTATCTGAAGCGGTCCCGAGCCTGATCCTTTCACCAACCCCCGTTGACCAGTGTGGTGAAATGTGGTTAAACAACCCCCGTGACCAATGTGGAATGGATAAAGGCCTTCATCTGTCAATAGGTTTACAATAGGATGTGCATGTTTATGAAATGTTGATGATTTTCAGTGTCTCTCACATGGCCATTATAAACCGCTTTGAGGGGGGGGGACAACCTCGCTCAGTGGATTGTACTCCTTGCCTGACATTGTGTCCCTTGAGTAGAGGTGGCTCAGACGTCGGATCACCAGGCTGGCACCACAGAGCCTGAGTTCATATCCAGGCAGCCGCTTGTGAATGAAGCTGATTCTTAAGTATTTTTAGTTGCTGGTCTCGGCTCAGTCACCGATGACTGCATAAAAAAGCGGTTCTGGACAATTTGGCTGTGTGGGAAAGGGCTGCCCTCTACTGACAGAGTAGGGAGCAGCACTTTCCCGCCCTTACAATTTAAGTCTTGCCTGAGTTATTCGATATCCACTTACATGGGCTGTTCTCGAACATGAAGGGTTGCACTGCTCTGCAAGGGAGACCAATTGGTGGATACCTTGTCTCACGACGCGACACTGATGGCCAATGTTCCTTTTCTCCAGATTCTTGGCAAAAATGCGTTGATCTGTCCCATCGCCAACAACGGCACAGATTAGCGAGGCGATGCAGTGCGTTTTCGGGAAAGGTGCGAATCTCTTCCCGGCAAGTTTCGTGCATCAACATTAACGTCAATTTCTCATCCTTGCTGTCTTTCTCTCCCCTGGCAGTCATGCCAGTCTTGCCAGGGCAGCATTGAGCCGGAGGCTCAGCGCGTGACGCTGGGGGAGTTCAGCTGGCACGCCGATCCCACCTGCTTCCTGTGCTCCTGCTGCGGCATCCCGCTCGTCGGACTGCGCTTCCTGCCGCACCAGGCCATGATCTTCTGCTCCGCCGACTGCCGTGGCAAGGTCGTGGGCTGAGCCCCACGGAAGGGCCTTTTTGGAGAGGCCTTAACCAGCATAGAATCGATGATAATGGGTGATGATTATACGTATCTGTGGGCCGGGGAGTGTCTTCGGGGCCTCAACACGCGGCCCAACCAAGGAAACTGCACGTGAATCGTGGCTGAAGTTGGCGATTTTGGGACGTGTAATCAATTTTCGATTGCCGAGTACTTGAGGCTTTTAGCAGCGGCATGACGTAACCCCATGCGTGGCGTTGTCATGACGCTAACGTGTGGTGGGAATGTCAAAAAAATCGTTAAAGGTTATAAATGCACGATATGTTGAATAGTAATTTTTTGAACTTCTTCAAGTACTTGGTGATCGTAGATTGATTACTTTGAAATCATCCCTACAATGTAAATTACCAATTACAAAGCGGCGGCTGGAAAAAAGTGGATGATGTTTTACGTATGAGATGTGGTCAAAAAGCTTGTGAAAATGATTTTATCACAAATTAGTTTGGTGATTACTGTGTCAGTCGTAGTGCACAAGCAGAGTTAACAGAGAAACAAAATCAATTGTCAAATAACACTGTGTGGGCTTAATATTAAACATATATAATTGGCGAAGTTTTGAGTAATGACCTTAATGTGCGAAGAGAAGGGCTATTGCTGGTAACATCACCTATCGTAGATATTTTCCTTACAAGGCAGTGTTTTTTTATCTTGTCCGTAATAGTTTCTAATTTGTGTGACGCCCCCCTTCAAAGGCGTCTCTTTCGCTGCACAGCGACTGCCCCAGTTGAACACGGAATTTTGCGTCGACGTCATTGCTCAGTCTACGCGCGATAACCCTCACGTGGTTCCAAACTCGCACTGACTGACGGGCCCTGCGGTGCGATTGGCCCCGCCGAAGCACACGACTGCGTTCGCACAATTCAGGAGGTGGTAACGATGATGAATCCAGGTTACATATTAGCAAGAAGCGCGGGCCATTTATTTAACTCCCTATTATCGTGATAAAATTATTTCGTGAGCTTTTGGATTAGCCCTCGTGGGTAAAATGTTAAGTAATGCAAGTCAAGTTCTGTGTGGGCATTGCATAGCTGCAACTGTTATATTTGATAAGCAGTCTCTTCTGTTTTCTGGGTGAATGCTCCTGATCAGTGTTTATTTTTTTCATGAACGACGCGGCAGTTGGCTGTGGATCTGTGGCTATTGATGTGTAACCCCTTTTTCGGAGCCTACAAAACACGCTGAGGATTCAGTTTTCGTTCCGGATGGTCACAGAGCCAGGCTGACACTTTTTTCCCATTGAGTAGTAGGATAAATAGAACTCTGTTTATTCAAATATGATATTTAAAAAATAAGATTTAAGTAGATTTTCATTTCACAAAATAGACTTGTTTTTCCTGAGCAACCACTACTCGTATCGTCTACTGTCATTTAGGCATTGCTTTCACAGTAGCCTTGTGATTACAGCCGCCTGCAATTGGTTGGAATGTCACGTGTGTTTTATTCCTATTATTAATAGGCTAAGCATTAGAGTGCAGTTTTTAAAGATAATAATTCACATTTTTATCCTGGTGGTGATGAGGGTACGGTTCTGTGGAAGCACATTTATATTGTTAAACGCCTGACGAAGATTGAAAAGGATATTTTATTAAAAGGCTTTATGACTCTCAGGGGTCGGAGCGAATTCGGGAGGCTCGCAGAACCAGACTAAGGCTCTCTGTATTTTAAGTGTCGATTGCTAATTCCTGCTGCTGATAAAACAGGAATAAGGCCCATTTCGGAGGTTCACAGGACCAGGCTAAGCCTTCCTTCAAGATCACGAGTTCATGTTAATTCCTGAGGCTCACAGGGACTAGAATCAGGAACCCCATGAGATTTATCAGAGTTCAGCGTGAAAGATTGTTGCTTGCCCTGCTTCTTCTTTCCCTCTCGATACTCTTTTTTGTTTTTGTTTTGCTCATTCACAAAACGATGGGTGAAATGTAGCTTGCGGTTTATTTTGGGGCACAAACTAGCACGTGCTAGGGGTGTTTTTTTTTTACTATTTTTAATTTCGCGGCTGTGTAATTCTACGCGGCGTTGCATAACTACTGGTTAGCACATCACTGCTTTACGTTGGTGAATATTAATAATAATGATGTTGGCGTTATTAGTAGTGAGGGGTGAGGGTGTAATGTTTGGCTGTCTTGTGAATGTTTAAAAAAAAAAGGTCTTCTGTTATGGTGCACAAAATTGGATAGCAATACACTGGGCATCAGGTTTCATTCTTTAAGAATGTGAAACAAGGAAAGTTCCTCTTTCATTATGCACTGTATCTGCTGAGTTACTGTCAACTGAGTGCCTTTACTGCAACTTGAACACACTCTAGGCCTTACACGGTTTTGTCTTTGTTTTTTTTTAGCACTGTTGCACGTTTTTGGAGCAAATTTATTTAAGGTTACGTGTGAAGGTAATTAAATGTAAGGTACAACCTTATTTCAGAAATGTTATTTTTTGTTCTTAATATTCTCGTGCAGGAAAGACAATCCAGTAACAAAAAAGTTAAATCGCAAATTGCCAGGCCATGGTGTTTACACCTGTGATTCATAATTTTGGTAGAAAAAGTGAGTGTATTACATGGAAATTTGTGAAACGCAAACCCTCTGGGCTGAAAGGTGGCGCCAGGCAGTGAAGCAGTTGTTGTGAGTCTGTGTGCTCACCATTGAGTGTTATCACCTCGTACACTCTAGGTTTTCTCTGCCACATACTCCAAATGCAGGCCCCATCGTGAACAATAATTGTGATATTCAATGAGGCCTCGCTTGATGAAGAAAAGTCAAATAACATTTGAGCACTGCTGACTGAATACCCTCATGCCTTGCGGGTAGTGAGGGTTATCTGTCTGACCCTGCCCATAATGTAGCCCAGCCACCTATAAAACCTGTTTTTAAACGCAACCAGACTCAACTCTGCTTAGCTTATGACATCTGACGCCAGAAATGAAAATGTCTTCCTGCTCAAATGACCAATGAAGGGGGTCGTGCATCTCCATCGGCCACCCTGAACCAGTGATGGGAATTCCACGTTCATGTGACAAGGGCCAGTCCACCCAAAACATGTCAGGTCCTAGTTTAAAATAACTGGAGTGCGAATGAAGTGTACTGTATTGTACTTTATCACGGACATGTGCTATTTGAGGGATTTCTTTTTTGTAGTCGGGTATGGCGTTTTATGTGTGGGTTATAAAAAAATAAAGGTATGGTTTGATTTTCAAACAGTCGATTGCAAACGTGCTTTCAAATACGTCGGTGCGAGCCATCGGTTGGAACCCCAAATCGGTGGGTATCGACCAAGATCACAATCTGCCGCGTTCAAATGCTTACACTGGCTCCCCCCCCCTCCCCCCATCATCGATCTACGGACTAAGTTCAAGATTGCCATCCCTTTGTCATGGTGCTCTCTCATGCATGGTCTTTAACACATTATCTTCCCGTCCTACTCAAATACATGTGCCTCCAACAAACCCAAGGACCTAATCCCTCAACCTGCTCGCTATCTCCCAAACCAGGGCCGTGTTGGCCAGTAGGCCACAGTGGACGCTGTCTAGGGCCTACGCAAACTAAAAGGGCCTAGGAAAAAAAATGTGACCATGTTTTTGGGGTTTTTTGTATGATAATGAAAAATGGAACCAAGATATATTTAGGAATAAATATATATAGCAAGGATTGGCACTGTGTTTATACAAAGAGGCAGAGTCATGTCAAGCAGTTTTTTTCATAAGGTGAGAGAAATTAAGACCGAAGATGACCTTTTCGATTTTTTTCATTGCAAGATTTTCAAATAACATCTTCAAATGGTGTTTTTCGCACAATCTCATTCTCATTAGAGAATAGCGCAAGAGAAGGGACAAGGCGAAATCATTGAAGGCATCACTGAAGGCCCTACAAAAACCTTCTGAATCCGGCCCTGCCTCAGACCAAGAGACTGCTCTTGCCAAGGGCACCGTTTCTCTGCGGCTGCTGTCATCATTGGGTCAGCCCCGCAATAGAAAGGCAGGAACTCTCAGCGAGGTCCCCCGAGATATTAGGATCGCCTTCTAAGTATGCACAGCAAGGCCGTAGCCATGGAGTCAACATCGGGGTGGGGGGGGGGGGGAAATCTTCCAGGGTGTCTGGGGGTGCCAACCCAGAAAAAAAATCTAAGTTTAAAAATAATTTACTGCCTAAAATATTAAAAAATTCACTAACACATGAGATGGACTTTTTATTTATTTTTTACAATATGTCTAATAGTGTATTGTATTACATTGCTCTGTTTTTGACGGTTTTTTTTACCATTTCTTGTTTCATTGTATGTAATGGCAGATATTATGGATTAATAAAGTACAACCATAACCACAATCGTATAAACAGAAATCTATTTTATAGCAATATATTGGGGGGGACATTTTGAGCATATTTGAATATTGGGGGGGATGTGTCCCCCCCAATATTGATGTACAATATTATCTTCTTGGTTCTTTCGGTAAAGTCACGTAGAAGGAAAATAAAAAAATTAAAAATAACACATAATAAAATAATTATATTAGAATTTTTGTTTTTATTATTTATTATTTTCCTTCTACGTGACTTTACCGAAAGAACCAACAAGATGAATCCCTGCAGTCACGAAAGCTTTAAATCGAAAGTACAATATTAGTAATAAAAACACCAATAAACAAAAAATCATTGGGCACGTGGAAGGAGTAGGAGGCTACGTTGCTCAATTGGCGACGAGGAGGCGACGGGGGGAAGTGATGATAATGAAAGAGAAGCAGCAGCAGGAGGAGGAGGAAGAGGAGGAGACGATTTGAGGAAGAGAGGATGTGAAGCGGGAGAGAGGCTCGTGTAGACGACTTGCGCACAGATCCGGTGTGGGAGGGTGTGGGAGGGTGAAGGTGAAGAGGTGGGGGTCTGATGAGCAAAGAGGTTGAGACGTGAGGAAGAGGAGTGGAGAGAGTAGGAGGAGGAGTGGATAGGAGGAGGAGACAGAGTAGTAGTAGGAGGAGTGATGGAGAGGAGGAGGCAGAGGAGGAGGAGTGATGAAGAGGAAGAGGAGTGAGGAGGAAGAGTGGAGAGAGTAGGAGGAGGAGTGATGGAGAGGAGGAGTGGAGAGAGGAGACATGATGATGAGTAGAGAGTAGGAGGAGTGAGGAAAAGGAGGAGACGTGATGAAGAGGAGGAAGAGGAGTGATGAAGAGGAGGAGTGGACAGGAGGAGACGTGATGATGAGGAGTGGAGAGAGTAGGAGGAGTGATGAAGAGGAGGAGGAGACAGTAGGAGTGGAGACAGAGTAGGAGGAGGAGTGAGGAGGAGGCAGAGGAAGAAGAGTGGATAGTAGCAGGAGTGATGAAGAGGAGGAGGGAGAGGAGGAGACAGAGTAGGAGTGGACAGGAGTAGGAGGAGTGATGGAGAGGAGGAGGGAGAGGAGGAGACAGAGTAGGAGGAGGAGTGGACAGGAGTAGGAGGAGTGATGGAGAGGAGGAGGGAGAGGAGGAGGAGTCTCTCTGCTTCTCACCACTGCCCCTGCCAGGGCGACCCCCTCGTTACCGCTGCAGCTTCGCATCGGAGTCTCTGCCTCTCTCTCTCTCTCTACCCCGGGGTCCCTGGCTCCCCCCTCTCCCCCTCGTCACCCCCGGGGTCCCAGGCTCTCCCCGAGCCCCCCTCTACCCCAGGACCCCGACCCCGACTACCCCCCACACCTCGACGCCGTCTCCTCGTCCGCCCCGTCGCCTTCCCGACGGACGGAGCGGCCTCGGGGCCTGGGGTGGTGTGTGGGGGTCTGTGGGGGTGTGTGTGGGTGTGTGGGTGGTGTGTGTGTGTGGGTGGTGTGTGGGGGTCTGTGGGGGTGTGTGTGGGTGGTGTGTGTGTGGGGGGGGGGTCTGTGTGTGTGTGTGTGGGAGGTGTGTGTGTGGGTGGTGTGTGTGGGGGTCTGTGTGGGTGGTGTGTGTGTGTGTTGTGTGTAGTGTGTGTGGGAGGTGTGTGTGGGGGTGGTGTGTGTGTGGTGGTGTGTGTGGGGTGTGTGTGGGTGGTGTGTGTGTGGGGGGGGGGGGTCTGTGTGTGTGTGTGTGGGAGGTGTGTGTGGGTGGTGTGTGTGGGGGTCTGTGTGTGTTGTGTGTCTGTGTGTTGTGTGTAGTGTGTGGGGGTGGTGTTTGTGGGGGTGGTTTGTGTGGGGTGTGTGTGGGTGGTGTGTGTGGGTGGTGTGTGTGTGGGTGGTGTGTGTGGGGTGGTGTGTGTGTGGTGGTGTGTGGGGGTGGTGTGTGTGGGTGGTGTGTGGTGTGTGTAGTGTGTGTGGTGTATAGTGTGTAACTGGTGTTGGTGTGTGTGTAGTGTCTGTGTGTGTGTAGGTGGTGTGTGTGTGTAGGTGGTGTCTGTGTAGGGTGTGTGTCTGTGTGTGTGTGTGGTCTGTGTGTGTTTGTGGTGTAGGTGGTGTTGGTGTGTGTCTGTGTGTGTGTGTGTGGGAGGTGTGTGTGTGTCTGCGTGTGTGTAGTGTGTGTGTGTAGTGTGGTGTCTGTGTGTGTGTCTCTGTCTGTGTGTGTGTAGTGTCTGTGTGTGTGTTGTGTAGTGTGTGTGGTCTGTGTGTGTCTGTGTGTGTGTTGTCTGTGTGTAGGTGGTGTCTGTGTGTCTGTGTGTGTCTGTGTGTGTCTGTGTAGTGTGTTGTGTGTGTCTGTGTGTGTGTGTGTGGTGTGTCTGTGTCTGTGTGTAGGTGGTGTCTGTCTGTGTGTGTGTCTGTGTGTTTCTGTGTGTAGTGTGTGTCTGTGTGTCTGTCTGTGTGTGTGTAGTGTGTGTGTGTCTGTGTGTGAGTAGTGTGTCTGTGTGTGTGTCTGTGTGTGTCTGTGTGTGTGTCTGTGTCTGTGTGTGTGTAGTGTGTGTCTGTGTGTCTGTCTGTGTGTGTGTAGTGTGTGTGTGTCTGTGTGTGAGTAGTGTGTCTGTGTGTGTGTCTGTGTGTGTCTGTGTGTGTGTTGTCTGTGTGTGTGTAGTGTGTGTCTGTGTGTGTCTGTCTGTGTGTGTGTAGTGTGTGTGTGTCTGTGTGTGAGTAGTGTGTCTGTGTGTGTGTCTGTGTGGTGTGTAGTGTGTGAGCCGGTCCCCTGCCCGCGATGTCTGAGCGGGAGGGGTGCCCCCTGCAGGGCGCCATGAGGATGGTGAAGGCGGCCGTGCAGCTCGACGCCGAGGGGAGGGCCCTGGTGAGAGGGGAGGGCCCTGGTGAGAGGGGACGCCACGGGGCTCTCCAGGGGATGGGGGTCGGGGGGGTCGATTCGTATTGATCACGGTGGGATAGGGGGTTGACAAGACCCTTGGGGTGTTTATGCCATTTATTGTGAAAATTCCGTCAGTTCCTATGATTGCTTGTTCATTGCTTTCATGGCTTTATTTTGGTGATTTCGAAAAGTGTATTGGTTTAGCCATGTTTGTTTGTTGTAGTACAGAGTTAGACTGATGGACTTTAATCTAAGTTGTCTTGTGGATGTTGTTGTTGTTGTTTGACTTGCATCCCACTGGGATTTTTGCACACAGCGTTGGTGTACACGGTTTTTTTCTGCAATATTTTGCTGTCTTTTCTTGGATTTTCTTGGTTGCACTTAAGTCACATATTCACTTTAAGATGTTTTTTGTTCATGTTTTTGTTTTTTGTTTGTTGCGGTTGCACCCGATGCAAGAGCCGAATGGCTCACAGGGCTACACCTAATACATGAACTTGAAGGGGATGGTGGGAGCATCACTACCCGCTCCATACGAAACACCTGTGGAAAAGAGCTTTATTGCTCATCGGATTTCTCCTGCACTCTTAAATAGAATGTTCCGATTGTAAGGGATGGAGATAACGGAGTGCTGGAACAAGTCGGGACGCGTGGTTATCTTGGTTTATTTTAACACCGGCATTAAAACTAAATTGCGTCGTTTATTCTTTAAGTTAATGTTTAATCTGTTATCGTTGTTCATATCGAAACATTGTTCAGCCTTCCTTTTCAGATGACATTTAAAAATGGAAAGACAATTTGACTAAAGACGAACGAATTCAATTCGCGGTTATGATTGCCAAAGAAGGAAGCTGTGATATTTAAAAACAAACTCCTACATTAATTTCAGAAGATAATTCAAGCATGCGTTAATGTAAATGGAATTCAGTCCGAACATGTTGTTATAATGCATGAAATAACCCCGATGTGATTTGTTCAAATAATATAATCGCCTTACGTGTCCTGACTTTTGGGCCATCTTGTATAGTACTGGATGTGGATGGATGAGTAGGCACTGTGTGCCTAGCGCCTACTCACTCACCTACTCACCCAGCCACCCACTCACCTAGCCACCCACTCACCCAGCCACCCATTCACCCACTCACCCAGCCACCTACTCACCCAGCCACCCACTCACCCAGCCACCCACTCACCTAGCCACCCACTCACCCAGCCACCCATTCACCCACTCACCCAGCCACCTACTCACCCAGCCACCCACTCACCTAGCCACCCACTCACCCAGCTACCCACTCACCCATTCACCCACTCCCCCAGCCACCTACTCACCCAGCCACCCACTCACCCACCCACTCATTCACCCACTCACCCAGCCACCCACTCACCCAGCCACCCATTCACCCACTCACCCAGCCACCTACTCACCCAGCCACCCACTCACCCAGCCACCCACCCACTCATTCACCCACTCACCCAGCCACCCACTCACTCATTCACCCAACCACCCATTCACCCAACCACCCATTCACCCAACCACCCATTCACCCAGCCACCCACTCATTCACCCAACCACCCATTCACCCAACCACCCATTCACCCAGCCACCCACTCATTCACCCAACCACCCATTCACCCACTCATCCACCTACTCACCCAGCCACCCACTCACCCAGCCACCCACTCACCTAGCCACCCACTCACCCAGCCACCCATTCACCCACTCACCCAGCCACCTACTCACCCAGCCACCCACTCACCTAGCCACCCACTCACCCAGCTACCCACTCACCCATTCACCCACTCCCCCAGCCACCTACTCACCCAGCCCCCACCACTCACCCACCCACTCATTCACCCACTCACCCAGCCACCCACTCACCCAGCCACCCATTCCCACCACTCACCCACCACCTACTCACCCAGCCACCCACTCACCCAGCCACCCACCCACTCATTCACCCACTCACCCAGCCACCCACTCACTCATTCACCCAACCACCCATTCACCCAACCACCCATTCACCCAACCACCCATTCACCCAGCCACCCACTCATTCACCCAACCACCCATTCACCCAACCACCCATTCACCCAGCCACCCACTCATTCACCCAACCACCCATTCACCCACTCATCCACCCACTCACCCAGCCACCCACTCATTCACCCAACCACCCACTCACCCACAGGGCCGTATTATCCAAAAGGCCACAGTCGTCAGTGTGCCTAGGGCCTACAAAAACAAATGTAACCATGTTATTTTGTTTGTATGATAAATAATGTAACCAAAATATCTTCTTGAATGAATATATTTACATAGCAAGGATAGGCACAGTTTATATACAAAGATGCAGTGTCATGTCAGTCGTTTTTTTTGTAATAAGGTGAGAGAAATTAACCACCGGAGTTGAAATTTTCGAGAATTTTTTTCCATTGCAAAATGAGCAAATGACACCTTCAAATTCGCACAGTCAAGCAAATGACAGCGGTGGTAGTAGTGACACGGGGTAGCAGCAGCAGCGTCAGCTGTAGAGACTTATCACTGAAGGCCCACGAAACACAAGTGCCCAGGGTCTACAAAGAACCTTCATCCGGTCTTGCTAGAGGGGGGAATCGCTTTGGACCTGCCAACCCGGGGTGTATGTTCAATCAATTAATTGTTCGTGCTCCCAGCCGCTGTGTGACACTACAGGGCGGCCCTGTCCACGTGAGTGACAGGACATGTCCCGCGCCCTGCTGTTAGAGTGGAGCCAGCCCCCCAATGCATCTTAAAGAGTCCTCCTTCCTATTCGATCCCCAGCAAGGGAAATACATTTTCCCCACGTATATTATACCGTAGGTCATGTGTGGTATTAAACAACTAATGTTGAGATATATATGATGTGTATGTAGGGGATGGGGGGTGCGGGGGGTATATAGGAAAAGGTGTTTATCTTTGGGGTATTGATGTGTCAAACGTAGAACAACAGTATGGAGAGGTGTGTGTCAGAGTATACAATCGTTGTGCGCATTGTACATGGCGGTCCAGATGTCTTGTGACCCCCACTTCATTTGATCAAACTTATTTTTTTTAAAAACAGGAATGCATATGCAAAGGAACAAAATTGTTAGGGGTCAATTAATTGGGGGGGAGGGGGGGTCACAAGACATCTGCATGACCCTGCGTTATATGAAAACCCAAAAATGTAATCATATAGTACTGTAGTATAAAATCATCGAATTTTGTACGATTGTTTTGTTAACGATTTTCGATTGTCATTACAGATATTTTTAGGTGCGCTAATGTTAACATAAAAACACACCCAACGTTGTGTAGTACAATGTTATGTTGGGCATTTATCTCGTATAGGAAATCACCGTGCATTCAACTCTCTAATTTATTACAGATTTGTCATTCTGCATAGACTTAGTCTACTGTCCCCATGTTTTAGATGTGAGGGCAGATATGTACGTTAGGTACAGGACTACCCCTAACATGAAATCATTATGCTTAACCTTAAAATCTTGTTCCTGACCCCTAACCATTGACCCCTATTCCTAATTATTAATTACATCTTGATCCTGAGCCCACAAAACCCAACGCCTAACCCCTAAAGACTGACTTATAATCCAACACCCTAACCCCTTATCCCAAAACCCTACCATTAAACCACAACCCCATATCTCTAACCACTAACTCCTAACTCTAAAACGCTAACCAGTACAACCCTAACCCCTTACCCATAAAGCTGCAAAACGAAACCCTAACCTCTAGCTCCCAATATTAACCTCGAAATCTTAAGTTTTAAACAACACGCAAAAACGTGTAACCCTAAACCCTAACGCCTTAACCCTACACACACAAAAACGATTTCAATGACATCCCTTAACTACTGTATTTCATGAACTGACACTCAAGAAATTCCTGTGGTCGAAAAATGTGGGCTATCAGTTAACACAAATCTGTGGGGGCATTCGTAGTGCCAGAGGCTCAGATTTTTCGTAGTCTCTTCTCTGTAAGGGCCCAGAAGAATCCGAGGGAGGATGGTTTGTAGAGTTGTCTTGACTACTCCATTGACTCTGATGTACAGAATTCACACTTAGGCCTTCAACCCTTCTTATAATTCACCAAAAGCTAGTTGATGTATCTTTGTCCTCATGCAACCGTTGTGTATTATATGGAGATTAATTGTGGTAGGTGCATTAGTTGTGACGTGTGTAGTCCATAAGAGGTTTTCTGGGTAAGATCGCATGAATATAAATGTATCGTTAAACCCGCAAACACCCGACACAGCCAATTAGTAAGGTTTGTCACGGAAACAAAACTTGCCAATTCATGACTAGTACAGCACACCGGTGTGTTGGAGAGTAAACCCACAACAACGTTTACAATTTGAGTACAGTGACGTTTTGCCTGTAATTACAACAACCAGCATCATCAGGCGACAGCCAGAGTTGTGCAGTGCTTGTAATTGTAAACATTTGTAGTGCTTGTAATTGTAAACATGTGTAGTGCTTGTAATGGATGTCAAGCGAAATGTGTTGACGTGAAGGGGTGCTTGGATGAAGGGATTTCCACGACCGCTGGGCGGTGAGCGAACTCGGTTCGCGAGATGGTACCCCAAAGTGCCTCTGAGCTCGTGGAACATTGGGAGACATATCAGACAATTCTGGGCCATTCCTGGGTCACTGAGCCCCAGAGGTCGCAACCGGGTACCCGATACCCGTACCCTACCCGATACCCGGCTACCCGTACCCGGCCGGGTACGGGCACGGGCACCCGTTTGCGACCCTGGTGCGGCCGGGTACGGGTAAGGGTAGGCCATGAGTCACTGGTGAGTAACCGTTTGTCACTCATTTCGGGTAGGGTACGGGTAGGGAACGGGTACCCATTTGCGACCCTGGTGAGGCCGGGTACGGGTAAGGAATCAAAACCCGTTTGCGACCTCTGCTGAGCCCATCTGCCGGTGGCCGTAGAAGGTCGAGTGAGGTTATGTTCAGAGTGTGGGCTTGCCTAGCGGTCCGTCTAGATGCGACCTCTGCTGAGCCCATCTGCCGGTGGCCGTGGAAGGTCGCGTGAGGTTATGTTCAGAGTGTGGGCTTGCCGAGCGGTCCGTCTAGATGCGAGCTCTGCACATATATACATGGGGATTGCACTCTTCTTTAAACTATTTCACCAAAAAGATCTGTACCAAGAGGGACATAACCTATTTTCAAGCTTGTTACAGTATTTGTTGACACAATTCAAGGAATGCTGATGGTCACAGTCTGTGAACACTGTGCCAGCATTTGAGGCTTATGCGTGTTTACGTTTTGGAGGGCAGGGTTGGGAAACCCACGATCCCATGACCACAACCTCATTTCATACTGCCCCCAGCCACATGAGGCCTGCATCTCAGCTGCACTGATTGGGTACTAGAGGGGAATCATTTATACTGGTAGGAACCTCCTGGTTACACCAGCCCACAGGGGATTATTGTGTCCGTCCGTCTGTCGTACAGGGAGGGGCTGGGTGGGGAGGGAGGGGCTGGCTGGGGAGGGGAGGGTGGGGAGGGGCTGGGTGGGGAGGGTGGGGCTGGGTGGGGGGTGGGAGGGGTGGGGCTGGGTGGGGAGGGGCTGGTCCCCCGTGGTGCCCTTATAAAACTCAACGTTTAACCTACTCACGCCGGCTTGTGCCCGCCCTCACAGTCGGGCATATTTGCGGAATACACCACGCCGCCGTTGACCCTGACCATTGACCGAGCAACCCAACGTTCCTACCAGCTCCCTCCGCAGGAATGTGTTCAACCTGGCAACACCGTGTTTATGTTTTTAGCACACTCAGTCAATTCCAACACTGCAAAGACCTCATGCGGTGGCAGACGCTCCCGTACAATTTGCGTTATTATTGGATGACGCCGAGGTGTGAGTTAACGTGGGACTTCTAACGCTATTTGAAATTCCTGTTCGGCCCTCGTTAATGAAAAGGTTCCCCACCCCATGTTGTATGGTGTTTGTAGACCGCACTATGAACACATAAAAAAATTGTTAAAAACTCTAACAGATAGGTGAAATTCCTCCCCGTAGAGGGTATTCATTCTAGATTTGAAGCTTTTATTATAATTTTTTTTTGACCTACGTGACTTTACCGAAAAAACCTAAGAGTATGAATTCTTGCAGTCACGAAAGCTTCAAATCTAGAAGTGTCTCGAGTTGTGTGTGAGTTGGCGATGTTGAAGCCCCCACAAGGTTTGTATCCGGAGCTGACGAGCACGTGTGGGTGTCTGCAGGACGCGTACCGCGCCTACCTCTCCAGCATCGCCCACGTTAGCCAGGCGCTGCTCGCCGTCGCTCAAGAGAGACCGGCAGCCAATGGGGCCACTGCTGGTAAGACGTGGGGGCGAATACAGCCACAATGATGGCATTGCACGGTGGCCAGGAGATTGCAGTATAGCAAGTTGGCTTCTGTGCAGACCTTTGAGTGATATCTGATCGAATGTGTGGGTTTTTTTCTAGGTCCTCCAATATCATCCTGTCTTTTGGCAAGACTGACCCTTGCCATAGGAACCGAGACAAATTTGCATAGCACAGTGATAGTGCAGTTTTCGTTTACACAGAGGCATTTTACGTAAGGATATTATTTGCTATAGTACCCCACACCAGGTCAAAGCTGGGTTTACCGAGTCAAGGCTCGTTAGGTCAGAACAGCAAGAGTACTTTGGAGATGGAGCAATACAATCAACTCGTGTGCAGGTGGCTCTATGGATTGTTATATCACGGGATCATGAGAGATGCGACTTGCAGCATACGTATATCCTTGTTTGTTTACATATTAGTAGAATAGTCACACGTTCTATTTAATGTTTCTGTAACTTAATTAATGATATTAATATGATCAGTATAAACATAATCTGCCCGAGTCTACTCATGCTACAAGTAATTAATTGTTTGACTGGTATATATGAGCAATATTTTTTTACTTCTGATATGACACAGTTGTTTTTATTCTGATTCTATTTGCTTCATTGGCTGATTTATTGACTTGTTTTGCAGAGTAATATTTGTGACCCAAGTCACTCGCACATGAGACTTATCCTGGTCTCTTGAGTTTTCACCCGGTTCAACAAAATAAACTTAACAGCTTGGAGATGCCTTCATCCGGCAGATTAATTATCATGGATGATGATTATGATGATGACGATGACGACGGGTGGCGTATCGCTGCCACCGCTGTGTCCTGTGCAGAGTGCAGAGTGGTGTTCTCTCTACCCCACAGGCCTCTCTGCCCTGGAGGACAAGCTGCTGAGGCTGGTGGAGCACAGCGTGGAGCGTGCGCGGGCGACAGGCACAAGTCTGCCGGCGCAGCGGGACCACTGTGCCGGTAAGGCAGCGGTGGACACTTCGCCAAGCGCCGCGGGCAACCTTTTGGTGGATCTCAATGGGCCCTGCGATCCACTGGACGGCAATGACCAACAATTACCCACATCATATACTATAGACATATACTGTAGACATATACTGTAGACATATACTGTAGACATACACTGTAGACATACACTGTAGACATTGCCTATAGACATACAAAAATTACTTGGGCCATGTATTGATCTATGTGTATTAATTCTTAGTTGGGGTTTTTTTACTTGCCATCGGTCGTAATGAAGGTTCTTGCAAAGGTTCACCGCAACACCCCTGCACCCCGCTTCCCCCAACCGGAGTCGGTTGACCATTTCGTCGCGGTTAAGGATCGTGATTTGATTCGGAATTCGGTGATTTTCCCGTTGTGCATTACGTCAACCGATCACGTTATCTCTCGCCTCCGTGGAAGATGTAAGCGAGCACCGAGTACTCATCATTGAATACAGGAGGTCCCTGCTTCTCTGTGCTCACTCTCAATCTATCATCATACTTAGGCATCTAATAATCGAACGATTTATGGATTAAAATAAAAAAAAAACATTGCTAGCACACACGATACATGCACCTAATTGTGCATATTAATGAACAGTTTCAATTGTATATGTCGTATTTCAGGGTTCCGCTAGCGTCTGCTCACGGACCACGTGACATGATATGGCATTATTACATTCCTAATCAAGCCCCGATTAAAATGCTTCAAATGACGCGCAGTGTGTGTGTGCGCGCGTGCACGTGCGCCGGCGGTGCCTGGTAGTAACCTCGGGCGGTGCTGGACAGATGGGTGCAGAGACGTGCACGTGGCTGGCGGTGGCTGGCGGTGCCTGGTAGTAACCTCGGGTGGTGCTGGACAGATGGGTGCAGAGACGTGCACGTGGCTGGCGGTGCCTGGTAGTAACCTCCGGCGGTGCTGGACAGATGGGTGCAGAGACGTGCACGTGGCTGGCGGTGCCTGGTAGTAACCTCGGGCGCTGCTGGACAGATGGGTGCAGAGACGTGCATGTGGCTGGCGGTGCAGGAGAACGCGGCGCAGACGTGGACGGTGGCTGCCCTCCCGGCGTGAAGACGGCGGCACAGCCAGGCCCGGAGTCCACAGTTGAGGGCGACCGGCCGCTGCCCAAGCCTCGGACGAACATCCTCCGTGCCTTCCCCTCCCCGACACTCTTCCAGAAACAGCAGCAGGAAGCATCGGTCTCCTTCAAGAGGTGATTTCTTTTTCTGTCACTGCTGTTGAGCACAGTATCCGTAGTCGTAGCTCATCTTTATTTTAACTTAGGCAGGGTAATGATTTTTTTTGGAAGAGCAATGGCAGAGTGGTTCTTGCACCTCCGCTATGGATCGGTGACCTGAGCCGACGGCGAGTGGTGTCGCGGCAACTTCTCTCGTTCGTGCCGTCTTGCTTGTATTTGTCGTCACCGTTTCTTCTGTCCTGTTCGTTCCGGTTATCTTACACGTTTGCCTGCGGTACGCATAAATGTTACACGATTCGGGGGCCACGCTATTCGATTGTTATGCAGCTGCCTGGCAATAATTGCGCTTGTTTTGGTGATGACAAGATGGCTGTTGTCAGGGACTCAACCCTCAACGTTGAATTGTTTGCGGTGGCAGGAAGTTGGGCCCGGTAGAGGAGGCACGTGTGCAGAACATGAAGCTGATGGCGGCATACCGCGCACGCATGTCTCGACTCAACCCACGGCACGCGTCCGCCAAGACTGCGCTCGTGAGTTATACACGCGCCTCGTCAAGGCTCGCTTCCTCTGCCCATGGCTGACCATTTCCGTCCACTGGTTCCCAATCTAATCCCGAATCAATTTCAAGATCGCACCATCTTCAGCATTCTCCATCGACTCACCCCCCCCCCCCCCCCCCCGCTTACCTCTCTCATCTCATCTCAACCTACTCCCCACCGTGCACTCACTGCCCCCGCGATGCAATTGGCGGGAAATGAATGAAAATATGTACGAGCTCAGGGTTGTTGCGTGTGACCCATACAGAACCTGAGCTTGGAGCGGCGAATGATGGAGAATCTTCTCATTGCCAAGGCGCAGGAGACTGCCGTATCCGACCCCCTGGCTCTTAATCTCCGTGGCCCACGGTCGCGCCTCTGCTCTCGAACACCACTCGGCGTTGGGGTTGGGCGGCGGCAGTTTGGCAACGCAGTGGTTAACACTTGTGTCTCGTAGCAAGGAGGGTCCGAGGTTCGATTCCCAACTCGGTCGCCTTTCTCCATGGAATCTGTCTGCCCTCCCTCCTGTTCTGCGCAAACACTGTGGCCGGTACCTACAGTCGTGCCTTGACTAGAACCATCTCTCAGCTGCAGCGGAAGATGGTGGAGCGAAGACAGAGGCTGAGGGAGGAGGCTGACAGGTGAGCTCACCGGCAATGGGCCCCTGGGAATTCGCTGCCTCCTTGTGTGGTAAATCTGTTGGGTCTCCCCAAAGCTCCCCTAAACAAATTGTCAACGTCTGCCCCCCCCCAAAAAAAACTTTTAACAATCTCCATAAAACCTTCCGGAAGGCAGTTTAAATCTGTAAATGATGAGGAAATTCATCACATCAGCGTTAGCACAAGCCCGGAAACAAACGGTTTCGACAGTACACTACAACGTGCACTGTATGCACAAATGCTCTCAGCCTCGTGCATAATGCAAAAGCCACCAGTTCCTGAAGAACTGCATTTTGGTCATCTTGTCTGAAGTCAGCATCAAGAAAATTGAGACAATGTGACCAACCGACGGGCAGCAGTTAGACAAAGCGGCAACTGTAGCCCGGCTCCGTAATTATTAGGACTCATCAGTACAGCCAGCAGAAGCTCACGGCTGTCTAGAGTAGGCCCAGGACTGGATTCAACATCACCGCTGATGTTAGCTGTGGCCAGGAATTGAACTCTGGTCACCAAGCTCGTAGTGCGGTGCGCTTACCACTGCGCCACCGCTCCGCCCTCAATACAGTCCTGAAACGTGGACACACACGCACACATCCACACCGATCTCTTCACATTCTCGGGCGACGTTCACACAAACGCCAAACGAACGCGCAAAGCAAACGTGTCGCTGATGTCTCCTTCCCCCGTGGGTGGCAGGCGCCTCTCCCAGAATGCCGCACTGTCGGCCACGGAGCCGGAGCGACGCAGCGTGTTGGCCCGCGTGCTGGAGTACGAGCAGGACAACGTGAGTCTCTCTCCGCTCCACCGCTCGCACGGCTCCTCCACTCTCCTGGTGGAGCCAAAGTGAACGAGGGCTCTTGGAGTTGTTCACACGGGGAGCCGGCCACCGTTTTGGTGGCCTTAACCGTGTTTCGTTCACGCGTTTGTACATCCTGTGATTTCTGGTGTCGTGTGTGTGTGTTGGCGTGTACCGCTGCTTTCAAGTAATCTCGTGTTTGTGTATTATATTTTGTTGATGCCTGTGTTGCTTACTTCAGTGTGTGTGCGTATATGATGTTTTGTGTTTGTGTATTATATTGTTGATGCCTGTGTTGCTCACTTCAGTGTGCGCGTATGTGTTGTTTTGTGTTTCAGTGTGCGCGTGTCTGCGCCCTGTACGTGTGTTTGTATGTGTGCTTATACTCTGTACTTATGCGTGTATGTGTCTGCATGCATGTGCCCGTGTTTATGCTCTTTGTGCGCGTGTGTCTGTGTCTTTGTGGGCGCGTGCGGGATGCCAGGAGTGGCCGAGGCAGTGGAAGGCTCGGCTCCGGGAGCGCCCCGACGACTCCGCGCTGGTCTCGGCTCTCATCTCCACGCTGCTCAGGTGCCGCTCGGTCCCCTTGCTGTGCCTCTCTTACAACTCCAGAGCGACGTGGCTCGCGGCGTCCCCCTGCTCAACCGAGCACGAGGGAGTGGGGGACGGCAGTGCACTCATCACCACTCGCAACCCAGAGTCAGCGTTGGAAATTTCACATTCCGATAGCAAAAGCCAGTCCGTCCATCCCGTGTTTTTTTTATTTTGGTGGGGCGGGGAGGGGGGAGGGGGAGGACAATTCCCTTAAAATTTAAATATAATACAAAATATAGTTTCCTCTCTCGAAGATGAAGACTTAAATGGCGTGCAAAGCAGTGTTAGCTGCGTCTCTATGCTACGTATTAGACGCGACTCACCCAGTAGAGTCTGCCTGTAAGGCCGACGAGGAACTGACACTTGCTCCTGTTGCCAACAAACTTTCCCCCGTGTGGTCGGATCGTCAAAGCTCTTAACCGGCACCTATATTGGGCTCGGCAGACCATGCCAATTGATGGGAATGTTGCAGTTTCCCTGAGGTGGTGGTGAAGGCGATGAATAGCGGGCAGTGTTGGGCTATAATGACCGTGTTGTTGAGGACGATATGGGTCGTTATTTCGGCGTTTGAACCGTCTCTCCGCAGTATATACACGGCGTTGAAAATAAAGCGCCGCAATAAACCCTCTTATTGACTTTGAGACGAGTGAATTTTGTACCCTTAAGGGGCTTTTTTAGACTTATTGGCTCTTTGTTTTACAGCAGAGCTTGTCTTAAGAGCTGTGTGTGTGCGCACGCATTCATGCGTGTGCATTTGGAATTTCAGTCCCAAATCTCATCGGTTGAATTCATGTCATCACTCTCTTAGTCTGGTCGACTGAAGCAGTCAAGCATTGTGTCCACTCTTGGTGATTCAATGTAGACTTTGGGTGCACGATATCCCCTCCCGTTCCCATATCATAAGCTCAGCATATCGGTGAACTCTGTACAGTATACCCCCTCCACTTAAGGACGGTAATTGATTTCATGAGACCGGTTAAGTGATTTTGTCGTTATGTGAGTATAGGAGATGCACGTTATTGGCTTAATTCGTTTCATCAAAAGTTACCTTTTCACCCAAAGAACGTACTTTACATTATTTATAAACAATGGACATTACGTAAAAATAACAATAAGGAGGTCCCATGATAATACTAATAACATTATAAACACATAAGAATAGGGTTTTCCCCTTTTTTCTGGCAACAAAATTGAAACCTTTTTACAAGGAATCATGTGTGCATTAACCACAATATTTGTGGTCAGAATGCAAACAAAAAACACTGATAATATATCCATTGTCCTTGAAACTGATTGGTCCACACCAGAGACAGCTTTCTTTTGAGCCTCGTCTCAAACGGTGTTAGACCAGAGGACGCCAAAAGGCGTACAGCTCAAAGACAATGCCACTATCAGAGTAATGAGAGCTCGGGGTGAGCATCTACATCATGGGCCCTTCTTTGCCAGTACCAAAATATAAGAATAGATTTTTCCCCTTTTTTCTGGCAACAAAACTGAAACCTATTTACGAGGATTCATGTCTGCATTAACCACAATACTTGTGGTCAGAATGCAAACAAACATTATAAACGCATAATCTTAAAAGGAACATGATTAATCGATGCATTAATATTTACTGTTCCGACAGCAGCCCGTCGTTAACGGGGGAAAGGTTGGTAAGCGAACACGTTGGGCTCGTCGTTAAGTGATTAGTCATTAACAGCGGTGGTCATTAAGAGGGGTTCTATTGTAAATCCTTTCATTAACACATTTGGCACACTACCGTATTTGGGCTTCCTCAGTTCACTCGCGGTCTCTAACGACGTTACTAATTTATCGCAGTCTGCGTCTTCATTCGGACTCGATCATTTTGTCCCGTCAATTTCGTCTCGTCAGTCGGGCTCTAGTCTGGGGTGGGTTACCGTCGTCATCATCAGCGTTCCACCATTTTACCCGGTCCACTCGCAGCCCTCATCGACTTAAAATCGTCACAAATTTCACGACGATAATTGACACTTGCTTGGCGTTTCATCGCCCGCAGCTGCGGGGAGCACCCCCTGACTCAGCTGCTGCAGGAGCAGCAGCTGAGAGTCTACAAGAAGCTGCACCCCCTTGTGAGCAAAGCCACCCAGGGGCAACTCGGGGACGACGGCGACGGTGGCAGTGACAGTGGTGGCAGCGGCACCCCGGAGCCAGCACCAGCACCAGCAACAGCAGCACCAGCAGCAGCACCACCAGCAACAGCAGCAGCAGAAGCAGCAGCAGCACCAGCAGCACCTGCGCCCAGTGTTCGCTCTCCCCTCGGCCCAGACGTGGCTTCGCACGGCGCGGATTGTGGGATAACGGAGAGAACCAAGCGGGCCGTCGTGGTGCAGAAGTTGGCACCAGAGTCTGGGGAAGAGAGACCGAGCGTCAAGGCAGACTGGGGAGCGTCCCCAGACACCCGCGTGGAAGGTGCGTATGTACGTGCGTGCGTGCGTACGTACGTGCGTGGGTGCGTGAGTACGTACGTGCATATGTGCGTGCGCGTCACTAGCTCGCAGCGGATAATCGCGAGGAGAGGCGTTGTCTGCCCAGAGTGCCCATGCTGAACCCCACCAGCTTTTACAATCAAAGTCTCTCTGCTCAATTTAGCATTGCGCGGCCTCTTTTCCGTTCGTGGCTTGAACATTCCACGTTTCTACGGCTCTTTGCGACTGTGATTGCAGAAATAGACAAGGGTCAGATACATCACCCCCTTTCGCCCAACCCACACTGATCAGTTTGGTGAAGTATGGCAAAACACGATGTGGGGGGTGCCTTCATCCGGCAGTGGATTGACGTGGGGGCGATGTGATTAGAAATGTGGTTTGGTATTTTTGTAAAAACAAAAAAACGTGTTTCTCTCGTCTTTCCAGCCACCAGTCCACTTGTATTCTTAACGTTTAGAAATCCCCCCCTCGGGCAGTGGAACGTGCTTTAGATGAGGCTCTCAAGGGCTGGTGTGTACATTGAGTGGCCGGCGCGTCCCGTCTGCCGCCAGACGCCCGAGGAGTGCCCAGAGACGGCTCCTTCGAGGAGCTGGGCGTGGAGCTGACCGGGCGTGAGGGTGAGCTGCTTCGGGGCAGCGATGACGACGAGGACGAGGAGGGGAGGGGGAATGCCGCCCTGCGCTTCATGGAGGAGCAAGCACTGCGAGAGCACCTGAAGATCATCGTCAACGATGTGCACACCTGCATGGGTGACTATAGCCCGCGTCATCATCGTCACCATCCGTTACGTAGCTCAGCGTGCATTTGATAGCCTTCGTAATCATCGTTTACACCTGCACGGATGAGAATCCTTCATAAACATCGTCATCATCATTTATCACGTACCACCTGCGTGGGTGAATGGTTATAATCATCTACATCTGCGTGGAGTAGAATTCATGGTCGTCCTAACACGCGCAAGAGGGCCTTTGTCTAGATGGTAATTAAGCACCTGCATGAGTGTCTGCTCTTTGTGTACTGCCTTTTGTCTATGTGCTGCGTGTGCTGCAGATTCTCTGCTGGAGCTGTGTACTGTGTGTACTGCGTGTGTACTGCGTGCACTGTGTGCTGTGTGTGCTGTGTCTGCTGTGTGTACTGCAGACTCTCTGCTGGAGCTGTGTACTGTGTGTACTGCGTGTGTACTGCGTGCACTGTGCGCTGTGTGTGCTCCAGACTCTCTGCTGGAGCTGTGTACTGCGTGTGTACTGTGTGTGCTGCAGACTCTCTGCTGGAGCTGTGTACTGTGTGTGTACTGCAGACTCTCTGTTGGAGCTGTGTGTGTGCTGCGTGTACTGCGTGTGTACTGTGTGTGTACTGTGTGCTGCAAACTCTCTGCTGGAGCTGTGTTCTGTGTGTGTACTGCGTGTGTACTGTGTGTACTGCGTGTACTGCGTGTGTGCTGTGTGTGTGCTGCGTGTGTGCAGTGTGTACTGTGTGTGTACTGCGTGTGTACTGTGCTGTGTGTACTGTGTGCTGCAGACTCTGCTGGAGCTGTGTACTGTGTGTGTGCTGCGTGTGTACTGTGTGTGCTGCAGACTCTCTGCTGGAGCTGTCTGTGCGCTGCGTGTACTGTGCTGTGTGTACTGTGTGTGCTGCAGACTCTCTGCTGGAGCTGTGTGTGTACTGTATGTGTACTGTGTGTGCTGCAGACTCTCTGCTGGAGCTGTGTGTGTACTGTGTGTGTACTGTGTGTGCTGCAGACTCTCTGCTGGAGCTGTGTGTGTACTGTGTGTGTACTGTGTGTGCTGCAGACTCTCTGCTGGAGCTGTGTGTGTACTGTGTGTGTACTGTGTGTGCTGCAGACTCTCTGCTGGAGCTGTGTGTGTACTGTGTGTGTACTGTGTGTGCTGCAGACTCTCTGCTGGAGCTGTGCGTCCTGGCGTTCGAGCAGCTGGAGTCTCCTGCGGGGCGAGATCAGTGCCTGGCGAGTCTGGAGGAGGCCTTCTTCAAGCCCCTGTGGCCTCCCCTCCTCGCCCTGTTCAGGTCTCTGTCCGCTTCCTGCCCAAGTCCAGGCTCAAGACCCCAACGCGTTGTTCTGGCTACGACCGACTGACCTGCCGCTCCTCCGGAATAGCAATGTGTGGAGCCGTATGCGTGATGGGCATCGTCTCACGGTTTCTGTACACCGGTGGTTCTCCTTACCCCGGGGTGCACGCTTCCCGCAGCTGCGGGCAATGAAACGCCAAGCAAGTGTCAATTATCGTCGTGAAATTTGCGACGATTTTAAGTCGATGAGGGCTGCGAGTGGACCAGTAATGGTGGAACGTTGATGATGACGACGGTAACCCACCCCAGACTAGAGCCCGACTGATGAGACGTGACTGCCGCTTTGTCGTGTCGAGCCGCACTAAAATAAAAGCACGAGCCGCTGGCGGGGTTGGGTGACCCCCCTCCACATTTCTCCCCCCTCCGCTCAGGATGGTTCACGGCGCGGAGGAGCGGGCGCTGGCGACGTGGATGGCGGCGTACGCCCTCGCGACGCCCGGCGACCTCGGGGTGCCCCCCGAGCTGCGGCTCGTGCCGGGCTGCAGCCGCCCGGCCGGCCCCCCCGGCGACGCTGCAGCCGACGTCTCCTCCTCGGAGGGCGACGGGCGAGTTGATTTCCCGTACGGCGCCGCGGTGGAGGAGCTGAGGAACCTCGCCCAGCACTGCTGCCCGCAGCGCAAACTCGACTGCATCGGTAAGACGTGTGCGTGCGCGCGTGTTTGGCAAAGCAGTGGCTTTCACACTTGCTTGGTGCGGCGGCCCCCCTAATGAAGATTACTTGGCCCCCCACACCCTCCTTCTCAACGCCTGCGTACCCCCCACCCCCCCCCCCCCCAGGTTACTACGGTACGCAGGTCGCATGCCCACGTCTCTATTAAATGGAGTTCGGCATGTTTCGTGTCGTGTATCGGTGTGTTTTGTCGCCGCGATGTGGGACGAACGTACCCCCAGATGTTCTCCTGCACAGTGTGCATGCTGCATCCTGCACCCCCCCCCCCCTTCCTCCTCCAAAAGGCTTTTGTGGGGGCACAATCCTTGGGCTGAGTACCGCTGCCTATCAAGGCTCTTTTGGGAGATCTTTGTGGACGGTCTTTAGAATCTAGATTGAAAACCCATTTCTTGAAAACTCCTTTTTGTGTTTGGTTTGTTGTCCTTCCCCCCCGCACATCCAAGTAGCTCGGCTGGCCACGTACGGGCGGTAAACAAGTTGAACGCACATGCGTGTTTGTGGCGTGTTTGTGGCGTGTTTGTGGCGTGTCTGTGGCATGTTGTGCTGCAGTGCGGACCACGAGACAAGTGTGCGAGTGCGTGGAGAGCTTCTACGAGCACCAAGAAGCTGCCTTGAGTCCACCCGCCATGTAAGAGGAGCGTAGCGCTCACCCACCACACACACACGGTGCCATTATCATCTCCAGTACCGCCCTGTGGGTGTGTATTTACCAGAGGTGGGACAAAGTCATTGTTATGCAAGTCCAAGTCGAGTCTGAAGTCATCAAATTCATGACTCGAGTCTGACTCGAGTCCAAGTCACATGACTCGAGTCCACACCTCAGAGGTGGGACAAAGTCATTGTTATGCAAGTCCAAGTCGAGTCTGAAGTCATCAAATTCATGACTCGAGTCTGACTCGAGTCCAAGTCACATGACTCGAGTCCACACCTCAGAGGTGGGACAAAGTCATTGTTATGCAAGTCCAAGTCGAGTCTGAAGTCATCAAATTCATGACTCGAGTCTGACTCGAGTCCAAGTCACATGACTCGAGTCCACACCTCAGAGGTGGGACAAAGTCATTGTTATGCAAGTCCAAGTCGAGTCTGAAGTCATCAAATTCATGACTCGAGTCTGACTCGAGTCCAAGTCACATGACTCGAGTCCACACCTCTGGTATTTACTGCGGTGTATGTAAAGTATGGAGGTAGGTTTTTTTTTTTTCTTTAGTGATTTTATATATATATGCAACGTGTGTGATATGATTTGTTTGAAATTCAAGACCGTCGCACGACGATAAACATTGTTGGTAATTTTATATTTAAAGCCAGAGCATTAGAATGTGTATTGTTACCATTTATAGGCACATATGTATGATGTTAAACTTCTTTTGCATCTTCTTGGTTCTTTCGGTAAAGTCACGTAGAAGGGAAAAAATAAAATAAAACATAATAAAATACAATTCTCACGACGTTTCGGCCACAACCCAAGCAGCCGTCCTCAGGTGAAGAACAGGTCTGTCGGAAAGACAGCGTCTTTTGCATCCTACGTAGCCAACCGTGATAATTGGAGGTGCGGCGGAAGGACAACTCTGGTGTGGTGTGTTCCCGTGCGTGCGTGTGTGCGTGTGTGTGTGTGTGCACGCGTAGTGGGGCGGACGATCTGCTGCCCATCCTCGCGTTCGTGGTGCTGCGGAGTCAGCTGCCCCAGCTCATCTCCGAGTGCGCCGCTCTCGAAGAGTTCATCCACGAAGGGTAAACGTCTCACTGCGATACGGCAAGGGCGGGGAGAGCCTACTGCGGCTCACAGGCCAGAAACCGTCCCACGACTTCATTTCACACTGCCCGGGTGCACGTACCAGGCCGTCCAGGCACTTTGAAGCGGGCCCGCCCAACGATATGTTATTACCGCAGAAATCACGCCTCCACTAATCGGCTACAATTGTGGAATATTTTTAAAATGGAAAAAAAAAACTTTGCTTCCAATTGTAGTGCATCAAGTTACGTCTTGCCACTACAAGGCTTTCTAATATGTGTGGCGCATGCCTGGTTTGTGCATGTTTATGTGCACGTATATGTAGCGGTTAACGCGCTGTGCTACGAATGTGGCGGCCAGTTCGATTCCCGCTCACGGCCGACACCGGTGACGATTATCTGAACCGGTCCTGGTGCGGTTGTGTAAACATCGCCACTGGGGAGACAAAGACGGCCGGGCGTGGTGCTGGCCACCCACCCCCTCGTGTACTGTTCCGGCCTTCATAGGTGCTCGCTAACAGCACTTGGCCCAACAGTCTTTTCAGGCTACACGGAGGATTTTTGTCTTTGTATTTTTGGCATAGTGGGGCGCACAGGTGGGGCATCTGCCAACCAACTTGGTCGGTCAAACCATAACATCTGGGTCTGTTGTCCCGTGACCTCCCGCCAGCAGAGCCTACCACACCGCACGCGAAGGCCTCCAAAGTCCACCTAGGCGTGGTGACGCCACCGCCACTTAGGAGGCGAATGGCGGTTGTTGTATGTGCATGACCGGTGCGTGCACGTGGCTGTGACCCTGGACAGATACCTGATGGGGGAGGAGGGCTACTGCCTCACATCCGTGCAGACGGCGCTCAACTCGGTGACATCGCTTCCCATACCTTGCGGACAGCCGCCAACGTAGCGCTACCTCCTCACGGCCGCGGATCCACGCCTCCGCACCGTCCCTCCTCGGGGCCGTCACCAAACGCCGAGCAGAAGCGCGACAGGGGAGACCCACGTGCAATCTGGGGTGACGAGTGGTCGGCATGGGCTCTGGTGCAAGGAATTAAATGGGACCCCCCCGTCCTCCTCCCTGTGTTCTGTCTTCGCGCGTCTCCAGCGGTTGATGCCGAGACGTCTTGGTGTTACGCGGGTTCGTGTGACACCCGCGGCGATCGCAGCCATGCGGCTGCAGGGTTTTAACGCTGCTGCCCCTACCGAGTTGCAACAATCGGCCACCACATGAGAACGTCTTCCTCAAACCGCCGCCGCTCACCACCCGCTCCTAAACCCCCCCTCCTTTCTCTGCGTAGCTCCGGCAGCACGATAAATGACATCACTGAAAAACAGAATTTCTCAGTTTCGACTCCTCTCCGTCAGTGGAATCAGTGGGGAAAAACATCACAGCTGCAAGAAGGCCGATTGTGTCACGTGATCTCATGTACAGTACAGCTACATCCCTTTCATAAATCCACTTCTGGGCTCTGGCCCTCCTGTCGTACGGGGATCGTGGTGAGCAGACCAACGGGGAGCATAGAAGTACAGTACAGCAATGTGTTCTGCTGCACTTCCCTCTGTCGCCCATAATGTAGTCCTGCCGCCTATAACACCTTCTATACATATACTTGGCAGTCGTATCCATGGTCAACCCTGATAAGTTTTGGAGATCTGCCGTATTCCGGGCGATTTGATCATAGGCAGGTCAAACCAAATATACCGTACAAAATAATGAAACAACTTCTAATGCAGTGGTACTTGCCACCAAAAAGCAAAACACTCACCACAAATCTTCGAGGTACGTAATTGAAAAAAAAACTGCACCAATGCTGTAATTACAATTTCTGTAAAAGAAGGAATATATGTAGTTTTGTGCAATTGTGGTATTGTTGATGTTGCGGGTTAAGAAAGCCATATTGCCGCTTGCTTTTATGGCAAGTGCAGCGATGGGGTTCATCGCGTGCAGAAGTTGGCCTGAAGCCCACAAACAAATGTGCGTCATGAGGAGACTTCTCATCCAGACAGATTATTATATAATAAAAGCCTAACGGTTATGCAGTTCTGTAGTGTGCATTTTTAAAAAATCACATTTGCAAAGCCCTCAAAGCTACAACATGCCAAGCGGGTCAGGCACGATAGTTAACGGTCAATAGGTGTCCTGAATTCGGGGATCAGCAAATTGAACGGAGCCATGGATGACCGATGCTCACGATGACGAAGATTAGTTTGATGGGATGGACAATTGATGATGACGATGACAATGGGTGGCGCCCCCCCATGGAGACTGAACTTTGCCTCTCACTTGCGAGTCAGTCGCTGACCGCGCACAGCCACCTGCAAAGTAATACAATGATGCCCGTGGGTTTAATAAGGGACACTGGCAGAGCGCGCTGGGTTGATGCACTTGTATTCAAGAACACTGGGTAACGAGAGCTGCAGGGACGGCAACTGTTCAGCGACAACACAGACTGCCCCGTGACCGTGACCCGTGACCGTGACCCGTGACCGCTTGCCTGTCGTCACGAGGTTAGTGGCTACAAATGGGCCACCCCCCTTGCCACTCGCCAGGGTTTGCAACGGAGTTACAACCAACAGGATGGAACGTTGCCCCTCTTTTTTTTCCTTCCAAATGTGAATGAAACCATAATACAAATGGTACGTTTTATTCACTCTTTTTGTTCAATATAAGACCAGTTTTATGGAGTTTTACTGGATACAGAGAGGTGTAAATATCAGGCATGTAACGGACACACCTGGCGCACCACGAGGTCAGGGGTTTGCCACAATTTGAGACTGCGATTATCTTCAACAATTTAGTATTTTTACTGTATCGTTTATACAGTACACCGTGGGTTATTGTTTTCTTCCCCCTGTCGTTTGTAAGTTGGAGCCGAAATGCAACGGTAACCTATCGAGGAGGTAATATAAATGCCATGTTTGACAATGCACTGCCGGACGAGGGCATCACGACGCACTGCGTGGCGAGTACAGAATAGTGGATTCGCTGCACTGCTCTCTGCTGACCACAACACAGACTGCGTCCGTCGTGTGTGCGTGATGGTCTCCCATCTGAGCGGTATCGAGGCTTCGAAGCCTTGTTTAGCTTCTCTCTGACTGGGTCGGCACACGTTTTGGAAACTTGGTCAAAAAAGCAGGATTTAATTTCGGCCGGAGCTATCTGAGCCTGAGCCCCAGAGAAGTATTTCACGAAAATGCAAGCTCTTCAAATTAACATCATCTGCATGTAATTTCCATGCATTGTAAATAGTTGATGGCTATGCAAACGACCCAATGATGCATACAGGTGCAACTTCTTTTGCACCGCACGTAGCCACCCGTGCTAATCGGAGGTGCGAAATGATGCTCGTACCGTGAGCGCGAGGATCGATTTAACAGGTGCATCGTCGTTACGTGCCTGGATATGCAGACGTAATGTCCCTAACAAACCACATCAGAAACCACAAGCTCCCCACGCAATGGCTGTGGGCACACTAGCTATTGAACGGCATATCAAATATTAAATAAAAACGTCACAAACCAGTATTCAAAATGACTATTGCTCAACACTAAATGACTCGTACATGAAGACTCGACAATTACATCCGCAGATATTTAGAAACCTTACATGTCTCGAAGGATTCACATCGATTATGGTTTTCTCCGTTTCTCGAGAAACCAAATGAGAAATGGGGGTGTGGTTGGGTAGGGGGGGGGGGTTTGAAGCACTATCAGCGAGTGCTACAAGGGGCGCCCCAACTTGCGGAAGGCGAAACCACACAGGAAACTATGTGTGAAAGAAAAAAAAAATCAAACTCTTCCCCCCCCCCCCCCTTCCCCACAATGGATAAAACTTAAAAATAAAGATGAACGTGAACATCACAAAGAACACCTCCCAACGGCAACGGCTCGGGGTTGGAATCACAATTGAAACAACGGAACAAAAAATTCACCCCGGCTCAAGGTACACACAACGCATACAAAAAGGGGCGGGGGAGGTCTCTGTTGCTGTAGAAAAGCGAATGGCGCGCAGAGGGGGGGGGGGGGGGGGGGGTAAGCGTGTGGGGCGGTGGAAGGTGAGTTTGCAAGGTGAGGGAGTGTTGTCAAGCACCCAAGAATTTTTTTTTTTCTTTTCTCAAGAATATAAAATCTCAACTGCACTTACCCGCGAGAAAACGTATCTGCTCGCTCCTAATTTCGCAAAAGCGGTCGGTGACCCTTCGCGTTGGAGAACGGCGCACGCAAGCGGGATATCGCAGAGTTCCCGCGATCTGAGATCTGTTCCAAGCGATTTCTGGTGCGGCTCAGTCGAGGAGGGCAGCAGCACCCTCACGCGCTCAGAATATGGTAACGTTGATCGCACGGCAGTACAACTGATAAGTTGATTCTCGGAGTTGGAATAAAATGTGTTCTCGGGTGGGTGGCTCCTCTCCATTGGCAGCAGTGGCGAGCCAGCGGAGACTTCACAACCCCATGATGGTGGTGGCCAGATGTTCCGTAGGCCGACCACTTGCAAGTACAGCTCGTATTGCCAACGGCACGTTGACGATAACACCACTTGGCCCGATTATAAGCAAATACAAATAGGTCATCGGGTCACCGGGGCCAACGCCGCGCTAACGCCACCTTCACCTTGAAATCCCTCCCACCTTTCTGCCACATCGCTTCCGTGTGACAAGGGGCGACGGAGGAGTGCGTGGCAACTCCCAGGTAAACGCGAGCCGTGGACTCTTCCGCCGCCCCTCGTGTGTACGCACGCAACACGAACTCTCGAGGACGGTCGAAAGGGAATGATTTGAACGATAAACATTATCCGCCGACGAAACGGATTCGCCGTTTTTGGATCGGGCAGGGCGACTGAAACAAAAATCTGCGAACGGCTGCCACGCCGGTGGTGGGGGGGGGGGGGGGGGGGGGGAAGCGCCGGCGGCAAACGCCGAGGGGTGGCTCCTCCTCCTCTCACTTCCTCAGCAGCATCCGTGCAAAGTCGGCGTTGCTCATCATGGGCCCGGCGGCGGCGGGCGTGGCGTCGCCGCCGGCCGCCGCGTCGCCGGCCCCGTCCAGCGCGTCCCGCTGCCGGCGCCCCCGCCGCCGCCGTGCCGTTCTGGGACTTGCTGCCGCCCGCGTTCCGCCGTTGCAGAGCGCGGGGAACGAGCGCCAGCTGCGTGCGGCCCTTGCCCCTCCTGCGGGGAGAGAGACGCGTGCGCTCGTTAGCGGAGCGCCGGGGATGCCCGGGAGCTCGGGGCGGCGCGCAGCGCGGCCGTGCCGGGGGCCGGGCGGGCTCGGGGCCGGAGCAGGGGAAGAAGAAAGTGAGGAGTGCTCCCCGGGAAGACTCCCAGTGGATGTGCGGGAAGAGTAACAATGCCCAGGGAAAACCTCGCTTGCTCTCAGGAGGGTCGTGCGTGAGGGCATGTTTGTGGTCAATTCCATTCGTGAGAGTTTCGCTGCGCGTGGTTAATATATACGCCCGCAGGATTAACCGGGGTGGCTAGTGGGCTCGAACCGCCGACCTCTGCAACGAGCGGCAAGAGCGGCAAACGCGCCCCGCCGCTCAGCCGCGTCGATCGTTGGCTAAAGTCATCATCGGGCCGGTCATTCGCCCGGGGGGGGCGGGGGGGGTGGAGGGATTGGGCAGTGGTGGGGTGTGTGGGGTGGGGTGGTGACGTACGCTCCGTACACGCTGCGCGGTGGCATCGCTGGCTGCTGCTGCTGCTGCTGGTCGGCGCGGCGCCGCGCCGGTGGGTTGCTGATGGCCACGCTGACGACGCTGTCCCTCACCGTGGTGCCGTTGAGGTTGAGCACGGCCTGCGCCGCTTGGCTCACGGTCTCGTACTCGATGTACGCCAGGCCCTGCGCAACGGACGCGGACGATGCAAAGCCCGGCAACCTCCAGCAGCCAAATACTGTAAATGCATGTTTCTTGAGGACCCAGAGATAAATGCACACGACCACGGAGAGAACATGCAAACTCCAAACACAGGTGTCACAGGGTCGGGATCGAACCCACGACCTCCTGCATATCTGGCGAGGTCGTTAACATCTTGCCACGAGCACTAAGGTCACCGCAGTGCCCGACCAAGCGGTAAGGGGCGAGCACCCGCGCCCAGCGGTTCCAACGCCGCTTCACTCGAATCGCGATCGAACCGGACCGCTGCCTCTCTCAGGAAGAGGAGTGGGGGAGGGGACCCGCGCCACCAACGCCACCCCCCGGGCGTCACCTTGAACTTCCCGGCGCGCGTCGTGACCATCCTCGTCTCGCGGATGCTGCCGTGCTTCCCGAACATCTCCTCGAGCTCGCCCTTGGTGCAGGAGAACGGGAGGCCCGACACGAACAGCTTGTGCTTCTCCAGGTCTGTGCTGTACTTGAACGCCTGCAGGCGATAATTTTGTGAGGACCTTGACGAGGCACGGACGTACGGCCGCCGCCTCCCGGTGATTTCTTCGCGGTCGGGCCGCGTGACTCTACCCAAGGGTTTTCGGGGTCGCGCCGCGTTTTGGTCGGCACGACGTCCGACCCTCCCCCCCGGCGTGCCCCCCCCCTGGGAGTTCGGTTTTTCCGAAGGAGCGCCCGGCACGTGGAGGGAAACGTCAAGACGTCGCGCCGTACAAAACACGGTACAACTCGAAAACGCCTTTGGAGAGCTATCCATCGAGACATGTTTTGCGAATTAATACGAGAAAGACACCATAACAACCTTCTTAGCAATGGAATACTCCAACAAGAGGAACAAAGAAGCGAAGGAAGACAAAGAATGAGATGGACTAAAGAACGACACTGAACAATATGAGTGCAAAGTGCAACTGAAGCATCAAAGTATGAAATATAAGAACAGGGTTTAAACTTTCCGGCAATAAAACTGCAAGTGCTAAGATGTTCATGTAAAAAACAAACCAAGGTAGCGATTCCGACCAACGACTCGCTCGCTTACGAGCCGCAACACGCAACATCGACCACCGCGTTCGACTCCCTCGCCTTGTTGGGCTGCTGCTCCTGCTGCTTGGTCTTGTCCACGCAGGGGCTGATGAACATGGGCCGTCCGTCGATCGACGTGCGGTCCATGGCGAGCGCCCCGCGCGCCCCCTCCTCCAGTGTCGAACTGCACAGTAGCAGTAGCCGCGGAAGTGGTGGGAGTGCGAGTAGACTGGGCGCACTTCCGCGATGGTTCCGCACGGCGCCAGTGCCTCACGCAAGCGAGCGTTGGGGTCCGCCAGGGAGTAAGCCATGTTGCTCACGAACACCGTGCACGACTCCGCGCCTGCGCAGCGGTGGGAAATTCCACATTAGTATGGCGGGCGGGGAAGCGGCGTGTCCTGCTGAAGGACTGCTGTGGGCTGGCAATGGGTGCAGGAATACTGCGGAGATGATTGATTAGATATTATTATAAGGGACCACTCACGACCAAGCGGGCGATTGTCCACAAGCGGACGCCGCCACCGCTGTCACAGATAACAGGAGGGAGGCGAGGGGCCACTTGAGTCGGCTGTCGACGTTCCAAGTGAGAGCGCCACCCCACCGTTGTCACCCCCCCCCGTGATCCGTGGATCAAACAAATCCCTCGAGACGCCGGTGCACGGCAGGCCAAGAGCAGCTCACGGCGAACGCCGCGGCAAGGGGGTCGCACGTTTTGGCGTGAGGGCCCGTCGCCGACGACGCGTGACGAATGAACGAGGGGGGGGGGGGGGGGGCAAGGCCATCGTACCCGGGGTGAACTTGGTGGTGGTGGGAGCTTGCTCGGCCGCCTTGCCCTTCTTCTCCGCCTTGCCCTTGGGGAAGCCGGGAGCGGCGCGCGACGGGCCGGGCCTCGCCGAGGACCCCGGGCCGGACGCCCTGCCGGCGGCCGACGGGGGGGCGCACCCGAAGAGGCCCAGGCTGGCGTGCACCATGGCGCCCGCGTCGCGGCCCTTCGACTCTTCGTCCTCGTCGTCGTCCTCCTCCCACGGGACGCCGCCGCCCGCCTCCTCGCGGATGCGCTTGCTCGCCTGGGCTGCGAGTCGGCGAGATTAAAGCGGCCGTTCGGTCGACGCTCGTCCGTCGCCTCTTCCTCCCGCGCACGTTTTTAATCCGGGGCCTGCGGCGCCGATCGGCGGGCCTCTCGCGGGACGAAGAGGCCGCTCGGCGCTCCCGCGGAGGTCGCGCGAGCGGCCCCCGTTGCAAGCCGTTAGCGCCGACGCGGTTATCCCGCCAGGATGCCCTTCCAGCGACCTTTTCAAGAACTTTCCCAACCGCTCCGCCACTGGAGAGCAATGTTCGTCGCGGGCAAAATGATTACGAGCTGGAATTTTGCCAAATTCGTTCGAAACCAAATGTAACGTGATGAGTTTTTTTTACAGCAATCGTCGCCGCCTACTGGCAGAATACAGTAACCCCCCCACCCACCCTCTTAACGATGATGACCGGTTCCACGAAACCGGTCGTCAAGTGATTTGGTCATTAAGCGAGTTTAGGAAATGCACGTTGTGCTTTATGCGTTCCGATAGCATCGAATGTCACCCCTTTATCACCCAAAAAAGTACTAATATAAAAAATATGGATATTCATGCATAAAGATACTTCCAACATTATAAACACGTTAAAATAGACATGGTTAATCGATGCATTAATTAATATTTACTGTAGCGACAACAGGGGAATGGTCGGTAAACCAACACATTGGGCTCTATTGGAGGCAGTACACTACTAAACACGACACTACTACACACTACACCACTATACAGTACACATTGGTCTCTATGGAGGACCTTCGTGAAGCGATTAGTCGTTACCAGGGGTGGTCGTTCAGAGGAGTTCGACTGTACAACCCCAGGTCATTATTGCAAATGAGACTAACCATGGTCCCTTGAGTTCTCAGCCGCTTAAAATCAAAATCAACTTGAGGAGGAAGAAGACGAGGAAGAGGAGGAAGAAGAAGAAGAGGAAGAGGAGGAAGAGGAGTGATGAAGAGGAGGAGGAAGAGGAAGAAGAAGAAGAGGAGGAGGAGGAGTGATGAAGAGGAGGAGGAGGAAGAAGAAGAGGAGTGATGAAGAGGAGGAGTGATGAAGAGGAGGAGGAGAAAGAGGAGTGATGAAAAGGAGGAGGAAGAGGCACTCACCGGCTTCGTGGCCCCACTCGGGCTCAGCCTTGCGCTTGCCCGAGAAGACGTGCTGCTCCTTCTTCTGGGACTTCTTGCCTCCCTTGCTCTCCAGCTTGGCTTTCGTGCGCTCCTCCTCCTGCCTCTGCCTCTGCGCCTCCTTCTCCGCAGCCTGCGCGGAGAACAAAGACAAAAATCCCCCATTTAGCCTTAACAGACAGGAGGGGCAAGTGCTGTTAGCGAGCACCTATGAAGGCCGGCACAGCACACGAGGGGGTGGGTGGCCAACACCACGCCCGGCCGCCTTTGTCACCCTAGTGACGATGTTTCCACATCGCACCAGGTACTCATTTGAGGCTGAGTCGATCTAGGGGAGGCTCGAAGCCGGTTCAGATAATCGTCACTGGTGTTGGCCGTGAGCGGGAATCGAACCTGGGTCGCCAGGTTCATACCGCAGCGCGCTAACCGCTACACTACCGCTCCCCTACGCGGAGAACATGCACAGTCAAACACTCACCTGCGCACGCAGCCACGCGTAAAGCCACGTGCGCGCACACACACACACGGGCATACATGTACACGAGACAAAGACCCCATCCCGTATAGGCTGTAACAGACTGGTTGGGCAAGTGTTGTTCGCGAGTAGCACCTGTGAAGGCCGGAACGGCACACGAGGGGGTGGCTGACTCGACCGAGGGGAGAGGCCCAGGACCGATTCAGATCATCATCACCGGTGTTGGCCGTGAGCAGGAATCGAACTCGGGTCACCGGTTCATAGCGCAGCATGCAAACTGCTACACTATTACTCCCCATAACCATACACAGGCGCACACACACAAACACTGCGGACACCATCATCTCCTGAAGGTCCATGACTCTGAGTGTGATCATCTCCAGAATCTCGGGGCGGGTGAATCGTACAATAGTCACTGGCAAGTCGTCGGGAACGCGCACAGCACAACCGCGAAAACCCACGCAGACGTACGACCCGGACGCTTTTCTCCGAATGCAGAATCTACAGCGGCGCCACGGGGATTGGGGGCGGATCTCGCAAAGCCCTCACCTTGGCCCTCTGCTCGCTCACGCGCTTCAGCTTGGTCTCGATCTTCTGGCAGGCGGCGTCCCAGTCCTCCAGCGTGCCTGCGCACACGCCGACGCGTGCCACGAAGGCAACCGCAGCGTTACCAAGACCGTAACGGCACCGCCGGGCATCGTGGGGGCTCCATTCTGGCTTCCAGCCGCCTGTGACTAGAACCGGGCTCTCGGGGATGCAGCGAGCCGATGGTCTCATCGAGGTACCCAAAGACGCACATCCGACCGGCACGGTTGGCTACGTACGGTGCAGAAGAAGTTCAACACACGTACGTATGTACACACGTGAAAAAGCCATCACGTTAAATTTGGTTTTGCACTTTTTAATTTCAGCTCCTGAGAATTAACACATCAATTGAACGATGACGTAACAAAACGTTACTCTCAGCGGCAGGGCGCTGCTGATCCCCGTTCAGAGTCACAGAGGTCACTTGAGAAGAGATCTCGGAAGGAGTTCTTTGATATCCACTTTTGTGGGCCATTGTCCAACACGAAGGGTCACACTGCCGTGCCAAACAAGGCCAAACATTGGAATGCGGGAGTGGTCCTGGAAAAGAGTCTTGTGGCCCAGTCGGGGGCTTACCTGGGATCATTAAGAGGATAACATTACGGTATTTAAATTTTTCAGGCGGTGTGTGTGTGGCGAGTGAGCGCAACGCACCCTCCTCCCTCTCGAAGGTGAGCAGCGCCTCACAGATGTGCTCCGGGTAGTCGCTGGTGCACTGCACGGCACGGTGCAGCGCCCTGCGTGCGTGCTGCACGTCGCCAAATGCCCTGCGCAGAGCCGCCCCCGGGGTCGCGAGCACAAAAAAAAATACCGTTAAATAAACTACTCGCGCTCTACGCCTCCTATTTTACAACTTCTGACCAGCACAGTTGGCTATGCACGGTGTGAAAGACGTTCAAAAGACAAAGATCCCCCGTATAGCCTGAACAGACTGTCGGGGCAAGTGCTGCAAGCGAGCACCTATGAAGGCCGACATGGCACACGAGGGGGTGGGTGTGGCAAGCACCACACACGGCCGCCTTTATCTCCCCAGTGGCGATGATTACACACCGCACCAGGTACTCATTTGAGGCTGAGTCAACCTAGGAGAGGCCCAGTGTTGGCCATGAGCGGGAATCGAACTCGGGTTTCCGGGTTCGTAGCGCGGTGCGCTAGCCGCCGCACCACCGCTCTCCACACACACGCATACACACAAGTACAAAGATCCCCCGTATAGCCTTAACAGACTGTAGGGGCAAGTGCTGTTAGCGAGCATCTATGAAGGCCGGAATGGTACACGAGGGGGTGGGTGGCCAGCACCTCGCCCGACCGCCTTTGTCTCCCTTGTGGCAATGTTTACACACCACACCAGGTACTCATTTGAGGCTGAGTCGACCCAGGGGAGGCCCGGGACCGGTTCAGATAATCGTCACTGGTGGTTGCCGTGAGCGGGAATCGAACCCGGGTCACCTGGTTCGTAGTGCAGCGCGCAAACCGCTACACCACCGCTCCCCACCACACACAAAAAAAAAAGTCTCGCGCTGTACCCGTGGTGCGGTGCTCGTGGGGCGGCCTCACCTCTCCAGGTGGTAATACTCGAGCCACATGTTGCCGTACTTGGCGTTCCCCTGCGACATCACCTGGTCCCAGAGCTCGCGCGCCTTCTGCACGTTGTGGCAGTGGTTCGCCTGCTCGCCGCGGACACGCACAGACGGCGTCGCGCCGCCACGCCGCGCGCTTTTACCTCCGGGGTCGCCGCCGCCGCCGCCGCCACCACGGGGAGGGCTGAACGTCTCGGCCGTTGCCGGCAGAGCGGGAGAAGAGCACGTGAGCGCGTGTGTGCGTGCGTGTGTGCGTGCGTGTGTGTGCGTGTGTGCGTGTGTGCGTGTGTGCGTACGTGTGTCATCGTCGTCGTCCCGAGTGGTGTAGCGCAACTGGGAACCTACCGTACTAGGGACCTACACCACTAGGGACCTACCCTACTGGGGACCTACCCTACTGGGGATGTACTCTACTGGTGATTTACCCAACTGGGGGTCTACTCCACTTGGTTTCCTACCTACCCAATTGCAATTGGGCCACATCGATCTGAGGTTTACTCAATAAACAAACACTTGAAAGACAAACAAACCAAAACCAAACAGTTGTGAATATGCAAACGGATTTTGGCACCGACAGCTTCCGTCACTCGATTCAAGACATCTCCGTGCGGCACGTTAGAGGGAGCGTTATACGAGCAGAGCAAAAACAAACTCTCACCTCTATCCTGGCCCAGTGCTGCAGGATGGCGCTCGAGGAATCCCCTCCCTCCGCACAGCCTGGAACACGCAGCACAAGGGGGGGGGGGGGGGCGCGTTGGCCAAAGTGTCCCCAACACCGCCGCCACCGATTCGACGTCCCACTCACACACACACCATCGGTACCAACCATCGTCGTCGTCGTCGTCGACGTTAGACATGCCCCTTGACGTCGCTCTCAAGAGTAGAGCACTGTGTGCCGGCCGTCACCGTGCACTTTTGTCAAATTCAATAATCACCCGCGAAATGTACTCAATTGGGTAACATACATAGCAGCTCCCATGGCCTCCCCACTGCCGGACGAACGCCTGTTTGCAGGCTCGGCGCCGAGTCACCTTGAGCGCACGGGGGACGGCTGCCGCTGGGGGCGTCCTTTCAAATGTGCTGAGATGCGATGTCACGTGCTCTGAGATGTGCCGGAGTAGAGGAGGAGGAAGCCTTATCGTAAGCAAATCAATATCATCATCATGATCTTTAACGGTGAGAGGTTACTCACGCTGCGCCACCTCCTGCCGGATGCTCTCCACTGCGCGATGGAAGGTCATCCGCAGCTCCTCCAGCTCCTGGCTCGAACCTGCACACAGCGACCACGAGCACAGACAAACCAGCTCGGCTGTGGGTTCTGTGCGAGCGATGGTGATAACCGATTGACGTGTCGGGTCAAAATAATCGACACTTGCAACCATTCAGCACGGCGGTGAACGCCTGTAACCCGTATCCCGGAGTACACGCCGACAGCCACAAGCGGCCTACCACCTTACAGGCGTATCGCCCCCACCTTGCGTGAAGTCGACGCGCCGTCGCAGGTAGTCAATGTAGGTCTGCCAGAGCTCCGTGTAGTCGGTGGCCTGCATGAAGCCCGACTCGAGCGCCTTGTCGAACACCTCTGCCAAGAGAAGCCGTCGTTAACTGAGCCGCACGGGCAGAGGCTCGCGAGGAACATTCGTCACTAACACCGCACTACGATAGACAAATATGCAGCATGCGGATATTTTGGGGACTGGTCCTGAAGGGAGACGTCGCTAGTGGGGAGGAGACGTCGCTAGGAGAGAAAAGATACCACTAGGAGATGCTGCATCACTAGGGGAGAGGAGATGTCGGCAGGGGAGGAGACGTCGCTAGGGGGGAGGAGACGTCGCTAGGGGGGAGGAGAAACCACTAGGAAGAGATGCCGCATCACTAGGGGAGAGGAAATGTCGGCAGGGGAGGAGACGTCGCGCGGGGAGACGGACCGCGCACTGTGTCGTGCTCCGCGTGATGCCGCTCCAGAGCCAGCAGGTAGGACTTCCACAGGCTCGTGGCCCAGGGGCAGTTCCTGGTGGCGCGGCGGTGAGCAGGCAGCACCACCTCCTTCATCTTGAGCTGCATGTCCTGCGCGCGACGCAGCCGGTGACACACGGCAACCGCTCGGGCTCGCACGGAGGGTGACCGGGGGGGGGGATGGGATGGGGGCCCCCCCCCACCATTGTGTCCTCAACAATCAGGCTGTGCTCTGATCTCTCTCTCTTCATTTGATTAACGATGCTGTGATTTGTTTTTTTTTGTAAAGAACTATTAAACATTTTTTTATTTTACCAGGTCAGGCCCACTGAGCTATGTAGCTCTTTTTCAGAAGCGACCTGGCCACAAATGATAGCTCAACGAAGTGGCTTATCGCGCAGACATTTAGTTCGACTCCGTGAGCCCTGAAACAGATGCCGCTTTACAAATGGGGCCCCAAAAGAGAATGCGTCAAGTTTCTTGCTTCATTTTGTTTAACCGGGTGAGCCTTCAAGAGGCCAAGGGTGAGTCACATGAGCCACGGTGAGCTGGGCCATAACAATGCCAGAATCGAAATGGCAATCAATCGAAACAATCGTTTGGATCCCCGGTAATAAGCCTCGAGCACCGAGCAAACCCTACTCATCAGGCATTTAACCCTCAATTATCCACAGCCTAATATTCCAATGATCAGCAACCAGGCTGCAGTCCGGGGCTGCGCAACTTCAACAGCCCCGTCGGCTGCATGCTGCGCACTCCCTGGGCCTACTCGGAGGGCTTCACATCTTGAATCGTCCGCACGCGGCCCAACATGTCAACTGCGCTGCGCGCCTCGACACCGTGGACTGACGAGTCGCGCAGCCAGCAGCGATACCAAACCCCCCCTTCTCTCCCCGCGTCCCCACCCGATCTCGCGCCACCGCTAGGCAATCTCACATCCGGTGCGGGTTGCCGCACCGGATGTGAGATGGGAGGGGAGGGCGGCAGGAGAAGCGTCGGTGCACGACTTCTCCTGTGGCGCACACTCACGAGGTACTTGGTGTACTGCGCCCAGAGGTCGGGCACCAGGCAGTTGTCGGCGAGCGCTCGCTCAAACACGAGCTGCACGCGCGCCGGGTCGCCCTCCTTCAGCTCGCACTCGATGTAGGCCTGGTACTCCGCCATCTTCGGGGGCTCTGCCACCAGCTGGGAGGCAAAGACAAGCGGATCGGTTGCTTCTGCTTGGTAACGAGGTCACCGACTGTACGTACTGTATTAAGCGCGTGTCGATATTTGTCCAGTGGCGAGTGGCATCATCACATTCCTGATAAGTGTATTGTCTCCATAAGGAAAACTCATTTATATTTATACTGCATATGTAAGTATGTGGAGCTTATTTTGCACCGTACAAGCCAACTGTGCCAAGCGGATGCGCGGGGTAAGGAGAACACATTAAACACAAAAAAAAGTTCCACAGAAATTATTACCAGAGACTCAACACATTTGTCACAAGGAGAGGAATGCAACAGGCGATGTTTCCCGGCAATGACACTTCTTCATAGCACATTTGCAATGCGATGGAGAAGGGTTTTGGCTTTTAAGGCCGCACGGTGCTATTGAAGAATGTGTAGAGTTGTTTTGTTATTCGGCCTTCAGCAACCACTGCCAACGCAGCAGCAGCGGCATCATCACCAAATCGCTTACTTATTACTAGGGTTGTCAAAATCATTGTTTTCGCACGGTTACCGGTTTTGACGCACGTGTACAAAGTGTGGGTACGCCCACCTCTCCCAACAACGTCCGCTCGGTGCGGAAGAGGAGAGACTTAGGCCTGCCGGTGTGCGGTTTACACGTTTTGGCGCGTGCCAATCGATGCATTCGTTACTAAAATTCCACTGCTCCCGATTTTCAAAGTGGTAAATAGATTATGAAAACCAGTAATTGATTTACCGGTCATCGTTTATCAAACCATGCTTTTATTATCGAGCCAACACAATCACGACCTGGGCCCCAGGTAGCCCAGCAAAGGACCTAGGCAAGCCAAGGAACGACCTCGGCCTACGACGAACTTTGGATGACCCCGACTGTTTGCACGTGCAACGAAACGAATTTCCACTAAAATGCGCTTGAACAAAGTCACTGGGTGTTGGAGATCCATGGCGAAGCGACGAAACACACCAGCAATGCGTTTACTGGAGTCGTCGTGCCGCGCGTGTTTGGGCGGCACGTGGTGGGGGGGGGGGGGGGGCGGTTACCAGGGCGTTCTCGAAGGACTTGTACTTCTCCAGCTGCTTCAGTGCCTTGCCATACGCCTGCCTCACAGAGGCCTCCACGGGGCTCTCCAGCCACTCCTCGTACTCCGTGAAGCACGCCTCCATGTCTGGACAGACGCGTGCAAACAACCCCCACTCGCAGTGTGAACTCACGTGACTCGTGTACGACAACGACAACACGCGTATTGCACGACATGCTTCTCTGTGACTCAAAGACAAAGATTCACCCGTATAGCCTTGACAGACTGTTGGGGCAAGTGCTTTTAGAGAGTAGAACCAATGAAGGCTGGCACAGGAGGGGGTGGGTGGCCAGCACCATGCCCTGCCGCCTTTGTCTCCCTAGTGGCGATGTTTACACACCCGACAGAAGTACTCCTTTGAGGCTGAGTCGACCTAGGGGACTGGTTCAGATAATCGTCACTGGTGTTGGCCGTGAGCGGGAATCGAACTCGGGTCGCCAGGTTTGTACTGCAGCGCGCTAACCGCTACACTACACTCATACACACACTCATAGCATACATCTACCGTCTGATGCATGTACAGAAAGTGAGTAGCATGAACCAATGGTTCTCGACCATACAACACCCACTCAGCACGAATCGGCGTCTCACAAAATACGCACTCATAGCAAGCCTCCAGCGGTGGATCAGGGTCACGGTTACTTGGTGATGCTGCTGCTGACGCTGCGTTGGTGGTAGTGCAAAAAAGCACAAACAACGAAGCTACTCAACACATACGTCAATAAGCACTGCGTGACCTTTAAAAAAATTGGTTAACAACAGGCGACGTTATGGGTAACGGCCCTTCTTCACAGCACATAGCCAGCCAATTAGAGTGACTTGTGATCTTTAAGGTCACGCAATTAAGGTTGAAAATGTTTTTTGTTTAAACATTAATGATTATTTTTCGATGCATACGTAGATCATCTTAGGGGGAGTTATTGTGACCCACAGTTAAGAGGCACTCGACCAGAGAGACGGACGGTGACAGCGGAGGACAGACGGGTGGGACGGAGAGGTTGTGAACAAGGGCTCCGTTGTTACCGCTCGGACTCACCCATGAGAGGCAGAGACAGCTGGCGTCGGAACAGGGTGTTCAGGCGCTCCGTCTGCGCCTTCAGCTGCTCCTGCTGCACGGCGCTCAGCACAACGCCCAGCACCGGCTGCGCTAGCGCAACACGACGGCACGGGCAGCGACGCGCAGAGGCACACACAAGAGCGGTGGTGGTCGTCGCTGGTGTTGGCCGTGAGCGAGAATCGACGCGAAAGAAGTTCAACATACATACGTACACGGTGACACACCTAGGCAAAAGACAAAGATACCCCCCCCCCCGGTATAACCTGTAACACACCGTTTTGCCAAGTGCGCTGTTTGCGAGCACCTACGAAATGCCGGCACCGCACACGAGGGGGTGGGGTGGCCAACACCATGCCCGGCTGCCTTTATTTCGCCAGTGGCGAGGTTTTCACATCGCACAAGGTGCTCATTTGAGGCTGAGTCTACCTAAAGGAGGCCCAGGACCAGTTCCAATAGTCGTCCCTGAACTCGGGTTGCCGAGTTCGTAGCGCAGTGCGTGAACCACTGAGAAACAGCGGACACACCAAATGTGACGCACATGACGTACTCAGTGACACCCAAACACACACGAGATGACACACAGCAACAGACCAACGGTGATGCACAGCGACAATAACAACCACCACCATTCACCACTAAGCGGCGGTCAATGGGGCCATCCCTGGGCCGGTGGGCACGCTCGCTAACGGTGGAGGAGACACATAGGAAGACTCCCCTCGATCCACCCCATTCCTTCTACTCCCAGCTACGCTGGACTGGACTGCGCTGGCCTTAGCGGCATTGTAATAAAAGTAGTACGGTATTGATTATTATAGAGTAGCAGTCATTTATGTGCGTGGCCGCTGCTAGCGCCACCCCACCACCCACCCCAACCACCTCCCACCACCCCCCCTGCCCACCACCATCCCCACCACCCCCCACCACCACCTACCACCACCACCACTACCCACCCCCCCCCCCCCACCCACCACCACCAACCCCCACCCACCACCACCAACCCCCACCCACCACCACCAACCCCCCACCCACCACCAACCCCCAACCCCCACAACCCCCCCCCACTACCACCCCCCAATTACTCACCCCCCCCCACAACCCCCCTCCACTACCACCCCCCCACCCCCCCACAACCCCACCCCCGCCCACCACCGGACGGGCGTCTACGGAGCGCGCACCTGCATCATGCCGAGCACGGCGTTCTCGAACTCGCGGTAGGCGTCCCACACGGCGCTGCCCTTGGTGACGTGGAGGCCGACGGCGGTGAGTGCTCGCTCGAACACGGCGCGCACTCGCTCCACCCCGCCCGCCTGGCCCATGCCGCCGATCGAGTACTGCGCGTACTCCAGCCAGATCTCCGGACCTGCGGCCACACGAAGACGAAGAGCCACCCGCCAGTTAGCCTTTTAACGGCAGATGCGCTTTCTGCGGACGTCTGGAATGCTTCTCCCTTCCGATACGAGGAAGCCGCTGGAGCCGTGCACTTTCAAATGACGGATATTGAAAACTCATTTCTTTAGAACTGCTTCTTGCGTCGAGTTTGTTGTCCTTCCCCACCACATCCAATTAGCACGGACGGCTACGTACTGTGCAATAGAAGTTCAACATACGTATGGCACGGCGCACGAGGGGGTGGGTGGCCAGCACCACGTGGCCACACACACGCGCCCACATGCACACGAGCGTAATATACATAGGGATGGATGTGTTTATATATCATCCAAAGCCTCCCGCAAATCACCTGACTTCTGTGTGGCCACCCCCAACTCTCAAACCCTCCCCTCTCCCTGCCGCCCCCCCTGTGAAAATAAGACGCCGCTCCGATTGTTAGCTCGCGTCTGCCCCCTCTTTCCTTCTCGCTTCTCCCTCCCCTCCACTCCCATCATCACCCGCTCCTCCCTGACATCTTGGCCCGGTCATTCCTTCTCCCCCTCCTCCCCTTTCCCGGCCCGGCGTTCGAACCGAGTCAACGGAGTCTCGCTTCGCCAACAACCTGTCGTGCCGAGGCCATCGCCAAGAGGAACACCGTTTAGAGAGTCAACAGCCTCTCGGAGGACGTCTGACCTAAAGCGCGACCCGGTCGCAGGCAACGCACGGAGCCACTGCTCACACGGGGAGAGTGTGGAGAGGGAGGGACACTCACACAGGTAGTCCTTCACGGCCCTCTCGAACAGGCTTGACACCCGGTCTCGCTCCGCCTCGTCTGTGCCCATGCGGATCTCGTCCTTGAGCCAGTCCAGCCACAGCTCTGCCGGGAGCAGCCACGCGGGGGTACGCGCGGAGGGGGGGGGGGGCGCGGAGGACATGCGGGGAACACGCGGGGAACACGCGGGGAACAAGGGCGGGACACAGGAGACACACGGGGGACACAGAGACGAGGAGGAACACGCAAGAACATGAGGACACACACGAGGATGCACAGAAATAGACATGAGCGTACGGAAACCGACGTGGCCATGCGACACCAGTTACCTTTCCTTCGATTTCTATCTCCGTCACCTCCGTACTTTATTTTGTGTGTATTTACACGTTCTGCTTTCCGTCATTTCGGTGACCCCCCGGGATTGCTCTCGACCCCTCGCCTGGCTTAAACGGGACGAAAGAATGGACCTTGGGAGCGCGCACTCACCCTCGGTGAGCGGGAAGAGCTCGCTCATCTTCTGCCGTGCCTTGGCCAGCCTCTCGAGCTCCCCGAGCTGCTGCAGCAGCTTGATGAGGTCCGTGTGGCAGTTGTAGTCGTGGGCGTTGATGGAGAGCTGCGCCACACAATGCAAACAACAACAACAAACAACAACGCAAACAAAAACAATAAACAACGAGGATTCGCACAGCATGTAAAATACGACAGCATCTCAAGGCGCTGTACAATTTTTGTTTTATTACGAATGTATACGTACAGCCCTTTTGTCAATCCACTGCTGGATGAGCACCTACCATGGGGGGGGTGGGTTGTTTGACCACACTGGTCAGTGGCAGGTTGGTGAAGGTGGGTGGGGGAACAACTAAGTAGCAGCATAGTACAGTACAACATTGTATTTTTCTGCAGCAATCCCTCACTGACAACGTGAAAACCTGCAGCAGCAGACAACTCCTGTGACCACCTCACCCGGTGCCCCCACTGACGTCCTCTTCTTCCCCCCCCCCAACCAATGTGAGCAGCTACTACTGACGCTATAGTAGATACTACTGACCCTATAGTAGATACTACTGACTCTATAGTAGATACTACTGACTCTATAGTAGATACTGCTGACTCTATAGTAGATACCACTGACTCTATAGTAGATACTGCTGACTCTATAGTAGATAATACCGACTCTATAGTAGATACTACCGACTCTATAGTAGATACTACTGACTCTATAGTAGATACTACCGACTCTACAGTAGATACTACCGACTCTATAGTATGTAGGGTGTGTAGGCGTATTTAGCATGTGTAGGTGTAATAATTCTATAGTAGATACTACTATTGTATGTAGCGTGTGTCGGTGTATATGACTCTATAGTAAGTATAAATGTGTCGAAACCCTCCACCACCCGACACGGCCAATTATAAATGGATTTGTCACGTAAACAAAAGGCCAAATAGTTACTACTTCAGCCCACCGGTGTGTTGAAGAGTGAATCCACAACATTTACAATCTGAGGACGACGTTTTGCTGGTAATTACATCCAGCATCATCAGGCGATTTGCCAGAATAGTGAAGCCATCCACCTGCTTCTGGTCTTAAATAGCGCAGCAGGACGATGTCATCACTGAACCCAATCCACCTGTAGGTGTACATGCCTACAAAATAAATTACTTTTTTGGGGGGGTGGAGGGGGGGATCGACAATTGTTGTAAACCTGTTGGATCAACTTTTTACCCCCACATCTTGGGTGGGGGTCCCATTTTCTAAAACTTTTTGACGCAGGCCTTCTGAAAAGCCTCTGATAATTTAGTTGACGGACAAACGGAACGCCGGGGCCTTTATAATGGATGGTGGTCGCACCATCGTAGCGAAAAACCGGTTAGAACCGGCAGAGCGTCCGGGAGAATTTGGCCAACAGGTCCTGTGGACTATATTCTGGATTGAAAAAAATAAAAATAGTCCAAACATTTCCCCCCGCCCCCCACTCAAAAGAGCACGAGGGGCACTCATCTCTCTTCCTATTTTATAACCCAGAAACCACCGTGGGCGTTCATTCCGGATTTCTATGGCGGAGGCGAATTGGTCCGTAGGACCCAAAAAAAAGGCGCTTTGCTTGTGTTTTACGAATGCCCGGAAAGATTGAAGTGTCCGATTCCATCGCAGACCGCAATTTTTGAACTCGCACATTTCTGATTGAAAACCCGTGCTCCTTACCGGAGGCGCACACACACACACACATATATCCGGTAGAAACTGGCTGGCGATTGATAAAACGCATTGGGGTAGCCCTGCAACTGGCCGCTTGCACAACTGCTGGTGGAAGAACCTCCGCTAGAAAGAGCTCGAGAGAGCCCCCCTTTCCTCGAGGGGGCTCAGACGTCTGGGAATAGATGGGAGCACTCACAATTTACCCCCCCCCGCCCGCCCCCCCGGATAAACACGACCGGCCTCTTGGACTTAATCCATCTATAGCGCCGGGTGGACAGAGACGGTAGGGGGGTGGGGATTTAAGACACTTGCCACCATTGTTTCAAACCACCTTGTCAATGATAACGGAAAAAGCAATTCCTGGTGTGACAGGGCACCCCACCCCCCCGCTCGGCAAAGGGCCATCAATTCCGCTCGAGCCGGTGCCGTTACTCAGGGCGAGCCTCTGGGGTACGGCGCTCCGAATGAAACCATCAAGTGTCATCAACGCTCGCGATGATCTGTGCCGCGGACGAATTAATCGTTTTAAGGAGATCGCACCCGCGGGCGGGAAGCCAAGGCCTTGGGCCTTTCACAAACAGCCACCGCGGGCCGTCCCAGGACGCGCGCGACACCATGCACAAGAGGTTTTTGTTGCGTTAGATCGCGTAAATAATATAAATTTGTCGTTAAACCCGCCGCCACAAGACACGGACAATTAGCAAGATTTCATGTAAACAAAACGTGCCAATTCGTTACTAGTACAGCACCACAGGTGTGGAGAGTAAACCCACAACAGCTACAATTCATGCACATTGGCGATGCAACTGTTGCAAACGGCAAGGAGGAGGTGCCAGGCGAAACAGGGATAAACAGATACAAGCGTCGCACCAAACACCTACCGACGATTGACAACGATGACAATAATTCACAACCCTTGAATGAGGGTTCTTCCATATGCCACGTCGGGATTAATTGACCATAAACTTGACGACGCTGGGCCTGGGAGGCTTGAGGGCCGGTTCGCACATCACTCGCCACTGATGTCTTAGCCGCGATCACTCGAGTGGAACTCGGGTCGCCAAGTTTATAGCGCAATCCGCGAACCGCTGTGGTGGGTTCAGTGGAGGTTGGTCAAAGGTGGGGAAGCAGAGACCTCGGAGCGTTTTACACACACGCGTGCATCTATGTATGTTGAACTTCTTTCGCACCGTACACAGCGGGGCCCCACAACAGCTTATGTGTACGACACCCGTAGTATGTGCAGTGGCGGTCGTCCGTCAAGATCACGTACCCAGGCTGAATCCTCCTTAGCTTCTGAGCTTCTAATGAGATCGATCCCATTCCAGGCAATCTGGTCAAAGGCCATGGAGGTTTGTACGAAATAATAATTATAATGTTTAGCCCTTTCATCCAATTCACTGCCGTATTGAGGCCATCCACATGCATTTGTGTTCACTTACAAAGCGGTGAACCATCTTGCCCCTGCCTACATCATTGACATGCTGCACCCACGTGTCCCCTCAAGGTCCCTAAGATCTGGGGATGCAGATCTTCTCTGCATTCCCAGCTGGAGACTTCTTCGGCCCATGTGTGACCAAAATGTTTCTCGTGTAGCCCCCAGGCTACGGAACGCCCTTCACACAAGATATCAGTGATCTCCGAGTCTATAGACATTTTTTAAAAGCGTCTTAAAACCTATTTATTACGCTTATTACATTTTTTGGTCATTTAGTAAATGGATTATAATATTGTATCCTTAGTTTAACACGTAGGCTTTCGCGACCAATATCATCCATAACAGGTTTTTTGTAGGTTAGATCGCGTAAATATATAAATGTGTCGTTAAACCTGCCACCATTCAAGATTGTAAATGTTGTGGCTTTGCTCTCCAACACACTGCCGTGCTGTACTAGTAACGAATTGGCCACGTTCTGTCTACGTGACAAACCCTACTAATTGGCTGTGTCGGGTGGTGGCGGGTTTAACGACACATTAATATATTTACGCGACCTAACCCCAAAAAAACCCTTTATTATGGATATTTTTATGCCGATTGTCTGCTGCTGCTGTGTCCCATACAGCGCTTTCAGATCCTTGATGAAAAGCGAAAAATAAATGGTATTATTATTGTTGTTGACTTCAGCGTGTGCGTTGGCATGGGAACGGAGAACAGAAGGCGAAATATCGCTCTCGAGAATTGGGAGGTAACCGGATCGACTTCACAGGTTGACGATGAAAACGGCCGAACACGGATCGGCGTTGCCGATGTGCCGACCAACTTTGCTGCAGCTGGGCGCGGTGGCGCGCCGCTGCAATCCAACACGCTCCGAGGCGAGGGTCAGCGGATCGTGCGCGGATTTTGTGAAACTCGCTGTGGATGCGAGGTGGCCAGGAGACTCGCCGGGCACGGAGGCAGAGGTCGGATACGCGGCAACATCGGATGTGCGAACATCGACAGAAAGTGCACGACCGTGTGTGCACAAATAGGTTACTGGACGAAAATAAATACAGCACAAACTGCGTTACATACGTGCTTTTCTGTGCTTGAGAAGGGAGCAAATGTATGCATGTATGTATGCGAGATTAAGAACACACTGTCGTGCGTGAACATCTAGAAAAAATTACAGCTGCACCGCACACAGGCACCGCGCACTGGGTGTGGGCGGCTAATCTCGCTTTACTCGCCATTAAACTGGCCACCGACAAGCAAGTATTCATTAAAACCGGTGCTCGCCGAAAGATCTTTAATTATTTTTCTTGCAAGCAAGCTTTATCTTGACACTCGGATATAATCCGCACGTGGGTAATTGAGAGTTGACTTTCACCGTCCTCAGCAGAGCCTCCGCTGCTTTGCTCTTCCCCTTGTTACCGCCTCTTTCTATTAACGAATCAAAACCATTCCCTGCCAATACAGAGTTGCTAAATGTTAAGACATTTAAACTGTGTCACGATGAGCCACAAACTTGGTGGCTGCGATGCGCGGTGCATCAAACTGCTTCGACGTTTCAACAATGAAAATAAATGTCTCCCAATCCGAATTGGTCGTCTGGCATAACATCCAATATGCCAAAAAGCAAGGTGTGCCACGGCACGTGCTCGTGGTTAACTTGGCAAAAGCACGGCGATGCCATCCCATGCCAGAGCAAGCAGCACCAGCACCGAAGCTCCGTACTAAGTTTGCCACGATACAATTTTTTGCAGGATACCGTGCGATGTAAAATGTCACGCTTTGACCATTGTCGTGACACCGGTTGCTCTTAATTTGAGAAGTGTTCATATTCTTGGTTCTTTCGGTAAAGTCACGTAGAAGGGAGTAAAATAAAATTCTCACGACGGCTGCTTGTGTTGTGGCCCGAAACGTTGAGAATTTTATTTTATTCCCTTCTACGTGACTTTACCGAAAGAACCGAGAATATGAATCCCTGCAGTCACGAAAGCTTTAAATCGAAAATAGAGAAGTGTTTTTCTCATTTTCACATGTTGTTTTTTGTCCTTTGATGTACATCAAGCACGAATGCTGATTCCTTATCGGGTGCAACTCAAAATCCATGTTTGTTGTTTGCAAGGCCGCACTTCCTGGTTTTTATTGGTTTGCTGTTAAACTTTAGGATGGCTGCGTACGGCGCAAAAGAAGTTCACCAAAAGCACACACGGTCGTCCAAGGTTTACTCAGTGCTCGAAAGAGTTGAAATATGCATGACGGTCGATGCACTCGAGAGGCATGGCAGAGGCATAGATGCAGAGAAGAAGAGGTGGGGATCCAGCACATCATGTAAATAACTATGAACAGAGGAAAATGAGATTCTCAACGGGTGACTTTTACATCCAAGGTAACCATTTGGGAGGAGGGTGTGATCCAATAAAACTGACACTTCACTTTTTCCGGCACATGCTGTCAAAAACTGATGTTGTCACATTATCGACATAACCCGTCGATTACTCTGGGTAAAAAAAAAGTTTGACAAATCACTAATTTTATTGATAGTAGCCATTTCATTGCACATTACGTCTTTGCTTTGCACGCGTCATGTGACATCTTGCGCACCCTTGCAAACCGTTCCATCTCAATGAAGGGATCACCGTCCGGGCGAAATATTGTAATAATAATTTCCTGGACAAATCCCCGTTATTTCCACGAAGGAAGAACATCTAGACCATATCCAGCTCGTGGTGTACGCCAGCGGCTCAATCTACCGGCTTCTCTTCAGCGTGATTTTCAATGTGTTCCCCATTGTTTTTTCACGGTCTACCCACGAAAGAAAATTCCATTACACGTGAGGACACGGCGGCGCATCTTGCCTGCGTTTATTCCGAACGCGTGATAACCGGCGGAGACGGAGTGCGCCCGACTGATGGTTTGTGTAAGAAACACTTTCAATTTCTCCTCATTCCGAGAGACGGGCGTCTAAAGGAGACATTGCCTGCTTACGTGGTTTGTTATTGATCTGCTCAAATATGGATAACTATTTGCTTTTAATCTAAAAAAGGAGTACGAAACGTGTAATGATTTAAGACAATCTAAATGTGAGCGTATTCAGTTTCTATTCGATTTTTAAAAAGTTTAACATTCCTAATTGCTTAACACGTAGGCTTTCGCGACCAATATTATTCATAATCAACGTTTTTGGGTTTAGATCGCGTTATTTATAAATGTGTCGTAACCCTCCACCACCCGACACGGCCAATCAGTAAAAAAGTGTCACGTTGACAAAAGACAAATAGTTCACTGCTTTAGCCCACCGGTGTGTTGGTAATTGCATCCAGCATCATCGGACAACACACCGGTAGGCTAAAGCAGTGAACTATTTGTCTTTTGTCAACGTGATACTTTTTTACTGATTGGCCGTGTCGGGTGGTGGAGGGTTACGACACATTTATAAATAACGCGATCTAAACCCAAAAACGTTGATTATGAATTACTAATTGCACTGAAACTTGAACGAGTTGTAGGAACGACTCAGCACAGAGCAGGTGCCCCTACCTGCTGCCACACTGATGGGCCATGAAGATTAACCAACAGCGGGACTGTGGTCACCAATCTGAAACCGGGGACCACACAGGAACGCCACTGCCAGCTTTGACCTTTCTCCGGCAGCGTTACAGATATTTCTCAACTCAACTATTATCAATAACAATTTAGTTTATAATTTAAAAACACCTGTAAATGCACTTGATCTCGTTAAATCTTGAAAGCTAAGCACGTTTGAGCCTGGATAGTGCTTGGATGGGTGACCGCCATGCACGCGGCAGGCTGTACTATACAACTGCGGGACTGTGCGATAGACAGCAGAGTGGGAGCAGTGAGGCAAACCTATAATTGTTGTTCTGTAGTATGCTCCCCCGCCTTCACCAACCAGCACTGACCAGCGTGGTGAAGTATGACCAAACAACGTCGATGATTTACCCAAGCATGGGTAGATAACAGGAGTGGAAGTGTGCTGACATGTGAATCGAACTTAGGTTAACCAGGTTCACTGCCTCTGAGAAAATAACGATGCAAGATAATTGTGCAGGGTGCTAATGCATTGTTACAAACACATTCCTGCGGAGGGAGCTGGTAGAAACGTTGGGTTGCTCGGTCAATGGCCAGGGTCAAAGGCTGTGTGGTGTATATTCCGCAAATATGGCCGACTGTGAGTGCGGGCACAAGCCGGCGTGAGTAGGTTAAACGTTGAGTTTTATAAGGGCACCACGGGGTGACCAGCCCCTCCCCACCCTCCCCTCTTCACCCAGCCCCACCCCTGACATTTTTGGATGCACGACGGACGGACACAATAATCCCCTGTGGGCTGGTGGTATAAAGATGGCGATACATATTTCTACAGATCACGGTCACACGTGCAGTGTGCTGATGCATGATAATGTAATGATGAATGGCAATTGTGCAGGGAGCTGATAGAACGGATTCTGCAGGGTGCTGATTCATGGGAATTATGCAGGGTGTGAATGAATGAAATTCTGCATGGTGTTGATGCGTGGAAATTCTGTAAGGATGCCGATGCACGGGAATTCTGCATGGAGCTGATGCGCGGTAGAGGTGAACGATGTTGGAGCCTGATCGTGGTGCAGGGTGCCGCCGGTGCATAGGAATGTAATAATCATGCATGGGAATTCCCCCTTGGGAATTTTGCATGGGAATGCTGCTGCTGCTGGGTGTTATGAGTCCGTTTAATGAAGTGTCACCGCCCCCCCTGTCCCCTTACCATCTCCCCCTAAATACTGGGCGCCCCGGTGCGCCCTGCACAATAGGAACGGTGCAGCATTAGCGGGTGGCAGCAGCAGCAGCAGCTGAGCGGACAAAGCAGTGGCCGAGACAATGCGGGGGGTACCCCAGAAGCGGTGGGGGGGCTCGCGAGGGACGCTCTGCAAGGGCCGCCACGCGTCCGTCGCGACCCCCCCCCCACTCTCACCTACAATTCAGCCCCCCCCTCTAGCACATTAAGCGGATTTTTTTCACTCTCTCTCTCTCTCTTCCCTTAACTTGAGCACCGCTATGAATGACAAACTAAAGTGGGATTCGTACACTTAAGCGGGAAGGCGTCCAATCATTCCCATGCGACAAGAGCCATCGTCCCAGGACGAACAATCAAAACATTTCGAAAACCCAGGAAGCCACGGAGGGGGGGGAGCGGTGGTGCAGCGGTTAGCACACATCACCACCCATCGATAACTTGCAACATCGCCATGCACACACCAGTATATAAAGAAAAAAAAATTCACCATTAATCACAATCTCCCTGGGGGAACGGTGGCACAGTCGAGGGTTAGGGCATTGCCCTGTGACCCCGGTTGACCCGAGTTCCATTCCCGATCACGGCTAACATCAGTGGCGAGTTACATCCGATCCGTTCACCGACCCGCACTGACCAGCCCGTGAAGTGTGGTGTGGTCAAACAACCACCACGGCCTTCACCTCGCAGTCGACTTGACAAAGGGGTGTACGTTACAATACAAAGTGTTTACACAAACATATACAAGGCACAGTTACGGTGACCCTGATTCACAGTATAATCAAGCCGACCTGACCCCGACGCCACTCTTAACGCGACCCTAACGCAGTTTATTATGCCCGAGCTACAGAGTGGCAACAACTCGGGGTCTCGACTACCCCTGGTCGTGGCCCGACTTGCAGCACATCGCTTGACTGGGGGGGGGGGACGACACACAACCCCCATGAGTTGACCAAAAGCCTCGCCCTCCACTCCACCAGCAAGTTACCCCGCATCTGAACTTAGCACCACCGACCCGAACCACGGCACAGTTGACCCAACCTGACCCAGGTTTCGATCACCCCCCCACCGCCCCCATCCTTCCACGACCCGGCCCTCGTGGTCCCCACCTGCTCCTCGAGCCGCTGCACCTCCGCCTCCTTCTCACTTTCGTCCGTCTCGGACTCCGAGTCGGAGTCGGTGCCGGGCCCCGGTGCGGGCCCCGCGGAGCCGGCCTCGGAGCCACTCTCCGCCTCCATCTCCTCCATCTCCTGTTCGTCCTCCTTCTGCTTCTGTTCCTTCCCGGGCAGCTCGTCTCGTTCCTGCTCCGCCATGGAGATCACGACCTCGGCGGTCCACCCCTCTGCCTCCCTTCTCCCCTTATATTTTCCCGAGAGCGGGTCTTTACTTGGCTGGGGGGGTATATCCTGGCTCCGGGCTCAAGGCCCGTGGCTCAGAGCTCTGAAACCCAGCCGCTTCCTGCCTTTAGGGTCCGACTGCTTGCGGGGTTTCAATGCTGATTTGGCGGATGGGGGGGGGGGGGGGTTCGTGAGTCCGACGACGCTGCCTCGAATCCCAAGGCTTCGTGGAAGGCTGGGGGGGTTCAAGTCGGTGGCTCTTGGCCGCCAAGTCCTCGCGAGGCCCCGAGCAGCACTACTCCACCCCCCCTCCTCCTCCTCCTCTCGCAGTCGTCCCCCCCGGACTCGGAGCGACAGATGCAGTCGAGCGCGCGGCGCAGCCGAGAGGCGGCGCCAGCGTGCGCGGGGCGCGCGTCACAGGCTGAAGCCGCGCCTCGGCCATCTTGTGTTGTCTCCGCTTTCATTTATTGGGCGACGGGGAGGGGCAGTGGGGGGGGTGGCGGGGCGAGGGGGGGGTAAGAGGGCGGGGCGGTCCCACCGCTCCCCTTCTGGTGACGTCACCGCAGCAGCTCTCGCAATGCAAATCAAACGGGAGCCCCCACACCACCACCACCTCCTCCTCACGCAATATGGCGCCCGAGCCGGCCTCGCGCCGGATCACGTGACGGCGGCTCTAGGCGGGCGCGCGCTCGCTGAGTCGGGGGGTGAGGGGTGGGGGCGGCTGGGGTGGCGGGGGGGAGACCCCGCGCATAGCGACTCGAATTCCCACTGCGCACCGGCGGCGCAGGGCCCGGACCGCGATTCCCCATTGGTCGAGAGGCTCGGGGGGCGGGCGGGTTGGTCGGTGGGGGCAGATTCAGCCAATCGCGTGCGAGGTACCGCCCCCCCACCACTATCTTCCCCCGCCCCCCTGACGTTCGGCGGGCCAATAGCGTGCGACCAAGGCGCTTATGCGCGTTAGGGAATGTGGTGAGGCTGCGGCAGTGGCGACAGTGTAAGGCGGGAAAGTTGTCTGGCATGGAGGCGGAGGAGCAGCAGGCGCGCCACTACCAGCTGCTGGGGCAGCTGCAGCTGCGCCTCAGAGAGCTGCCCAGGTGAGCAGGGCAGCCGGCGGGCTTGGTGACGTTGTGGGGCAAGTGGCGGGCGTGGAAGGCGATTCGATTTTCGCGAGTTGTTGTCATAGTTTGATCGCCTCAGGAATCGATAACACTGGTTAACAAAATCATTTTTTTCTGGCCTGGACTTTTGCAGCTGTTCTAGACTAATTTCAGGGTGCTGATTCCAAATCTGATCTCAGATTTGCTCTATCACATCTCATGTTATGCTATCGGCATACCCCATTTTCATTGATTTTACCCGAAATTAACTCTGTCACTTATGATTGCAAGTTGTTGCGAGTCAGTGACTGCTTTAGTGTTAAAATATGGTGCTGTATTTTTCTAGGATAGTGTGTTTATAATATCATTTTATGTAGATATCCACATTTATTTAATATTTTTCTTCTGCAGTTTTTATTGAAAATGCAATATTTGATATCTCAATAACCTGATGTGATAGACAAAAACTGATGCCAGATTTGGAATCGGCACCCCAAAATTACCTTAAAATCGTTGGAATACCTTATGCCAGAAAAAGTGTGTGACCAGTGTTATCTCTGTGTTTTGCTTGGCCTGGTGGCGCAGTCTTGTGTCTCGTTTGTTTTGCGATGTCAATCCAATAGGTGCATACACGGAGGGTTTGCGTGAATTGCAATAGTTTTCGTAAGTCCCGTAGCATTTTTCAATGCGAGAATGGCGCGAATAACAGAAATACGAGAAGAAAAAAACCCATAAAACGTATACATTTGCCACAAAGTTCGATTCAATGCTCGCGTCTAATGGGTTTCTCACTCAGCAGTGTGTTGAGAGGATGTCGACGATGGCTCTAGTAACAGTGACGATGTGTGTGTGACACCCTCACGGGGTTTTTGCTGGTGCCGTGTACCGCCAGCTAGAAGCAAGCGTTGTTGGCACCTTCATAGCCGATTAATAAGTATAACCAGTAAAAACAAAGTTTTTCACTATAAATCCTTTATATGCGTGGCGGCTAGAGTCCTCTCGTCCTCTGGCTTGAGATGGCTGCCACCTATGGGTCAGATGATTGCATTGCACCATTAAGCAATTGGTAATTAAATATAATATTTTTGTCACGCACAACGAGTCTGTGTGGAAAATGTCAGCTCGATTGGATCACGGGAAGTGGGTTAAAAAACGACCGAAAGATTTGCACGGTCCTAAGCAAGCAAGCGAACTTAATATAAAGGATTTAAAAATAAGGGGAGTCGTGTTGATGAGATGTTAACTACCTCGCCTGGTGTACAGGAGGTCGTGGGTTGGATCCCGACCCTGACGCCTGCTGCTGTATATTTGGAGTTTGCGTCTCTCTCTCATCATCATCACGGTGGCTAGGAGATGTCAACTTTCTCGCCTGGTCTACAGGAGATCGTGGGTTCGATCCTGACCTTGACGCCTGCTGCTGTTTATTTGGAGTTTGCGTGTCTCTCTCTCCCCGTGGTTGCGTGGATTTTTCTCCGGGTTCTCCGGGTTTTCCTCTCAACATTTAGAAACATGCACCTCGAGTATTTGACAGCTATACATTTCCACATGATAAGCCACTTTGTCGGGCTATCATCTGTGGCCAGGTCGCTTCTGAAAGAGCTATACAGCTTAGTGGACCTTGCCTAGTACAATAAAATAAGTTTAGTCAAGAGTGGTCATCCTATGGATCCACTGACCCCTGCCAAGGGAATGTGGAATGTCCACCACCGATTCAGGTCTCCCAAGGGAGATGAGCGCCACCCCATTTCTAGAGTGTTGTCAAATGTTGCTTTGAGGAATAAAACAAATTGGCCAAATGCACTCGCAAGAAGGAATAATATTGAGACCCCCCCGAGAGTTGCAAAAACAAATGTCTGTTCTAAAAAGCATTTATCCCCGAAAATCTCGACACGTTTTCAGGAGAGATCTGAATGGGGGTGTTTGGCTAATTCTTTCTAAGTAATGTAGCAGAGGGCGCCACAGCAAAATCCAGGTTTGCTCTGGGCTCTATACAATCCTGCGTCTGTGCTGTCCCCTTCACCAACTCGCACTGATCAGCAGGGTGGTCACATAGCCTCGTCGCGAATGGCGTGCGGTGTTGATCATCCATCAGTGGATTTACAAAAGGGCTGAACATATACAAAATGCACGCCTGTCAACTCATACGGTTTAACCGTATTCTTGTACAGGGAAAGTGAGTTTTTTCAGGTCCATACAGCATACAGCTGTTTCAATACGGGCTTTGTAGGATACACGTTGAGATTTATAAGGGCACGGGGTAACCAATACGGTCTCAATTGGTCTGTAATAAGGTAGGCACTGATAAGGGGTTGACAGGTATGAAAATGCATCTTATAAATGCATCATAATTCACCAGTATTTATATCTCAATGTTTTTATTTCTGGGTTGCCTTGAGTTGTGTAACTTTTAGTCAAAATGTAACTCGGCTGCAGCATCCTTCGTGAAAGTCCTGCCGGCGTGTCCCTGCGTTCGCAGTGTCTACCAGCAGCGGCTGACGTACGACATGCTGAGCGACTTGGCGCTGGCGCTCATTGACGGTACCGTCTACGAAATCGTACAGGGCCTCAAAGACATCCAACAGCTGACGGAGAAGAACCTCTACAGCCAGCGCCTCAAGCTGCACAACCAGCACCGGGGTAGCTGCTGCCACTGCCAGTACTGGGTTAAGGGGGAGTGTGCGCTTCCTCGTGTCTGTTGATGAGTGTTCAGTTCACTTTTTTGTTTACATAATATAGTCTGTTTTTTCTGCTTGGTTCTTTCGGTAAAGTCACGTAGAAGGGAAATAATAAAATAATAAAAATAAAACATCGTAAAATACAATTCTCACGACGTTTCGGCCACAGCGCAAGCAGCCGTCCTCAGGTGAAGAACAGGTCTGTCGGAAAGACAGCATCTTCTATGTGACTTTACCGAAAGAACCAAGAAGATGAATCCCTGCAGTCACGAAAGCTTTAAATTGAAATTTATAGTGTGTTTTCCTATAATGCGGTAGTTGCGTTCCTAAACAACACAGCGTTATGGAAAAATGGCGTTATAAGAAATCATATATAATATGTGGTAGAGCACAGTCCGCGATAACACGTGAGATGCGTACGCAGGCTGAACAAAGAGCTGAGGCGCGTGTGGGAAGCATCCAGCAGCATTCCGCTTTGTGTGATGCAGCCGTTCACTTAATCGTGTTACTATCCAGTTCGCATCCGCGTTATAAAAAATGTGTTCCCTGATACATTCGTCGCGTTATATCCAATTCGGCGTTATGAAAAAACGCTTTATAGGAGAACAGACTGTACCTGTTTCCCACTGTACAACTGGGCCGCTGCTGGGGCCGTGCCGAGTCGCACTTGGCACGGCTCAGAAAGCGCCAGGCTGTTTTTCCAATGCACGCCTGTCACACGCAATGAACGCTTCGTTATCCGCACCCCTGGTCCAGCTTAGCTCCGAGTCAGGCTTCATACATGTCGCTGAGGCCAAGCGTATCACGGTTTGATTATTGCACGGCTCGGCAAACAGCGCATTTATAAGCATCGTCCCGCCTTATGTGATGCTACGCTGAGGCTGCCGCACAACCGCTTATTCCTACTTGCGCGTTCCGTGAAGGGTGGAAAGGAAAATGAGTATTTGGGACAATAATGCCTTTCAGTTACCAATATGTTTACATAAAAGTGTTGTTGTGTGCTTTGTGGTTTAGTTCCCTTCACGATCAATCTGTACGGTGATGTCTGTGTGCAGTCTTAAAGCAAGATCTGCTGCGGAGGCAGCAGGATGCGCTGCAGAGCTGCAAGCCTCACAACACGGCTCTGCTGCAGTCAGCCCAGCAGCGGGAGATGGAGGTAATGCGTCTGTATTCGTGTGTCTAGGATCATGCACTTGCATATATACATCAATCTGTCATTTACAAAATGATGTGTATATGCATGTGTGTTTTTTGTGAGTGCATATGGGTATGTGTGTGTATATATATTTATGGTGAGTAGTAGTGTCAAATGTATAAACCGGTCCTGGACTTTCTCTCGGGTTTACTACGTCTAAGAGAATCATACCTAGCATGGTGTGTAGACATGGGTGCTGGGGAGAAAAATGTGGTAGGGCGTGGTGCTGGCCAGGACCCCCATGTGTGCCATATCAGCCTGTATAGGTGCTCGTTAACAGCTTGCCGCAATAGTCCATGACAGGCTCTAAGGGATCTTTATTTTGTATGTCTGTGTGTAGGTGCAAAAGTATGTATGTTTATGTATCAGTATGTGTGTGTGTATAGGTGCCGCAGTGGGGAGCACAATTGGTGCACCTCCCTGTCATCTCAGTCAAACCATAGAATCTGGGTCTGTCCCGTGACTTTCTGCCAGCAAGTTTTCGACACTTCATGTGGCCTCCAAGTGCACGTAGCCTGGAACAACAGCTGTAGTGACGTCACCGCCACTTAGTGGTGAATGTTGTGTATACGTGTGTGTCGGTGTGTGTGTGCGCACGCACGTCAGGCTCTTGAGAAGAGGATAAAAGCAGAGCAGAAGAGCATGGACGAGCATGTTGTGTTGGAGCTGGACCAAAAGGTGGAGGATCAGCAGAGTACCCTCGAGAAGTCCGGAGTCCCTGGGTTCTACGTCACACAGAATCCACAAGTACCAGAAATACACTCCCTCCAGACTCGCGCAATAATGAGGGCAGCATTCGGAGCTTGTGCTTTGTTACTGACCTGAACAAACTTAAACAAATTGTTTGGTGATTATGCTTTGGCAGTGGGTGCACAAGCACAAGTAACAAACCCAACTCAATACTTTCATTAGTGACAACACATTAAAATAAAAAATGTATCATTGGCTATGTTTGAAGATACGGCATTCTCACATAAATAGAGAGGCCAGAAAATTAAAATTAGTAAAGGGTTGGAGACTGCAATTAACACCATGGGGCCTGATAATTATTACATTTTAAACATATTTTCTGATGCTCAGTTTTTAAATAAGCTTCTACATAGTTAGCTAATAGGAGCTATTGAGTACCAGACAAGCCCTTCAAAAATGAAAAAGTATAACTACTAAATAAAGTCATTTATATAAAAGGTAAAATTATTCAATGATGCTAGTTTCTCATTCATCCTGCGATGCCTATACATTAATTGGATGTTTGGCTTAGCTTGGCAGTGAGATTTGCGTGTTTTGTATATTTAAACTATTCGCATCTTGCTGCTTTATCTTAATGGAAGATGCAATACAAGAAAAATAACGGCTGTGTTTACCAAGGTCGTGCATTCCAGGCTGTCGGGCATGACTTTTAAACTTCGTCATGTAACAACATTTTAAAGAGACGTTTAGGCACCCTTGAGTAGCGTGCTACAGTTTTTTGTCTGGGGTGACCACATAACAGCTGTTTTTGTCCTTATGATATCCATTTTATGACAAAAGGCGAATTAATTATAGTTGGTAAACCACTTTTTATACGATGTCATATGCACTGCCGTGGTGGATAAAGGTCTGCTTCATCACCAATGACCAGGTCCCTCTTGCAACTGAGACAATCCTGGCCTCTTCAGTAGTCACCGGGTAAAACAAATCAACTTGGAAATTCTTACATCACTTTGGCTCCAGCTGTAAATGTGGACATTGTTCTTCGTTAAGTACTTGCTCTCACCTGTGCCGTTACTCGTGCTGTCCCCACGTGCTTCCTGTGGCAGGAGATCACGCTGCAGCTGCAGCTTCTGTCCCTCATCATGAAGGTGCAGGAGGGCCACACGGAGCAGGAAGGAACGTGATGGCCGTGACTCTCCGTCTTGGCGCGATGCCGTCAAGAGGCAAACAACAACTGCACCATACCCACCTCTGTGTTTGAATTTGGCACAGTGGAGGACGCCACTGACTATGAGCACGTTATCTTCGTGGCACTGTGATAGTGCTTGACTCACGATCATAAGAAGGTTGTGGGTTCACATCATACTTGGGCGTTAACCTATCATCCTAATCTGAATGTGTGCAGCCTTATGCCAATCCAGTGCTGGTTGAGGGCCTCCCCATGCCTTGCGAGCCATGGGGGTATATGACCATACTTTACCATACTGGTAAATGCAGATTGTTGAAGGCAGGCAGTGAAGATATAGAAGCATTGGATTTTGTGCGCTGCCAACACTCGTCATGGTATGCTGCTCGCCAATTCAAGCAATAATCACGTGCAAGCCTGCTTAGCTTCTGAGATCATATATAGAAATTAATGATGGTATATAAAATGAAATTGTTATTAAGACATTGGGTGTATTATGGGTTATTTGTTCATAAACATCCCTGTAGCAGGAATGAGGGGAGTACCACTTTGAGGACGTCAACAGTGATCATTCAGAGACATCGTGGTAATTTGGAATTTCCACTTTCAGAATAACTTGAGTTTTCACGTGGGTAGGGCAGGTGTTTCCCAGAAATACTTATGTGTAAAAGTTCAAGATTATTTTCGACAAAAACTAATCGTTTATTAGCAAATTAAACTTTTCCACTTCCAACCATATTTGGTGGTGTATTTGCGCTCGTACTAAATTCTCACACGGACTTTAGGGCAAGCCCATAAGTCCCGTGGCTCGTGGGAACGTGACAGTGCTTGACACAACATCAACAACACCAACTTGCATTTGCAAGGTGACCTTCACGTAACATCTCTCACAACAACGGAGGTCACCCAGCCCCCCGCTTAGTTTAACTTCAAGGTTACGGGAATCCCTTTGTGACGCGTGAAGTACGGTGTCTGCAGGGTTTGCTCACTGCCCGGGGCAGGTGTAATACCTGCGTGGAGAATGAAATCCGTTATTTTGCATTGTTAAGAGTACAGCTTTTTGTATGACCTCACCATGCATTATGGTCATGTTAAGTTGGCCAGCAATTACCATTTACTGTGAAAATCTGATTTTTGTGAAAGATGTCTGCATGTGTTTTTAGTATGATGGTTACTAAATTCTGATGAATAAATTATGGAGAGCAAATGTGTCTTTGCCGGTTTTGTGATTTATTGTGACCAAGTTAGTAATAATGTTTTTATTTAAGTGTCAACACTTAATACATATATTTATTTCACGCCTCTTAGATGCAAGGGCATGGCTGTGTCTAGGATCATGCACTTCCAGAAAAGAAAAAACACTTGGAAATATGAGGCCTTATTAAGAATTGTGAGGGCATGACCACGTCTATGATTACCATGCCTTATCTATGTAGAGTCAACCTCATGTTGAGGACCATACCACCTTTATATATTAGATCACATGGTCAGAAGTGAGGGTTTTGGCATGCACAGCGCAAATCTCCCATACTATTTGTACTGTTTTGTCATGTCTGGTATGACCTGTCCAGAATCCTACTTTTAAGTCTTTACGTCTCATATTTGCATTGTTCTGTCTGCCTCGGAGCTTTCAAATTTGCTCGGACTCATGTATATTTACATTTGTACTGGTTCTTTTGTACTCTCGGTATTTCTCTTGTTCTCGAGTGTACCCTGCAGCTCGTCTTCAGTCTTGTCTCGTCTGCACTGTGAACCTCGTGTGTCCTGTCTCGATCTCCTTCAATCACTCTGTAACGAGAGCCAAATAGAACGTTGGCAGGCCTACACGTTACCACACTCTCCTTCGTGTTATCCAATGATCGCGTGAAAAAAAATAGTTTTCTCTGCTTCGTGGTATTCAAAAACAAATTCGATACAGTACAGTGTATGTTCCATTAGTTTAATTATGTGTAGTGTTAGGGTAGATATTCAATTAAATGAAAGAATCGTAGGAAGTGCAGAGCATATGTACTGCGATTACGATACGGGCAGCGATAGAAAACGGACGGCAGTGCGATGCAGCACTGAGATAAAACCAACCCAGCAATCGGATAGGGGAGGCACAACTATTACCCGCCATGGGATTTTATCGTTGATTTTGGTGGGAAATTGTTCAGTTCCCGACATACGGAAAATTCGGGTTACAGATCGTTCTCGACGAACCGAACAACTATTACCGGCCATGGAATTTTATCGTTGATTTTGGTGGGAAATTGTTCAGTTCCAGACATACGGAAAATTCGGGTTACGGATCGTTCTCGACGATCCTAACAACTATTACCGGCCATGGAATTTTATCGTTGATTTTGGTGGGAAATTGTTCAGTTCCCGACATACGGAAAATTCGGGTTACGGATCGTTCTCGGCGACCCTAACCCTTCCGTAACACGGGGACTGCCTGTACGTAATCGCCAAAGCCCCTCACACTCGTCCGATTCGATTCATGCGCTATAAGAGGGAGGTTCAGTCCAACGCAACTGAATTGACGAATCGATACAAGCCGGAGGCAACAACAACATCACCACCATCGTTCTGAGCCTCGCCGAATCCACGCATCTACCCCGTAGGAGAAAGCAACAACGACACAAGCAACAAACAACAACAACGGGCTCGTTTACATTCAACTTACTGGAAACAAAAGTGTCGACAGCGCGACTCCTCGACGACCACCGACCTCGCCTAGATTCCTGCCGGGGAAAGGCGCGCCCTTGCCGCGTGAGAGACTAGGCCGCACGCAGGAGATCGCTACCGTACGAGGAGAGACGGGTGGGCCTGGTCGGCGGAGACATCACTTTAGAAGCTAAAGACCCAAGAGAACCGTCGCTTATAACACCTCCCTCCATCTCATCTCTCTCCACCATCTCCTGCTCAAGCCCTCGGCTGCCCCTTACTAACTAACAATGCTGCCCTGCGTGGCGCGGCTGTGGCCGGCGTTGTCCAGAGGGACACTGCGTGCGAGGATGGCGGCGTGTCCTCCTCCTCATCATCCTCCCTCCGTCGTCGTCTTCGCCTCCTCCATCACCACCTCCCCCGTCTCTTCGTCGGCGAGGCCGAGGCCGTGTCCGAGCCCCGTGAGGCGTCTGTGCGGCGCCAGCCAGGTCGGGGAGCCCGGCGTGGAGGCATCGCCGCGGTGCTGGGGCTGCCGGAGCGATGTCGGTGCCGACTCCGTCTTCTTCTGCTCCCGCTGCCATTCGGTGCAACCCCCTCGAGCCGGGGCCTCGCTCTTCCAGCTGCTGGGCTGGTGAGGGACGAAGGGGTCGGGTGGGGAGCCTAGGCGGTGGTGGAGAATGAAATCACCGCACGGACATGTGTGTGTGTGTGTGGGAGGGGAGGAATGTCGACTGGAATTATGGGGAGCGTTGTTGATTTTTCGTTCGAGGTCCCACAAAACCGTGGCTCTAAAATCATCAGGAGTGTTTTGAAATTGCAGGGGTTAATATCCGTCACGAGAACGGAGTGGCTCAGCTGGGGTTACATGACGAATGTAGTAATGTGTATCATAAGTGGAGTGAGGAAATTATATATAATAACTTGATAAAAGAAGGCTGTAGAGTGGAGATAAATGAGTAAAAGTTGTGAACACGTTTGCGAAATCGGCCAGTGTGTATATACCTCAGACAGTTATTGAGTGTGTGAACACTCATTAATTGAATGAAAACAGTTATATATACTGTATAGGACCGCAGAGCTTTGGCAAATAGCTGGCACCAGCTGGTATGCTTTGTGAGCGGTTCCGCAATGATTGTGAGATGCAATTTGTATAGAAGACGACGTTGCATAGAAAACAAATCGCACACACTGTGAAAAGGCAGCCCGGGATACAAATTGTGAAAGAGGAATTGGAAAAGCGAAAAAGTCTTGAGTGCTTTTGGGAAAACAGAACTTGATCATGAAAAGCATTATACCAATGTGCCTACAGAGGAAGGTTTCCAGTGAGTGCGTATTGCCAATTTATTACATTTAGATCAGAAACGTGGACACCGATGAAGGAAATTCTATGGAAGCTGAAACGTGCACGAAGAAAATCCCAAACCCATCATACAAATATAAATTTCTAGCAAGCTGACACCACTACACAAAGATTATTTAAACAAAATATGACGCACAGGATCAGCAAGTGTCAATGTGCAGCAAGGGTTTAATTAAACACCGACACGTTAATTGAAATGAAATAACTTTTGTAACGCCTACATGCACTCGCTTTATTAAATGACAAACAACTTCAACATATTGTCATTAAATCCACGCGTGAAACTTGTTAAAACGCTCTTAAAAACTGGGTTAACCTATCCAGTGCCACTCGGAGATTAAACATAAGCCCTCTGTGCTATTTAATACTCGGCATGCGGCCTTTGTCATTTCAGCAACGAGTCCTTTTCGGTGAACCTACAGAAACTACAACAGGCCTACCTTGCCCTGCAGAGGCAGTTGCACCCAGACAACTTCAGCCAAAAATCGCAGGTAATGTTTTGCCAAGAGTGCTGGCACAGTGGTGAATGCACTGCGCTCATTGCTAACCATGGACCTGGAGATGGACGGTATCTGAATGACATGTAATTTAAATGTAAATTTTATAATTGGTGTTTAAATTACGCACCTAAAGTAATGGGCAATTCGTATTATACAGGGCATGGTTAATTGTTCATCTGCGTTGCATTAAAGTAATTGGCATTTTACCCATGTCTCCTCTGTGTGTGCAGAGGGAGCTTGACCTGTCGCAGCAGCAGTCTGCGCTTGTGAACAAGGCCTATAACACGCTGCTGAAGCCGCTGCCCAGGGGTGTCTACTTGGCAAGTTAATCGATTTAAATTCACTCCGCAACAAAAACAAATAGCACCAGGCACTCATTTGAGGGTGCTTCGACCCCTCAACACAGACACACACACACACTGCTTGCTGTCGGCAAGAACTGCAGCAGTGCATGTTTGCATAGCCCAGTTATCACGTGCATCTGTGGCTTATTGCCAATTCACAACAATCACTTTCTATTCGCTGTCCAATGCATTGTTGGGTTGTGCCACGTGATATTCTGCATGATGTCCGATGTTACCCACTCCGTGTGGAGAAAACATCAGCCCAACCGGGGTAACCTACTCCGTTGTTTCCTCTGTTTACGTTTCTTTTATCCCTGTGGCAAATGCAGGCTTGTTAGCTTGTTGGACTGCTAACTTGGTTGACCCAAGCTAGGTTGCTAACGGCGCTTCTCTTGTGCTGTATTTTGAATGAGAAACGAATGTAATTTTTCTTGCCAACAAAGTGCTTTTATTTGTTTTTCATTGAACTCGTGGTGAGTGGTAATTAAACCAGCCTGGGCTTCCTCTACATTGATTGACGCAGCCTAACATCACTAATCATTGGGGCACTCGTGATGTGGGACAACATCGGCGCTGCACAACATGTAGCCGTGATTATTGCCACTGCGCCCTCTCCTATGTGCTGCGCTGACTTAAATAGGTGCCTACTGACATCACCTGCTGCTGAATTCCACGTAACTGAATGGGGAGGGACCCTTTGTATTTGCGGGTTTCAGCTGGAGCGGCATGGGCTGTCGTTGGAGGACACAACGGAGGACATGGACCCCGAGTTCCTGATGGAGATCATGGAGATCAACGAGGACCTTGAGGATGCCGACTCCTTACAGGAGATCGAAGACCTCTCCAGGAGCAACCTGGGTGAGTCTGCTCGCCCCCGAGAAGCGACGTGACTTTGTTTCAGAGACGGCGTTTATACTGGCCACGAGGGATGCCCCGATGTCCTTTATGGAAATTACGTTATGTAATCGGCATGCAGTTAATTACTCCGCACAACTATTTTGAAACCACTAAATTAATGACAATGTGCAAATTATTTTCAAGTTTAATGAGTTTTTCAGAAATATTTTCAGGAAAAATTTAATAAAATAACAATGATAATCACAATATGACATTTTAGCAAAATAACAATTATGCTTTACAACACCACCGTGAAAAAGAGATGTTTGCTCCCTTCTTTTAATTGCTCCACCCAACCAACATATTAGATTATAAATCATGCCCTGTTGAGTTGGGCTCACGGCCATTCCTGGGTCAATTGATGTTGGGCTCCGGGGGTGAATAGTTCTAAGTGCGTTAATGAGCACACCTTCACCGTAAATCGTGACCTGGCTAGTGCTAACAGATTGACTGCATTATTGTTTTGATGGCAGAAGTGTTTGGCACCGCAGTGCCCTTGCATTCACGTCGATGTGAGTCACAGTCAGGATCTGCGTTGTTTTACAGAGAAGCTGCAGGAGCTGACGCAGGAGGTCATGCAGGCATTCGACGCAGGTGAGCAAAGTGCACAATCTTTCGAACTGTTGATCTGACTCATGCACGCACACACACACGCACCACTCCAGCACCCCAGTTCAGTTTTAGTGTTCGGTTTCATTTATTAGGTATAACCCTGTGAGCCATGCGGCGCTTGACTCGGGTGCAACCGCAACAAAACAAAAACATGAACAAGAAACATCTTAAAAAGACTACACACAACAGAAACATCCTGGAAAAAACAGCAAAGTCTTCCAGAAAAAGCACCGTATTTCAACGCTGTGTGCAAAAATCCCAGTGGAATGCAAGTCAAACAATAACAACCATAAGGCAATGTAGATTAAAGTTATAAGGCTAACTCTGTACTACAACAAACAAACATGGCTAAACCAAAATGTTTTAAAAATCACCAAAATAAATCTACAAAAACAATGTAACAGTGATCATATGGAACTGTGATTCAAATTTAACAATAAACGATATACATAACATGTACGACCAAACTTTGCAGCCATAGCTGGCTGCATGAGTCACTCCTTAACAACAGGAGTATCAGGAGCAGTCACAGTTACTATGTCACCCAGTTCGGCCCATGGCAGTGTCCAGCGGTGCAATTACTGGGGCTCAGGTGCCAGGTTGCGGAGATGGAGAAAATTGTATAGGGTGCCCCATTTTATTCCTCAATACTTAATCTTGGGCAAGGCTTATATCCCTCTTGTGTTTTGTGCCTCTCCGTCTCCTTGTGTATTTTCTGTCTGTCTTGCGTCTCTTTCTTTGACTCTTTCACTGCCGCTGTTGGTGACCGTCTTGTCCTGCCCCCACCTCTCATTTTTCCAATTTCCACGCTTGTCCTAGCCATCTCGGGTGGGCCGCATTCTCCCACTAAAATTACTTTGTTCTGCCAACCTATGATCAGAGCAGGGGATTGGCCACTGGAGGGCGCTGTAACATTGGCTCATGGTGAAGCTGGCAGCAAAGAGCTGCGACTAGTGGTATTCTAACAATTCACAACAAATGTCTCCTGTTGTCTTGATATTTTGTTGTATTGACATTTTCAACATTTGAGAGAAAAGCCAAGTGGAAAATACAATTGGATATCTTTAGAAAAACTGCCTTCACATTAAGTAAATGGAATGTCTATGGCTACTCATGGATATGAGCATGATGAAACATGGTTATATAAATAAATAATGAATCGCCCCTTGCACGATTTGATTGTCATGATTTGGGGTCATGAGTCGATTCACAAATTCATATTTTACCTTTGTGCGTGTAGAATAGTGATACAAATATAGTTGCATAAAAGTTCTAAATACATCTGAAATTATTCTTAAAAAGTCTGATGCATTTTTTTGTAAATGTAAGACTAATTTAACGAGCGATTACATGCCCACCTAAGTATGGAGACAGTGGGCTAGATTAATACGTTGATAAAATGTCCAAAATGTATGATCATAGACATTTTATCTGTCTGACACTGGAATATTTTCACCAAAAACAGGACAGAAAGAAGATTTATCAACCGTTCTAAAGATACCTCGCAACATAACTGCAGAGCGTGCCTTGTACTATAATTGCGTGGATGTTATGGAAGGGTCTGACTTACAGTAGTACTGCATTGTCAAGCTTCTATGAATTCCACTCCAGACTTTAGATTTTTTTCTTCCCATTTAGCTTTGAAACAATGACTCGTGTACATTTATACGAGGAAACGGATGGTCACCAATCGCTCATTTTGATACATTGCATTTCATTTAGTAAGCTTCATTACAAAACGATTGGTTGTTTTATAGATCTGGTGTGGAAAGCGTGTCGAGAAAAATTCTACGATGATGGTGAACAATTGACGCGTGTGTTCCATCCTAAATCCGTCCCCTCCATTGCGTGTGGTCGGCACAGGCAACTTCCCGTTGGCGCGTTTGCTCCTCACCAAGATGAATTACTTCACCAACATCGATGAGAAGGTGAAGGAGAAGAGGCTGCAGTACTCTTGAGCGGACGATCATGCCGCTTGCTCCACGAACTACTCGCGGGAAACTCGTGATGCGCAATTGATTTCATTGAGAATAGTATTTGTAGGTAAGCACTTGATGATGACATAGATAATCTACAACCCATTGTAAATACTGCTTGGTGCTAGGTTTCTCATGCTGTTTTGGTCATGCGAATTGTTTTACCATACTGCACCATGCAAGTCGGTATGGATTAAGGGAGTGGTGGCCCAGGACCGGTTTCAGAAAACGCTTGCCACCTGATGTTTAGCTGTGGCCAGGAATGGAGCTAAGTTTGCCGAGTTTATCGCACTGTGCTAACCGGGGGGCCACCGCCCCCCCCCCCTTATCACATGTAAGTATTGTTAAATTTTAAAAGCTCTTATCAAAAATTTTTATTCACGTTTCAGATCAACCTTATTTGCTTCTGTCTCGCACAACAATAGACAGATGTGACCTTTCCCATTTGCTGCGGATAGCGAGCACTGCACCTCAAACTGTGCAAGGCACTAGTCTGTAACGTCTGCAGAAAACACTCTTGCATACAGAGGTGGTTGGACACCGTTTAGATCTGCATCACACAGGGATATGAAGATCAAGTTGAGGTGAGCATTTAAACTAACGTGTGGCAACAGTATTGTTTTGGTCCATTTCATACACTGCTGTTTGAGATGCCAGAATTGGCATTTGTGGCATAGCACTTAAGCTTAATGCACGCACAAAAGGACCTGCGGAATGCGTCCAGTAATTTTAACGTTTGAAGTTGATATTTATGAAAGTGAGTGTAAGGATGTGAGAGTTTTATTTGGTTTTAATAAAAGACATTGCAAAAATCTGTTGTCCGTACGATGTATAATATTCTTTCGACAAATGTCTGCAAGCGATTGGAGTCGTCCAAATTGCCAACAGCCTGGACTTAAAACCAGCATCGTCCTCATCAACCACGATCGTTCCACTCCTGCATTGGGACCACGCCCCAATCCTGTTGTCATCTCACAATCCTCCAATGTAGCGACCCACCGAGCACATTTCCGTAGTGGGAACACTTTTTATGGCACTTTCTCTCTTTTCATTGCCACTCCAACGTTAAGTATTGACCACCGGCCATCATATCTAAGCAACACGACCTGCCCAAGCTCACCTCATCATTTATGGCTGTCTTATATGTTCCCTGGGCATCTGTGGGAAAACAAGTGCTTCATAGCTAATAGGAATCCTCCAGTATAAATACTTGTGATTTACAGAGACTCCTCTGCTTACAAACATTCGACTTGAGAACTTTTGGAGATACGAACAAACCGGTCTGGATGTCCAGTTGCCTGTTCGGACCGAAAATCGTAAGTTCAGCCGCCGCGCAATAGATGGCAGTGGTAGCATCTACATCTGTAGAACGTGAAGAACCAGTGGCATCTGCATCTGCAGAACGTGAAGAACCAGTGGCATCTATATCTGCAGAACGTGAAGAACCAGTGGCATCTACAGAACATGAAGAACCAGTGGCATCTACATCTGCAGAACATGAAGAACCAGTGGCATCTGCAGAACGTGAAGAACCAGTGGCATCTACATCTGCAGAACGTGAAGAACCAGTGGCATCTACATCTGCAGAACATGAAGAACCAGTGGCATCTACATCTGCAGAACGTGAAGAACCAGTGGCATCTACAGAACATGAAGAACCAGTGGCATCTACATCTGCAGAACGTGAAGAACCAGTGGCATCTGCAGAACGTGAAGAGCCAGTGGCATCTACATCTGCAGAACGTGAAGAACCAGTGGCATCTACATCTGCAGAACGTGAAGAGCCAGTGGCATCTACATCTGCAGAACGTGAAGAACCAGTGGCATCTACATCTGCAGAACGTGAAGAGCCAGTAGCATCTACATCTGCAGAACGTGAAGAACCAGTGGCATCTACATCTGCAGAACGTGAAGAGCCAGTGGCATCTACATCTGCAGAACGTGAAGAGCCAGTGGCATCTACATCTGCAGAACGTGAAGAGCCAGTGGCATCTACATCTGCAGAACGTGAAGAACCAGTGGCATCTACATCTGCAGAACGTGAAGAGCCAGTAGCATCTACATCTGCAGAACGTGAAGAACCAGTGGCATCTACATCTGCAGAACGTGAAGAGCCAGTGGCATCTACATCTGCAGAACGTGAAGAACCAGTGGCATCTACATCTGCAGAACGTGAAGAACCAGTGGCATCTACATCTGCAGAACGTGAACAGCCAGTGGCATCTACATCTGCAGAACGTGAAGAGCCAGTGGCATCTACATCTGCAGAACGTGAAGAACCAGTGGCATCTACATCTGCAGAACGTGAAGAGCCAGTGGCATCTACATCTGCAGAACGTGAAGAGCCAGTGGCATCTACATCTGCAGAACGTGAAGAACCAGTGGCATCTACATCTGCAGAAGGTGAAGAGCCAGTGGCATCTACATCTGCAGAACGTGAAGAACCAGTGGCATCTACATCTGCAGAACGTGAAGAACCAGTGGCATCTACATCTGCAGAACGTGAAGAACCAGTGGCATCTACATCTGCAGAACGTGAAGAACCAGTGGCATCTACATCTGCAGAACGTGAAGAGCCAGTGGCATCTACATCTGCAGAACGTGAAGAACCAGTGGCATCTACATCTGCAGAACGTGAAGAACCAGTGGCATCTACATCTGCAGAACGTGAAGAACCAGTGGCATCTACATCTGCAGAACGTGAAGAGCCAGTGGCATCTACATCTGCAGAACGTGAAGAACCAGTGGCATCTACATCTGCACAGTGGCATCTACATCTGCAGAACGTGAAGAACCAGTGGCATCTACATCTGCAGAACGTGAAGAGCCAGTGGCATCGACAGGAGATCATACAACTTTTAAAGCCATTTCGTGTGTAGTGTATACGCCGTACAACATGTTTTGGAATCGACAGGAGTAAAGTTTGGACTTGCGAACATACACCTCTGAAACCTAAGGGGGCGTCCATAAATGACGTCACGCGATTTTGGACGATTTTTGCCCCCCCCCCCCCCCCCCCCCGTCGTCACAAAAAGTCAGACCCCCTCAAATATGACGTCACAAAGCTCTGCCCCCCCCCCCAAAATAAATAAAACATGCTTCAAATCGCTTTCAACTATTGTCATTGTAGTGCGTATTTAATGTGCCGCTGCACTCTGATGTTGTAGGAGAAAACATGTATTAAGAAGTCTATTCAATTAAGTAGAACGAGACAATTTTAACCGAGAAGATGGATTCTGGCTTAGCAATCATTGGAAGGACGTAATAAACCATTTCGGATCTTAACTGATTGTGTTCACGTTTACGGTGACTTTCAGACCGCGTTCCACTCACTGGCATGGTGCAGTGTGCAGAGTAATGTATGGTGTCGTAATTGTATAGTAAATATATAGCAGTGTGATACACATTAAGGTGGGTAGAATAATACATAGTGTTATATTAAAAAATGGATAAGGCAGCAACTGCAGCAGCAGCAGCAACTGCAGCAGCAGTAGCAACTGCAGCAGCAGCAGCAACTGCAGCAGCAGCAGCAAGTGCAGCAGCAGCAGCAACTGCAGCAGCAGCAGCAACTGCAGCAGCAGCAGCAACTGTAGCTCCCTTTGATGCTGTTAATCCTGCATAATGCACATGCATATGCAGTACTAATCACATTCCTGCATTTTCCATGAATATGCTAAATTCCTCTTGATATGCAAATTCCTTTGTCAATGCGCCCAGCTTATATATATGCTCCAAGCTCGTGTGCTGTTTCATTCAGACTCTGTCGCCTCGACGGACCTGGTTTTCACCTGAGGACGGCTGCTTGCGTTGTGGCCGAAACGTCGTGAGAATTATTTTATTATGTTTTATTTTTATTATTTTATTACTTCCCTTCTACGTGACTTTACCGAAAGAACCAAGAAGATAGAAAGTGTTGTCTATATTTATTTAAAGTTGCGCATTTTGATGTGACGTCATAGTTTAAAGCGGGCGGGGCTAGCGGGTGGGCGGGGCTAGCGGGTGAGCGGGGTTAGCGAGTGGGCGGGGCTAGCGGGTGGGCGGGTTAGCGAGTGGGCGGGGCTAGCGAGTGGGCGGGGCTAGCGGGTGGGCGAGGCTAGCGGGTGGGCGGGGTTAGCGAGTGGGCGGGGCTAGCGGGTGGGCGGGGCTAGCGGGTGGGCGGGGCTAGCGGGTGTGCGGGGCTAGCGGGTGGGCGGGGTTAGCGGGTGGGCGGGGCTAGAGGGTGGGTGGGGCTAGCGGGTGTGCGGGGCTAACGGGTGGGCGGGGCTAGCGGGGCTAGCGGGTGGGCGGGGCTAGCGGGTGGGCGGGGCTAGCGCGCGCGCGCGGGGCCCTATAAGCACGTGCGCGCATTGTACGTACAGTGCGTTCACGGCGTGTACCCCCAACCATCCCCGGCCGCATGTCTTCTCCGCTGCTGCCGAGGGCTCTGAGCGCCGCGCTCGAGGCTCGGGGCTCGGAGCGAGTTGACGAGAAGGGGAGCAGGGAGCGGATAGACGCGGGGCGCGAGGAGAGGGAGCCGGGCGGTCGTGGGAGCCGAGGGGATGAGAGGGGGGAGCGGGATAGGGATGAGACGGAGCGTGGTGATCCGTCGCTCTCGAAGCTCGTCCGCCGGTGCTGGTCGCAGTGGAGGTGGGGCCCGGACCCTTTGAGATGATGAAACCCCTTGTTCAAGTGACTCCCCCCCCACCTACCCTCGTGGCAATTCCATATTCCCACGACTGGGGGGCCAGTGTGGTGTATTTGTAAAATAATGGTCACTCTTTATTCTCTCCATTGCTTGTGTCTGATTCTCCCCCCCCCCTCCTCATCCCTTTCAACAAGCCCGCATTCCGCCGTGAGAATGTGGAATTTCCGCCACTGGAGTGATTGTGTCGGGGTGTGTGTACGATGTGACATTTCACGTGGAACTCAAGGTGCACATGGCTTGGCACAAGCGTCGTGGTGACGTCTACGCCACCTAGTGGCGAATGGCGGTAGTTGTACGATGTGAAGGCAAGCGGTGCCGTGGCTGGCTGTCGCTCTGTCAGCCCGCGCCGTCAGTCTTACGGGTGTCACGTTAACTACATCGCCTGGCACACACGGGAGGGTTGTGTGGGTTCGACCACGACCATGACGCCTGCCGCTGTATATTTGGAGCCTGCGTGTCCTTGGTCGCGTGGCGTTTTCTCCACTTTTCCCTCCACATTTAGAATTAAACATCACGCGTTTATTAAGTATTTGGCTGCTATGCATTTCCACACGATAAGCCACTTCGTTGGGCTATCATTTGTCGCCAGGTCGCTTCTGAAAAAGAGCTACATAGCTCAAGTGGGCCAGAGCTGGCATCAGCGTCCCTGAGTTTTGGGGCTACATTAAAATCATCGCCTTCCTTACCGGCACACGAATGGCCCAGGTCACTCGCTCACTTGCAAATGAGACTCATCCCGGTGTGGTTTTTCTGTCTGTCAGTTCGCACCTGATCACATGGAGTCTCCACTCCACTCCAGTGATCGTGTGAAGGGGCGCGTGTTTCTCCAAGTGCTGCCTGCACGTCAGGAGGCACAAACAAGACCTCTGGGAGCAGTGACAAGCCTCGTTAGCGACCCAGCTGATGGCACGGAGCTTCTACTGAGATTACTTTTAAGTGACCTTTCTCACAACCCTGCCAGAACTCGCTAATGCACAGGATGGTTTAGCCAAATTAAGTGTAAAACCAACTGTTAAGTCATGGGTTTTTTAATCCTTTTTATTAAGTTCGCTTGCTTGCTTGCGTGCTTGCGTGCTTGCTTGCGCGCTTACGACCGTGCAAATATTTTGGTCGTTTTTTAACCCACTTCCCGTGATCCAATCGAGCTGACATTTTCCACACAGACTCGTTGTGCGTGACAATTAATTTTCGTGAACATTTTTTTACAAAATTTTACACTTTTTAGGACAAGAATATTATATTTAATTACCAATTGCTTAATGGTGCAATGCAATTATCTGACCCATAGGTGGCAGCCATCTCAAGCCAGAGGACGAGAGGACTCTATCCGCCACGCATATAAAGGATTTATAGTGAAAAACTTTGTTTTTACGGGTTTACTTGTTATCGTGTGCAAACATTGGTGAGCCGGGCTGAGACCATCAACTTTACTGCGCTTGGGAAGCCAGTTTAAAACACGGATTCACCTGCTGCCATTAAACTGGATTCGAACCGTGAATCTCAGCGGTACCAGACTCGGCGCCCTCTGACCTCTTGAGCCACCCGGCCACCTCCAAGATGTGAGACAGAGCGTGCAAGTGAGGATGTGATGGGAGGAGCGTGGCACGACGTGTGTGCTGTCGCCTCGTGTGGAAGATGTCAACTGTGTGCATGAGTACGTAGGTGTGTTGGAGGTTTGCCGAGTGTGCAAAGCTCGTGCGTGACTTGACAGGGGCGTTGCGCGTGCTGTGTGTACGTTTGACTTCTTTCGCACCGTACGTAGCCGGCCGTGGCAGTCGACGTGAAGTGGGTAGTGCGTGTCCTGTACCGCAGGGGTGGGGACCTTTGCCCTTACTGAGGGCCAAACAGGACCATCAAATACCTTTTGCTGGCCACACTCCTCCGTCACTTCTGTCGGTGCGAGAGGCCCTTGCAATAACGGTTGACTTGCGTGGCACCCAAACTTTAAGCTGCTGCCAAGCGTAAACGGAAAATATACCCCGTGCAAAACCGAACGTAAACTACCGTTCGAGGTTAATGCAAGGAAAACATGTTTGAGTCATGAAAATTTTAATAAAATATTAAATCCATTTAAAATGAGAGTGGAACAACAATGCACTCCCAATAAATAACAGTGATGTTATTTGTCCATTAACTGAATCTCAACACTTTCAGGAGGGTTGTTAGGCCATTTCCATTCATGAGAGTTTGACATGTGGGAGGACACCTGAATAGGCAGAGAATATCCATGCATACCAGGGAATAAACACCGAGTATTATCGACCAACTAGCATTTTGATTACTTGACTAATCAGGTAACAGGAAAACCGTTGATAAATTACTTGGGCCACCCAGTAATTGATGAACGGTTTTCCATTACTTTTTTCCTGATAAATTGCCTGGGCCACCCAGTAATTGATCAGGAAAAAAGTAATGGATTGTCATTTTCAGTCAATCGTCCAGGCTCCAATCGAGAGTTGCCTGCACGTACAGACAGGACACGGCGCGGGTGCTGCGCGTGTTGCGTGCGTCGCTGTGACCCCCGTCATTCTCCGTGCCGCGTGACGCCAACAGCGAGCAGGACGAGGCGCTGCTGCGTCGCACGTGCGCGCCGCTCGCCGCCGCCAAGGACCCCGCGGGCGCCCTGCGCCACCGCCAGGAAGGAAACCGCTTCTTCCAGCAGGAGCAGAACGGCCGAGCTGCGGCCTGCTACTCCAGGGTAACCACTCGGGCACCCAGAGGGGTCCCATGCTCCACGTCTCTCTGGGCACAGAGACCGTTGGCGACTGCGCCGTTTATTCACGATTTCCAACCAATGTTAAAAGCCACTGCGTGTGTTTTTGGGTTTGTGCTGTATTGCTTTATGATGTTTTTCTGGGCTGTACCGCGCATAGTTTGTTGGCATGATGTCCGACGATTCGCTCCACGTGCTGGAAGCTTTTTCAGGAATTTGGCTGCTGGACCTCTCGTGAATGCTTTGCGTTTTCACATCATGGGCCACTTCGTTGAGCTGTCATTTGTGGCCAGGTCACTTCTGAAAAATAAGTTTAATCTTGTATATTCTTTGAGTGATTTGCTTACGTTTCCAATACTTTGCACTTCTATTGAGTTTTTTTTGTATTATATGTTGTTGTAACGTTCTGACCTGCCCCTACTGGACATCTGAGAAAAAGAGCTGTATAGCTCATCGGATTCCTCCAGTATAAATAAAATCTGATTCTGATTTGATCGCCGTTTCTGTTTCGTGCCTCCTCGTACCAATCTTGCGCCACCGCAGAGCATCTGCCTGGCGACCCCGGGCAGCGAGGAGCAGGCCCTGGCGTTCGCCAACCGATCGGCCGCCCTCTTTCACATGCAGCATCACCAGGTGCACTGCTCTCACACACTCATGCCCACGATTAACCACACAGTTCACCATAACCACACAGTTCACCATAATCACACAGTTCACCATAACCGCACAGTTCACCGTAACCGCACAATTCACCCAGCGGTGCAGCGAGCACCAACTTGAACAGAGGAAGGGTTTGAGAAGTGCAGACACACGCGGAGACGCCCAGGAGAGTGACCTCCCGTTTAAAGGTTCGGAGGTTTTTGACACGCGGCACGAGTTGCTGGAGTGGAGCGCACGTGGAGGGGAGTCAAGCACGATGAAAATGGCCGAGGCAATGGAGGATTTTGAGGACAGTGAATGCGGTCTTGTAGTCGATCCGGGCTTGTATTGGGAGCCAGTAGAAGGGTCTGAGGACTGGGGTGTTAGGGCTCGATGATGGATGCTGGTGAGCATCTGGCTCCTCTTAGTAGAGAGGAGCAGGGCTAAGGTGTAGTGGTCCAGTGCCATTAAGGCGAATGGGTCTAAGGCCAGGTGTATGGATAGTGTATTTGTGAGTCCGGCAAAAGTGGTGTCTGATTTGACTGGTTTCCTTATAGCAGCAATAGTGCCTGATTGGATAGTTTGGTAAAGGCAGGGCTAGTGCTTGATTTCATGCATTAGACATTGGACAGGATGGAAGCTGTCTCAGTCGAAGTATGCAGCGACGGGCTGAGGGCAGTGGAGAGACACTGCCAGGAGATATCGGTGAAGGAAACGATCGTGCCCCAGTGGCCCGAAATTTTCTTCACTTCCGACGCCACTGCCCCCGTGGCGGCCGTCACTCTCACCCGCCCTCATTAGACCCTACGGACGCCGCAGAAAGGGGGCATTGGGGCGGCTTCACCGTATCACATTTTACTTTGGCAGTTGTAACGTGGGTCGCACGCCGCGGCCTCACTCACGAAATTCCTCCCACCCCGTTATGGGGGAATGGCCAGGCCTGTCTGGACGACATCGGCCGCGCGCTGGCGAACGGCTACCCCGCGCGCCTCTCCCACAAGCTGCTGTCTCGTCGCGGGGACGCTCTAGCCGCGCTGGAGCGCGCGCGGCAAAACCCAGGCGACAATCCCACTGCTGCCGCCGCCGCCGCCGTGGGCAATCCGGACGTCTCGGGCGCCGGGGGTAGCGGGCGTGACGAGACGCTCGCGGAGAACGGAGGAGGCGCGGGGGAGCGAGTGTCTGTGGAGGTACGAGGATGAAAGCGGCATGCAGCTGAGACACAAGGGGGGACACGCGGAGAAGTCTAATTCGTCGTGTCCAAGAGCGGAGATTAAAAATGCTCAGTTTGATTGCCATGTGATTACCGTGTTCTCTGAGTTATGATGCAGTTTTCCCCGTGTTTAAAAGCAATCATTTGGTGCATAACCAAATCGTTATAGCATTGACGCCTAAGAAATTAATTGAATGGAAGGGTGAGTTGTGAAGGAAACCTGTGACCTTTCGCGACGCTGCCCTTTGCTTCCAGTTGCGTTGGAGCGAGCGCTCGGGGAGGCATTTGGTGGCGGCGCGCGACCTCCACCCGGGGGAGTCGCTCCTCGTGGAGCCGGCGTTCGCCAGCGCCGTCGCCCCCGACGCCAACGCGGAGCGTGAGGGGGCCCTGCCCCCCGAGGAGCGCTGCTGCCACCGCTGCCTGCGCGAGGCCGAGCCGGTGCTGCCGGTGCCGTGCCAGCGCTGCAGCTACGCACGGTGAGCCAAGACCATCGCCTCTTAATGATGCCCGGATACAAAAACACCCCCCTGACTCTTACCGGCGTCCGTGTCACCGGTGCTATCAGCCAATCATCAATGTTCCTGCCACTCGAGAATGACCTGGGCATGAGTAGACGGGCGTTCGTTTAGACCGTGATGAAGGCTATGTTATAGGGCGACGTTATCAGCAGGAGGCAGTGCAGAAAAATAAAATATTGGAGTGTACTTCTATGCTCACAGCGCCTGCTTCCCACCACCAACTCCAGCTGACCAGTGTGGTGAAGCATATTCAGGTAATGCCCATGACCCCCAAGGCACGGGGAGGCCTCCGTCCCAAAGTAGTTTGATCGTGGCTGCTGCTGATGACGATTCAAGTAATTATCGTCATGATTAAAGCAGAACCTGTTGACCTCCACTGGAATCTCAATGCCCATTGAGCGCCACTCTTGGTCTCTTTCAGGTTCTGCGGGGAGCCGTGCCGGGACGCGGCGGTGCGGAGCCGCCATCACGGCAGCGTGGAGTGCGCCCTGGCGCGCCGTGGCCTCCTGCAGGGCCTGGGCCCCTTCGTACAGGCGAGCCTCAGGACTCTGCTCATCGCCGGGCCGCGTGACGTCGCGGCCGCCGTGAGCGGAGACGCCAGCGGGGGCGACGAGGAGATCGCGCGGACGTGCGCCGACTTCCTGCGCGACGCGCCCAGTGGCGCCGGCAGTGAAGCGGAGATAGGTACGGACCGTGCGGAAGCCGGCTCCCTCTCGAGCAGCGGTCTTCGTTGCAAGACCCCGCGAGCCACTGACGGCCCTGGTGGCCTTTAGTGCGGCCCCCTTCTGAAAATTAGTGAAGAACAATGCTCTAGAGGTGCGACTGCAAATGAGCCCAGCTGCAACTCCGTTTGCAAATACCACTGCGTCAGTTTTCTCTGTCGTGCCGCGTAACTCTGACATGTTATCGGGTGGTATCCGTGTGTTGTTCGGTGTAATGTCCGACGTTTCGGTCCACCTGCCGGGAGCTGCTGTAGGAATTCAAATCCTGAAGAAGCTCCCAGCACGGGGGGCAAAAACGTTGGACATGACACCGAACAACCCGCGGCACGAACACGAAAACACAACGGGGAGCTAATGGGCACACACTTTGCATAATCCCGTGTTTTAGATTCATTTGCCGTTGTCTGTCCTCGCTATTGTCTCATGTAATACGGATTTGAATCTACTTGTCCGTCCGTGACCTCCCCGTAACGCTGCCCACGGACGCAGCTGGAACGCCGGCGCCGGGATCGGCTGCCGCCGAAACACCGCGTGTGGATAAAACTCCGACGGTATCGGCGGCTGCGTCCGCGGTGAAGATCGCCGGGTGTGGGGAGGACGCGGTTTATCGCAGCGACTACCGAGCCATCTACCACCTGGTGACTCACGCGGATGCGCGCGACACCGCGCACATCCTGCCCCTTGCCTGGGCCGCGGCTGCCGTGTGCAGGTACGGGGTGGGGGGCGGGGGGTCAGGGGGGCAACACCACCACCTCTTTGGAGGGGAGGGGGGGCGGTGGTAGTGTGAACGACGGCACACAGTGGTGTGACGGACATACGTACGTAGGGGTGAGTGCGTACAACCAGAATGGGCGGCTCTGTAAATTCCCGCCCACTCCTCCCGCTCCGGTTTAAAGTCCGTGCGATCGTCGTGAGCAGGCACCTCCACGAGCTGGGCTTCTCCTTTCTGAGCGGAGCGCCGGGCGGTACGGCACCATCATCGGAGTCGGGGCGGAGTGGCGCCGGGCGAGAGGATGAGGGGGCGACAGGAGCCGGGGGTCACGGGGTCGCGCCCGCCGAGCTCCAGGGCGAGCTGCTGCTGGTGGGGACGCTGCTGCTGCGCCACCTGCTGCAGCTGTGGTGCAACGCGTACGCCGTGACCACGCTGAGCAGCGGCGCAGGTGATGTCGTTCGTGCGCCTTGTCACCGCGCAATGACACGTGTTGTGTGTCCCTGTTGATCGTCTTTGCTGTTTGACCACTGCACGTGTATCCATGCTGACAAGAAACAAAAATTTTGCGTGACGCTTTGATTTCAATCAAAATTCGCGCTTTAACAGTGCATGGAGATAGAACGGGATGAGTGGAATGCCACGCACCCTCGTGGCCCATGGGGCCGATTTGTTCAAATTTCACAACGGTGACGTAGCGGAGAGTAGAAATGAATGTAAGAGCGAGTGAAACGCGGGCGCGGCTCACGATGTGGTCTCATCACCCCCACACCGTCCTCCACAATCTCCTGGCCAATACTGAACTGGAGTGAGATGTGACTCGGACCGGTGAGCATTGTATCATTATATCTTCCGCACCTGCGATTAGCACGGTTGGCTATGTACGGCGCGAAATAAGTTCCACATACGTGTCGGGTGATGGAGGGTTACGACACATTTGTAAATAACGCGATCTAAACCCAAAAACGTTGATCATGAATAATATTGGTCGCGAAAGCTTACGCGTTAAACCGATACGTGTTTCGTGTGTTGCATGTGAAGCGTATGTGATGTGCGGCGTATGCCTGTTGGGCGCTCGCCACTGCTACATAACCACCCCGCGCCACCTTTCCCGTGCAGCTTGCCTCGCGCCCCGCTCCCCCTCGGCGGCGGCGGCGGTGGAGAGCAGCGAGCATCGGCGTGTGGCGGTGGCGCTGTTCCCCGTGGCGAGCCTGCTCAACCACGCGTGCCGCCCCAACGTGAGCCTCGCGTTCCGTGGTGCCGTCCTCACCGTGCGGGCCGCCGCGCCGATCCTCGTCGGCGAGCAGCTGCTCCACTGCTATGGTGGGCGCACACGGGGGCGGGCTGGGCGGGCGGGGGGGCGGGCTGGGCGAGGGGTGGGCACGGTGGTGGTCGCGCGAGCCATGTGCTCGTACGCTCGACCCAGGGAGTTGCGTACCTGTCAACTCCTTATCAGTGCCCTACCTTACTACCGACCAATTCAGACTTTATTGGTCATCCCGTGCCCCTTATACATCTCAACGTTCATCCTACAAAGTCGCATCACAAGGGAGAAACACAAACAAATATTGAAAAAATGTTGTCCATATTGAAACGGCTGTACGCTGTGTGAACCTGAAAACTCAATTTCCCTGTACAAGAATACGGGGTGAACCGTACGGATTGACAGCTATGGAGTTGTCGCCTGCGGGGCGGATTATTCCGGGTCGGGGATTTAGCCATGCTCGCGACAATCAGCGGCCAGCATCACCGTCCCGGCGCTGCACATTCGCAGCAGCAGGAAGCGTTCCATCCGAACCGATTTTTTTTCTTCTTTTATTAGGAACCCGATACAGAGCACGAACCGCGACGTAGGGCGGGGGAGGGGGGGGGTAAAGAAATCCCAGAGACCTAAATACCGTCGAGGAGGGAGGAGATTGGACTCACTGCCCCACCGAGTGGGGACCGAGCGCGACGTGTGTGCGTGTACTTTCATGTGGGAAGGGAAAAGTAGGGGAAGAGGAACTTAGGTTAAGGGAGTATGCGTGTTCGTGTACCAGGGCCGCAGGCGGAGCGGATGGAGGGGCCGGAGCGGCGGCGGCTGCTGCGCTCGCAGTACCGCTTCGAGTGCGCGTGTGCGGCGTGCGCGGAGGAGGAGGAGAGGGGGGGGCCGCCCCCCCACGACGCGTTCCTCTGCGAGAGCTGCGGCTCCTTCCTGAAGGTCGGCTCACAGATATCGCGCTCAGGGTACACACGCGCGCGCGCACGCAAAGACAAAGATCCCACCCCCCACCCCCGTATTGCTTGAACGGACTGTTGGGGCAAGTGCCGTTCGCGAGCAGCGCCCGATGAAGGCCGGGGGGTGGGTGGCCAGCACCGCGCCCGTTCACACGTGGAGCTGTCAAAAGTGTCGCCTCTGGGGTGAGCGGTGCTCGACTGGGAGAGCGGCCATCGCTCCTTTCCCTCCGCCCCCCGCCGTGTCTGCAGCACAGCAGCCGACAGATGCAACGTGGCGTGTTTATTAAACTCGATGGCGGGTTACAAAGACAAACAAAAGACAAAGCTGCCCCCGTGTGGCCTTTATAGACTGTTGGGGCAAGTGCTCTTAGCGAGCAGCAACTATGAAGGTCGGCACGGCACACGAAGTGGGTGGGTGGCCAGCACCACGCCTGGCCGCCTTTGTCTCCCTAGTAGGCGATGTTTACACACCGCACCAGGTGCTAATTTGAGGCTGAGTCGGCCAAGGGGAGGCCCAAGATCAGCTTACAACACATCTCACTAACACAGCTCACTAACACGGCTCATGACACACATCTGCTGCCAACAGCGCGGGGGTGAGAGCACGCTCGTGGAGGAGATGGAGTGCTCGTCCGTGCGCTGCAGGCTTCGCTTCCCGCGCGCGCCACTCCTGGCGTCGCACGCGGAGCTGCGTGCACTGGTCGCTCGCGCTCGGAGCGCGTTCGAGGAGCACGGGAAACCCGGTGAGGTCCCCCCCTCCCCCCTCCCCCCCGCCGCGCGCTCACCGTGCAACGCACTGAAGGAAAATATCCCCCAGATAGCCCTTGCCAGACTGTCGGGCGGCAAGTGCTGTTGGGGAACGCCTATTAAGAGTCCGCGCACGGCACAATCTGGTGTGCGTGGCCAACACGACAAAGACCTCCATTACCTCCCCGGTAACTTTCCGGGTACTAATTTAAGGATGAGTCGACCTAGGGGAGTCACGGGATCAGTTACAGCCTATTAACACATTGCTGGACATCTGTGCAAAAAGAGCTTGATAGCTCATCGGATTCCTCCAGTATAAACAAATATTCTGATTCAGTTCTAATATTCGTCGCAAATGCGAGCTGTGAGCGGGAATCAATATCGCGTCGCCGGGTTTGAAACGCAGTGCCCTAGACATTTTGCCACCACTCCCCACGCACTCACCTGTACACGCACATACCTGTACACATACACGTGTACACGCTCACCTGTATACTCACACCTCTACACACCTGTGCAAACATTCGCACCTCTACAAACACCCTCACCAGTACAAACACTTGTAAAAACATGCTCACCAGCATACACACACCTGTACTCACACCTGTACACACACACTTAGATACACCTATGTAGACATCTGTATGCCATGCACACCTGTATGCACATCTGTACGTATATTCTTACCTGTACACAACTGTAAGCCCACACACACACCTGTACACACCTGTTAGCACACACAGACACCTCTGCACGCACACACAAACCTGTACACACAATGGGTTTTCTGGGGACCCAAAAAATGTTGAAAATACTGGGGGGATGGGGGGATGGGAGTTCAAATCACACCCCAGAAGTTAAAAAATTCAACAGTGTGCGAGCTGACCTGTTATTAGATACTGAAAAGCGGTGCGCATAGCACCGGCAAACTCGGCCCAGACCAGAGGCTGCCGACGTAGCTTCGTTTCCCGTCGGCGACGCTTACGGAGCGGCGGAAGACGGTCAGGTGACTCGGTTATCGGTGCCGCCCTCCTCCCACCCCCCACCACCGTGCGCACCTTTCCTCCCGTGCGGTCAGAGGTCGCGTCCGAGGTGCTGGGCGAGTGTCTGCGCCGCGGCCGTGGCCTGCTGAACCCTCTCCACGCCACTCTGGGCGAGGCCTCGGACTGCCTCGCGCAGGTGCTCGCCGCACAAGGTAACCGTAGCAACCGGGCTGCGTCTCCGCCGCGTGCGTTTGTGCGGCGGTGTCGTGCACCGTCCCGTGATGTATGAGTGCGGGCGCCACGGTGGCGAGATGTTGACTACCTCGCGTGGTATACAGGAGGTCGTGGGTTCCATCCTGACCCTGACACCTGCGTATATTTGTAGTGACGTGGACTTTTCTCCGGATCCTCTGGTTTTTCCCCTCCACATTTAGAAACGTGCGTTTAGAGTTTTTGGCTGTCTATAAAATGTCCACGTGATAAGCCACTTAGTTGAGTTATAATTTGTTGCCAGGCCACTTCTAAAAAAGACCTATATAGCTCAGTGGGCCTTGCCTGATAAAATAAAAAAAGTTAAATCGTGAGTATGTTGAATTTCTTCCTCACTCTATGTAGCCAACCGGGCTAATCCGAGGTGCGGGTTGTACCGCTTTGTTGAATTCTGGGTACCGCTTTTTCCTCCCAGATGAAGGAAACAAGCAGCATCGGCTGGCCAGGCATCAGACACCAGCAGCACCCAGCAATGCTATGGGGGCCCTGCTTGGGGATGTTTGACCAATCGCACTTTAATGATGAGCGTTTAGCTTTTTAGACCGCAGAGCTTTGTAGACCGCAGAGGAAACTGAATATTCGTAGCAAGGTGAACAAGACTCAAAAGGTCACGACAAATGCAATCACCAACCCACTTGCTGTACGCCATTTCTTGGTCAACCATGGAGCCCACGTTTGCAAATCTGCACGTGATCCACCAACGCTCGCCTCCAAAGCGATGGATCCCCTTTGCCACCACGCCCTACGCCGTGGTGTTCCCACCCTCGCCAGGTGGCCGAACCTTCTTATGTGACCGGTTTCTTATACCCCCCAGTTTCTCACGGAGTGTCCAAACCTCGTGTTGTGGCCGGCCACATGGAGTGGGCCCAACCCCATGGTGCAGCTGGTCCGCCGGTGTGTCAACCCATGGTGTGGCCGGCCTTGTTTTGTGATAGAGCCCGCGGTGTGACGAACTCATGGTGTGCCAGGAACCTCCATGCCGCCGAGCCCGCACGGGGTAGCCGGCCACACCGTGATGTGGCCGGCTACCCCGTGCTAATGCGCGCGTCTGCGCTGGTGGCTGCAGGGCGGTGGGAGGATGCGGCTCGTCACCTCCGCAGCAGCTTGGTGTCCGTGGAGGCGCGGTTTGGGCCCGGCAGCCCCGAGACGGCTTACGAGCTCTTCAAGCTCACGCAGCTCCTCTTCAACGGGTAACTCGCAGCACACAACGTGTACGCACGTGTACACACACGCACACAAACAACAACAGCCGCTATTCGCCACTAAGTGGCGCTGACGTCACCACGGCGCTTGTGCCAGACACGGTGCATGTTGAGGCCACGTGAAGTGTCGACGTTTCGCTGACGAGAGGTCACGGGACAGACCCAGGTGTTATGGGTCCCCCCGCGCCCCCCCTCCCCCCCCCCTCCGAACCGTTCGTTACCCGCCTCACCCACGACGGTGCTCGTGTGCTGCTGTCGTCCAGGCGCCAGGTGCGGGAGGCGTTGGAGGTGGAAGAGAGAGCGGCCGCCCTGCTCAGCCTCCACTTTGGCGAGGACCACCCCCCGGTGCAGGAGCTGCGTGACATGCGCCGCTGCCTGCTCGCCTTCCTCTCCCGCTCCTCCGCGTCGTAGTGGGCCGCGGCCGGTTTTCCGTTTATTCCCAACCAAGCTACGTTCCGAACGCGCTGTCGGCAACGCGCCCACGAGACCAGGATTTCTCCGTCCGCAGCTTGGCGGCGAGCGGCCGTGTCAGAGAATCGCCCCTCCTCTCTCCTCCCCACCCCCAACCGTAAGGTGACGTCGAAGAACTACTTCTGAAGTCCCTGCAGTAGACGGTGTGCAACTGCGGCTAGCAACTCCGAACCGCGGGGCACATATCGTCACACACCAAATATTCACGTGGATTGGTGGCGCGCTGGGTGGGTGTAACGCTTGCTCTGCCTAAGCCGTACCAAAGACTCTTATCAACGCGAAGGAGCAGCGCCTTGTATGTGCCCTGCAGCGTTCATCACGTGGCAATCACACCTCTTCATATCAATGGTATATATATGCATGTTGAACTTCTTTTGCACCGTATGTCGCGAGTAGTGCTAATCGGAGGTGCGTGGGAAGGACAACAAACTAAACACAAAAAGCAGTTTTAAAGAAATTAGTTTTCAATCTCGATGATGATTTAAAAGTGCAGAGCTCCAGTGGCTTCCTAATATCGGAAGGAAGAGCGTTCCAATGCAGTATATACAATAGCCTTGAGATCTCCATTGGGTGGAGGCCGCTCTACCAGTGGCGCCGTGAGCGAGCAATTGCAGGGCCGCACCTTTACCTTTGGCCATACAGAGTCCAGAATATTTGCAGCTGTTGATTCTTCCCCGTGACGCTGTTCCCTCACTTGCTTTGTGCAGCATCTTAGGATGCGGTTGTCATTACCAGTTGCTCTCTACATCGCGATTGCACTATCGAGTTGTCATGGCCCGCAAGTAAGGCAGCTCACGTGGAAAACCAAATTGGATTAAATGCGATTTCTTTGTACAGTCATGGGCGGTGACCGCGCTCCGGCCGCCAACTCCACCGCACTTGAGCACCCCGTTTGATCGCCGGCGGACGTGACCGGGACTTTTGACCCGGCGTCTCGAGAGGTGTCAGCTCGGTAGCGTGACACTCGCCGCCGCTTCAACTCGGCTGTCGTTGGGGTCCAGGGGAGGAGCGTGGTTGGGGCGGGGGGGGGTGGAGGGGGCGTGCATGCCACGAGCGATGACGAGCTGCCGCGTGTGCTTATCGCAAAGTCGCACCGTTCGCACCGCGCGTGGCGATGTTACCGCCCTGGCTGTGAGAAGCTTCCCCGCCGGGTGTCGGGCGGCACGCGGAGGAGGAGGGAGTTCCTTAAACCTCGGTGCCGCGCGGCTAACGCTGCGTGAACGCGGTCGGTTATCGTCCGGCACGACGGCAGCGACGCTTCTCGGTCGAGGCTGTCAACAAAATTAAAATGTTAAATAAAAAACAGCGGCACAAAGCCCTCGTGTGAGCACGTTAAGGGAACGCGCAGCGAGGCGCTGATGAGCTGGGGGCAAACGGTGCACGAGGATGTAATGTCGACAGGTTCATTTCGCGCAGTAGCAGACATTTTCGAGCATTCCGAATGGTTACGGCCGGAATTTTCCAGGACGATGTGCACGAAGTTTGCAGGCAGTCGTGATTCATATTCGGGGAGTCTTTCTGCATTTTCCAGTTTTGTCACCGAACAACCACAAACAGCCCAAGTGCAGCTACCGCCACGGGCAAACAGGCACTCAAATCGCAATTGCAAAGTTGAAAGCTAAATCTTGATTTGAAGCTTTCGTTACCGCAGGAATCCATACTCTTTGGTTCTTTCGGTAAAGTCACGTAGATAGAAAAATAAATAAAATGAAAGCTCAAATGTCTATCATAGTCTGGCTTGGTCAATGATCGTCATCCACTCTGCAGGGTTTATAAAACTAGAACCACTGTGTGGGATGGAAACCGTTGTCCTGCAGACATCGCTTTCTTGCGTAAGAATGTGGAGTTTCCACCACCAGCATGCCAATAGAAAAACATGTTTCCCCATGTTAACTTTCCCCAGGGAGACACATTGGACCTCTGGTATCCGAGCGCGACTTGTCTGTAAAACAACAAAAACGCAACACATTTGTCAATAACACTGCACCTCAAGAGTACAAAAATACACAGAATCAGTGACGTGTTGGGCACTGGGGCCCTCCTCCATTGCAAAGTGAAGAGCCACGATCAGAGGCCATTGTCTGAAACGTCTTTTGTTTTTTGTACGTGTGCACCGCTGCCAATGTACTCTTCATTTTTAGAAAATTTAGTCAAACGTTGCTCGCGCCCCTGTCTCCCCTTACCAAGCCCCCTGCCACCACCCCCCCTCCTCCTCCTACCATCCCCCCCCCCTCCTCCCCCCATCGCACCCTCCCACCTTCCCGTGTAGCTCCACCAGAGGTTCCCGGTGGGAGGCCGACACGTCTCGCGATGGCCCAGGCGCCGAGGTGCGAACGCCGCAGCGCAGGAGCGCCGCTCGGTTGACGCGCATTAAGTGGGTCTCGCCGCGGTCGTTGTTGGCAAGATCGTCGAGGGAAACTCCCACGCTCCCTGCACACACGTGTTTAACGGTCCCGCTGGAAGTTCATTAAACACACGGGGAGTTCGGAGGGGCAGAGGTGTGGGAGACGCGACGGGCAGAGGTGCGACCGAAGCTTGCCTCTTCGGCCGCGGCGAGTCGAGCGAAAGTTAAATCGTCCTCTCCATCACTGACCACCGAGCCCTGTGATTGACAACTCCACATTCCCATGGCAGGAGGCCGCCGTTGGTAATTATTGTCCTTTGTCGAGGAACACTAAACGCACTCTTTGATAGGAAGGCCCCGCAGTGCATTTCCCTTTTATATTTTGTATAGAGAAAAAATTTAACTCCACTCATTTCTTCAATAACACTGTGGCCTTGGACAGAGAAGGTTTCTAGGTGACGTTTCAGGCATTGGCCCTTCTTCACATCGCAAAGAGAGGCCACTCTACCCTTCTGAGCTCTCTGTGCACTGTGAAGAAGGCGTGTTGCCTGAAGCATCGCCAGTGATAAATAATACAGGTTGTTTAGGTTTGTGTCAAAGAGTGCGTTTAGTAGTAAATTTACGCGTTCATTTAAGATCACGTAAATTTACGTGATCTAAAATTTACTCGATCTAAATTTACGTGATCTAACCCCAAAAAACTGTATTTGGATGGATGATAATGGTCACGAAAGTCTACTGCGCGTTAAGTCGCCAGTGATTTTGTTGTTAAGCCGCAGTGTGATTTACGATGGTGTTAAGCTTGTTTGTGCTCTGTGCACCACCGCATCATCATCATCGTCATCACCTAATGACGTGTCCCTCTTACAGCAGTCGGGGTTCTCGCCCGGTGTAAACTAGAGGCGTCGGCGACACCTGGGATGTGGCTGGAAACATGGGGAGGGTGGGGGGCGAGGGAGGCGGCCTGTGAAATAGTCGCTCCTCGGTTTATGAATTAGCCACTCGGGTTTATCCAGGAAAAGCGTCGCCGAGACGGTTCGGGTTGCCACCCCCCTCCCCCCCCACAGCTTTTTGACGAATGAAATAAAACGGAGGAATTTTTAGTCATCGTGCCAATGTGAGACGGCTCCTGAAAAGTGTTTTTTTGTTTACAATCGGGGTGATCGGGGGGGGGGGTCAAGCCATGAATTAAGAAAATGGCATCTTATTCTTGGTTCTTTCGGTAAAGTCACGTAGAAGGGAAATAATAAAATAATAAACATATACAAGAAAAAATCTTCCCTTCTACGTGACTTTACCGAAAGAACCAGGAATATGAATCCCTGCAGCCACGAAAGCTTTAAATAAAAAAATGGCATCTGTTCAGCAGATGAACTCGACGCTACACATTCTGTCAATAAGACTACGGTCTTAAAATGAAAATAATATAATAGGTGACGTTTTGGGGGCAATGACACTTCTTCATAGCACAGAAATATAAAGAGGCCAGAATTTGAGAGAGAGAGTGGATTATTTGAGAGAGAGAGTGGATTATTTGAGAGAGAGAGTGGATTATTCGAGTTTGGAGATTGCACTTGTTTACACACTGTGGCCTGATGAGAATTAAAACAATAAAAAAATGCTTTCTTTTGACTACGTTTCATGTTGACATGAATATGTTCGCTATTAATAGCTATCGAGTAACAGGCACAACCCCTCAATTAAAATTAAAGGAGCGACTACTAAATAAACGCATGTTAAAAGTAGCGTAAAATTTTGCTGGCACGTTGCATGACGGGAAGATTTGTTCTTGTAAGAACAAGGTACAATGCACCCGGCAGAACATTCCTCGGCCCAATCACCATTTCAATGTCAGGGGTTTAACTTCCTTACATTCCTGAGGTGGATAAATCTGAGAAATAAAATGCGAGGTACGCGTGCTTGATATGAAGATTAATAATAAGATTTCTCTAGCACTCAATTGCATTCATGAACGGTGTTCAGTTTAAATCTGCGGCCGTCTGGAGCGCTCTTCCAATCTTAGGAAGCCACTGGAGCTATGCACTTTTAAATCCAGATTGAAAACTCATTTCTTCACAACTGCGTTTTGTGTTTAGTTTGTTGCCCCCCCCCGCACCCCCGATTAGCACGGGTTGACTACTTACGGTACGCGAGAAGTTTAACGTACGTACACATACATTTTCGGCAGGGACATTGCATTGGCATGTTCGGGCAGGTTACTACTCGGAGGGGAGCCCGAGGGGCGTTTAACGCGGGGGAAGATTTCGCCGTTTCGACTCCAGACTCCTTGTTTCGTGGCTGTGCCGCTCGCTCGACACGAAACCACGCCGGGAGTGCTGAACTCCGCGAAACCGCGAAAACCCTGGGACGCAGTCGGTCTCGAAGTAAAACCTGCGCGGCTGGTTTATGCCTCGAGTGGAATCTGCGGAGGTGTGAAGGCTGACGAACAACGGCGAGGAGGAGGGCCTCGCGTTCCCACACTCCGCCAACCGTGGCGCTCATTCCCTCTCTCGCTCTCACATGGGGGGCCCATCTGCCCGTGGGTGACACCTCGAGCCCGTGGGTGACACCTCGAGCCCGTGGGTGACACCTCGAGCCCGTGGATTCTCCCAGCCACGGGAGCGACCGTCCCATCTTCGGAGACGGGGTCTTCCCTGACCCTCGGGTTCCCAGCCCTCCCGCCGCCCCCAAACGCGCCCGCTGCCCCCGATGCTCACCGCGCGCCTGGCTCGAGACATCGATAAACAAACGTCATGTGAACTTGGAAGAAAATAAACAGGTTCGATGGCGGGTCATTTAGTTTTTTTCTCCCTTTCCCAGGTCTTCACCAGGGATGGGGAACGTCCGGCCCGCGGGCCGTATGAGGCCCCGCGAAATCATTTGGTGTGGCCCTGCCAAGGCAACCGCAGGTGGGACTCGAAATTCAATACATCTCAAGGAGCTAACCTGGAAAAGCAGTTGCGAGTAGCAACATCATCAATACCAGCTAACATCACACGCCTCGCCAAAGAGAAGCAGTTCCAGCCATCACATTAGGGGTGAGTTAATTAAATGTTTGACCAAATATAACGGGCTAATTTTTAAGTTGATAATTTAGTATGGCCCGCGAATGATGTTATACATATCCAATTGGCCCTTGGCAGAAAAAAGGTTCCCCACCCCTGGTTTACACCGAGCAGCAAGCCGGCGTTGCCACCTCTGACGGACAAACAAACCAACAAAAACAACCACCGGGACGAGTCATGGGAGGAAGAATATCTCACGGTGCTGGCGGGGGGCGTGGGGGGGGGCGAATCGCGTGGTGGATGCGTTGCCTTTGAGTGACGTGGTAACGCAGAAGTGACAAAAACTGACTCGTAACGTCCCGAGAAGACTTGCAGAAATTCCCGTGGAAAGCTAACCCATAAAAAAAATGAATAGAGATGATCCTGGGAAAAAACCGGGGGAAGGGGCCGGTGGTAAAAACATTAAATTAGTTAGTACCTGGCGATCTTAGACGACGATGGGGAGGATGGCGATGGGTGATGGGTGATGGGTCGAAGCTGCCTCGATGGTTTCAATGAAACTTTGAGAGAGAAAGAGAGAGGGGGAGAGAGGGAGAGAGAGGGAGGTAAAATGGAAGAACAGTATCCATAAAGGCCCTGAAGCACCGTCGTCCATACATTTACATCGTCAGTCAGCTGCGTCTTGACGACGCAGATTCTAGCCCTGATCATCAAACCACCCCCCAATGGAAAAACACCCATCCGTGACTCGGTCAAGGTGATGTCTCTCATTGGCGCTCGCTGCCTCGTCCACGTGGTTCGTCTTTCCGTCTCTCGGCGACATTTCAAGAGGTCACCTCCCCCAGGCCCCCTTTGTGCACCTTTCAACTTTTGCATACATTTTCGTTGCCAGTGTGGCCCCGTGGGTTTGGATAGAACCGGCCAGGTGCTTGCTTCAGAAGGTAGAGCGAGCGTCTTCGCAATCGGGGTAGGTTGCGAGTTCAATTCCTGGTTGTGCGGTGACTGGGGTTTGACTCAGCCCATCGTTCTTCCAGGGAGTGGATAAAATCAGTACCTCTTTGGGAGCAAGTCAAACGGTGGCCGTGTTACGTGTGGCCAGACTTGGAATCCCGACGTCTGGATGTGCGCGCGGGGGGGCTATGAACGGCAGTTGTACGCTATTATTCATTTGAAATGGAGCTGCTCCACAATAGGCATCCTGAAGGAGCTCCCAGCACCACGGAGCGAAACGTCGGACACGGTGCTGACTAACGCGCGGTACAAGCCGCAAGCACACCGGAGAGCGACGGCAAACCTCCCACGCCGTCGGTAGAGGAGGAGGAGGCGGATGTCTTCTTCACAAATCCGTCTCTCCACGCAGACATTATAATTCTAAGTGTTTTTTTTTTACACAGCCCATCAGCCGCACGGCCTTCTGGGAGTGCGTAATTTCAGCAGCATGAATTCACTGCAAGCAAGCTACGTAGGCGGCAGTGGGGAGGATCACCCCGCGGTTCAGAATATACTTTTGCAATTTGTACTTAGATATGTCATCTATTGTACGTATTCATTTTTAGTGATGTTTCGCTCCAGTCGTTTTTTCTTGTTGCGTTAAGAGCTTCACAGCTCATCGGATTTCTCCAGGAAAAATATAGATTCTGTCTCGGGGCTGCCCGCCACCACCACCACCACAAAACCACAGCAGCAGCAGCTGCTGGCTCGCTCGCCTCGTGGTCTTCCTCTCTTCTCGCTCTCTCTCTCAGCAGCTCTTCCTCGCACCGGCCGAGTTTGTTGTTCTGCTCTTTGCGCGGTGTCGCCTTCACACGCGGAGCTGCCAAAAGTGTCTCCTCCTAGACCTGGGGGGGTGTGCGGAGCTCGGCTGGGAGAGCGACCACCGCTCCTTTCCCTCTGCCACCCCTCCCCACGCCCCCTGCGGTGTTCACGCGGTAGCCGACAGATGCAGCGCTGCGTGTTTATTAAACTCGACGCCGGGTTCCAAAGACAAACAAAAGCTCCCCCCCCCCTATCGTGTTAGCCTGTAAATGACTGTTGGAGGAAGCGCTGTTGGAGATTATTAGTGGTGGCTAGAACCACGCCCGGCCGCCTTTGTATCCCCGAGTGGCGATGTTTTTCTACACACCGCACCAGGGACTCGTTTCAGGCTGAGTCAAGCTAGGGGAGGCCCAGGACCGGTTCAGATGGTGGTGGCCGTGATCGGGAATGGAACTCGGGTCGCCGGGTTCGTAGCGCAGCGCGCTAACCGCTGCACCACCGCTCCCCACGCAGGCACACACGCACGCACACGGAAACACAACTCTATAGGGGCATCAACATCATCAAGTTTGAATAGTAGACAGTGTGCTATGTAGAAGAGTCGTTACCCGAAACGTCGCTTTCTATACGTCCCCCTATTACGGTGGCAACTGTTATTGACAGGGAACGTGTTGAGTTCACAATATTCGTCTCTTAATGCAGGACTTGCGTTCATCATAGACGGTTATTTTGGGGTCAGATCGCGTAAATATAAACGTGTCGCTAAACCCGCCACCAGCCGACACAGCCAATTGGTAATGTTTTTTCACGTAAACAGAACGTGACCAATTCGTTACTAGTGCAGCGCACCGGTTGTGTGTTGGAGAGTAAACCCGCAACATTTACAATTCGAGTACGACGTTTCGCCTGCAATTACAACCAGCATCATCAGGCGACAGCCAGATTTGTGGAGAAATCTTCCCGTTTCGTTCCTAAATATCAGGTAGCCGCGTGCAGAGAGCTTCAGTGATGGGCGCAGCGCTGCGAGATGGACACGGTGGGTGATCCGAGCTCGATTTCCAGCCACGGCTAACATCAGTGGCGAGTGAAATGGGAACTTCTCCTGGGGAGGGCTGTAAACAGGGGAGGGGGGGGGGCAATTATGGTTGGGGGTTCACGGCAGCCTGATGCGACGCATCGGGGTCCAGGCGACCACAAGTGGACCCTGAATGAAACAGATAAAACAAGTAAAACGATTTTAGAAAAATTATTCAACAAAAAAAATGTGCTCATTAAAAAAACATTCACCCGCGGTCTATCGTGCAACGAGCCGAGCGATTAACGCGTCCGGAAATCGTCGTATCAACAGAGCAGCATCAAATTCTTAGGTTTTTTTCGGTAAAGTCACGTCGGTAAAAAATTTAAATTAATATTAAATTAAATTAATAAAAGTACCTACGTGACTTTACCGAAAAAACCTAAGAATCTGAATCCTTGCAGTCACGAAAGCTTCAAATCTAGAGCAGCATCAAGTTGCGCGATCCACACCCCTTTCAGAGAGAATCCTAACACCCAATGCACGGGTGCAACTAAAATAATGCTCAGAGTTCTAGCCTCGCATATTATTGTAAACACGGAGGAGTTAAACACAAGAAAAAAAACATCAGTCAACGTTGAAAATAGGTCGTCGTTGCTCCTGGCTGTAAATCGTTGTAATCGCGTTGTAATCTCGTGGGGGGGGGGGGGGGGGGTCAGACGCAGTGATCAGAGGTGCCGCGCGTCAACGCAGTCGCAAGGGTGACGAGTTCAACTCCCAGGCGGGTGGTACTCGTGTTGACAACTTCGTGCTAATCCCATTAGAGAGGCGCGCACGCGTGGCGCAGACAACGCGGACCG